CCAAGATTTGCAGAAAGAAAAAAAAGCGATTTCATTTACAGAAACGAGAAAAAAAATCAATCGATTAGATTGACCGATTGATGGGATTTTCGAAAAAAGAATTCTCCAATACGATTACAGTGAAGTAGCGAGAAGAAACAGGACTGGCGCTGAGAATCGAAATTCTTTAAGGCAATCGACTTTGAGAAGTCCAGGAATTTTCAAGTTGGATGTCAGCCTTTTGAAATCGGCTTATGATTTAGTTGGATTTAGTTGGATCTTTTAGTTCTTCCAATTTCCAGTTCTTCCGACAAATCACACTCTAATTTGCGATAAAAAGCTCGAAAATTGATTTAATTGATTGATTAGATTGATTGATTAGATTAATTGATTTGATTGATTGACTAGATTGATTGATTAGATTTATTTATTTTCTGGTTTCACAAAGGCTCACAAAAGCTCAAAAAGGCTCAAAAAGGCGCGGAATTTGTGGAATGTTTATTTTTATTGAAAGAAGCAACGGGGGGAAAAGGTTGGGTTGCACTTCTTTGCAAAACACTTCACACTTTGATTCCCCCAATTCTCAGCTCTTCACCATTATTGTTCAATAGCAATTCTCAGCTCTCAGATTTCCCTGTGACTTCCAGATAGATAGAAAATAATGTTTAAAATGTGTTTAAAGGAATAGAAAAAGATTTAGAAGGTTGAAGAGGATTGATTGAAATTATTGAAATGATTTGATTAGATTAAACTAGATTTGATTTGATTAAGATAAAAAGAAATGTTTAAATTGAAAAGAGATTTCAAAAAGGTTTCATGTAAAGGTGAAGGGGTTTGTAAAAGGAAAAGAATGAGAAAAGGGAATAGATATGACCTTGGATTGTTTGCCTAAACATTGCCTGTACAAGCAGAAAGGGAAAGAGATTGTTTAGATTCGAGGGGGGAACTCTTTGGTGCCACCCTAGCCTTTCCAAAGCATAGATTCGATTGATATATTGTTTGGGATTGGATTTGAAGTGGAGTTAGCCATTGTACCTTGTCCAATAGTTTCTTCCGTTCTTCCGGAAACAAATCTCATCAGCTCAGAGCTAACGGCTAACAGCTAACAGCTAAATTCTAGCCAAACCATCTATAAGATGGCTCCACATCGGCAGGAAAAAAAAGCAGCAGTGGTCTAGTGGATAGTCAGCTGGTTTCTAAGACCAAAGCCTTGCTTCGAGGCTAGGGTTCGATTCCGCTTTCCACCAAAGTTTTGCCAAATCGCCACCTATAAGATGGCTCCACATCGGCAGGAAAAAAAGCAGCAGTGGTCTAGTGGATAGTGAGCTGGTTTCTAAGACCGACGCCTTGCTTTGAGGCTGGGGTTCGATCCCACTTCCTATCAGGCTTTTGCCAAATCGCCACCGATAAGAGGGCTCCACATCGGCAGGCCCAAAAAGCAGCGATAGCCTAGTGGATAGTGTGCTAGGTTCTAAAGCCAACCCCGTGTTTCTCCACGGGTTCGATTCCGCTTGCCGCCAAAGTTTCATCAGTTTTTGCCAAACCATGACCTATAACCAGGGCCACGTCGACTCGCCTAAAAAGCAGCGGTGGTTTAGGGGATAATGGGCTAGAGTCTAAAACCTATAGGCTCTTTGGTCGCCGGTTCAATTCCTCTTGCTGCCAAAATTTTTTCCTTTTCTTAGAAAACTTTCGAAAAACACTTTATTATTATTATAGTTGGCTAGTTAAGTGTTTTCTGTAACTTTAACAGTAACTTACTGTAACTTTCTGTACTGTAGCAGTAACTTACTGTAACTTTCTGTACTGTAGCAGTAACTTACTGTAACTTTCTGTAACTTTCCGTAACAGCTTCCTAATTAGCTGTTTCCTATAGCTTTCTTTTCAAAGCTAGATCTATAAACCAGAATAAACGAGCCAGAGCCAGTTTCTATGAAAATTAGGCAAGATTATGGTCGGGAAAAGGAAAGAGACAGATTTTAAAAAGCTAGAAAAATAATACGGACAAGATTCTCCGCAAATTGTCCACAAATTGTCCCAAATTGTCCACAAATTCTCCCAAATTCTCCCCAAATTCTCCCCAAATTTCTCTATTATCTCCATTTGGGATTGTTTATCAGATGGACGACGATTGAAAGAGATTTAGAAAATCGAGCCCTTTGTTTATCGTTTCCTAGTCACTTTTTGCATAAACAAAACCGAGTTTTTGGCAAAACTCAATACTCGTTTTCATATCTGGTTGATCCTGAAAACCCTCGATCAAGCCATGTCAAAGAGTAAGCCATGATCGAAAATCCTCTCCAACTTCCACCAATTCCAATAGGTGATTCAAAGCGGCGCGCGGTGACCTCTAGTGCCACCCAGTTCCCCCTTTTGCCCCGTTCCTTTGCCCCGTTCCAAACCATTCCCCCATATTGGTGTATCTGAATAGTCATTGTTGTGCCCGCGGCTTAGCCGACACTCGCCCATCAACAAAATACAAAAGAATACAAAAGACGACCGCAAAGTTGGCCTCAATGCGATCCAGCATTGCCAATATTGAGCTTTTTGGGTTTTTTGTCCTTTTTTGAGCTTTTTGGCCTTTTTGGGCTTTTTTTTTCCTTTGACCAATTCACCCAAAAAGTCGGCGATCAATGGCGGCCGCCTGGGATCGCCGAGAGAAAACGAAGCTGAGCTGAAATTTGCGGCAACGATCAAACTGGAGGGCACGATAAGGGATTTTCGTGTTTGAAAGGGATTTTTGTGAGAATTCAAGTTTTCAGTTTTTGTCGATTCTTGTCGGCGGCAATTCTTGGAGTTCCAAAAAAGTTTTGGGTTAATTTTTTTGTAAATTCTTTGATGCTGGATGTCATGCTAGATAGAGACACGAGAAAATGAGATTAAATCTTGAAATGGTAAAGATCTTGAAATGGCGGTGACCCTGGCACCAGCGTTGACTCCGAAGGGTCAGTGGCTCTCGAGTCTCGTAAAAAGTAAAAAAGTAAGGCCTTGAAACAAGGGGAAATTGGTTTTTCTAGTTTGGGAAAGATTGTGGATAAAGATTTGATCGAAAAAGCGTCACGAGAGCCTCTCGGCCTTGACCCAAATCGATGATTCGAGTCGGGGCAAAAAAATTGATGAATTTGGCTTTTTCAAGAAAAATCTCAAAGTTCAAAGTGAATCCTGGAACTCACGAAGTTGTTTTTTTAAAAGGAAACCTTTAAAAAAGTCAATAGCGTGGTTTTGGTTTTTCTCTTTTCTGTAGCTATTGGAAAAAAACGATTCTTAAAAGAATTTTGTTGAATCGGTTGATGTCAAAGGTGATTCTGGATGTCATTGAAATGAAAAAAATTAGTGTCAATGTTTGGGAGATTGATTTGAAAAGATAAGGATCTGATGTGAGAGAGGAGAGAGGAGAAAGAGTACAAAATGATGCCGCTGGAGTAAAAGGCTAAAAAAACTGATTACCGGTAGGCCGGAAAGGCCATTTCGAGGCCAATCACACCATTTATCCGTCAATGGGACTGATTGAAGTCGGTGATCTTTGAGATCTATGGAGATCTAAGGAGATCTCTAGGGGGGATCTTTAGCTCAAAGAAAAAGATGGTAAAAACATTGCGCGATTGGCTATTTCGTCAATGATTTAGCTGATCTGGAAGGCAGGAAAGAGAATGATTTAAAAAATTTTGAGTAAAAGAATGAATTCAAAATTTGTATATACAGGGTGACCAGAAATAACGTTTCGGGATTTTCGGGAAAATTTTCAAAGTTTCAATTCCTCTCAAAATTCCTCGAATGAGCGAATCCTGTTTTTCTGACGAGAAGCTCTTCATGGTATGGGCCGGAATGCGCATCTGCGCAACCTGCAATCTGCGCAATCCGCGCAACCGGCAAAATTCCTCTCATTTTCATCGACTCTGGGGTAAAAAAAATCAATAAGGATGTGTACCAAAAAAAAGATTCTTGAGGATGCTTTGCTTCCATGGGCTCAACAGCATTTTGGTAACGAATTTTGGACCTTCCAACAAGACTCCGCTCCTTCCATCGAGCCAAATCCACACAGGACTGGTGTAGGACAAACTTTCCGGATTTCATCTCGGCCCAGGAATGGCCTCCGTAATGGCGCTCAGGAATGGTGCTCTCAATCCGCTGGACTACAGTGTTTGGTCAATTTTGGAGGCAAGGGCTTGAAGGGGTAAGGGCTGCAAAATCCCACAAAAGTTTCGAGGCTCTGAAGCGATCGTTGACCAGGGAGTGGGATCGAATCACTCTGGCCGAGCTAGGCAATTTGCTAGAGTACTTTGTTATTCTATATTGAAAATATTTATTCCGAAACAGTCCGAAATGCTGTTGTGACATCCAATTTGAACAGAAATCGCTCCAAACATGAAAAAAATTGATTAGAAATTGGCCTAACCTAGCTGGTAATTGTCGGATTACGGTAGCTTTTTATTCTCGTCTTCTTTGTGGAATATTTATTCCAAAACATTCCAAAAAGCCGCTGTGACATCCAATTTGAACAGAAAACTTTAGAAACGTGAAAAAAATTGATTAGAAATGGGTCTAACTTAGCTGGTAAGTGTCGGATTACGGTAGCTTTTTATTCTCGAATGTCTTCTTTGCAAAAAAATTATTCCAAAAGAGTCCGAAATGCTGTTGTGACATCCAATTTGAACAGAAATCGCTCCAAACATGAAAAAAATCGATTAGAAATTGGCCTAACCTAGCTGGTAAGTGTCGGATTACGGTAGCTTTTTATTCTCGAATGTCTTCTTTTCAAAAAATTTATTCCAAAACATTCCAAAAAGCCGCTGTGACATCCAATTTGAGCAGAAATTGTTAGAAAAATGAAAAAAATCGTTTAGAAATCGTTCAAACGGAGGTCCGAAATTTTCTCGCTAAATACAAACGGACTGGCGGAGATGTGGAGCTGAAATTTGACTGTGAATCGATCGAAAAAGGAGAAAATCGATCGATTTTGAAGGGAAATGACAAATGACACCCGAGCGAATGACAAATAAATGAATTTATGGAAAAGATTAGTAATGAGTGGAGAGGTGGTGAGCACGAGTTGTGGTGACAGGATAGACTTCACTCGTTCCACTGAAAATCCAATTTTAAATAGATAAAAAGCTCAAATGACACCCAGGAAAGGTAATGCGAAAAATTTGAACGACGATTTTTCGACTTTATCCCGCGAAAATCAACCAGCTACGTATTTTAAGTGAAATTTGAAATTTGCATACGAAACGCTCAAATTTGCATATAAAAATCGGCCGAATTGGCGGGATATCGTCTAAAAGTGGCCGTGGAAATAGAATTAAAAGAATTAAAAGAAATTAAAGTGAAATTTAACAAACCTGTTCCTTGCCATGAATGTAATCGCTAGGTCAGCCACGTAGAGCAAAGCTGATAGGAAATAGAAAGCCTGGAATTCGTTTTTTCAAAAATTTCTTCGATTTTACGCAATGCTGGAAGTCACTAGGGTTAGGGAAACTAAAAAAATTGGCTTTTTTCAAGTTTTCAATTCGGCTCAATTACCCTCGAAGTGAGCTGGTCGAATTCTAGAGGAATCAACGCTTCCTGAAAACTCTAACCCTCATTTCTAGCGACTATGGATGTCAGTTGGATTAGAGAAACCTTTGGAATTGTCTTTTTTCAAGTTTTCAAGTAATCGATCACTCGGCTCAATTACCCACGAAGTGAGCTGGTCGAATTCTAGAGGAATCAACGCTTCTGGAAAAAGCTAAACCCCATTTCTAGCGACTATGGAAGTCACTAGGGTTAGGGAAACCTTGGAATTGGCTTTTATTCAAGTTTTCAATTCGGCTCAATTACCCACGAAGTGAGCTGGTCAAATTCTAGAGGAATCAACGCTTCCCGAAAACTCTAAACCCGATTTCTAGCGACTATGGATGTCAGTTGGATTAGGGAAACCAAAAAAATGCGATCTTTTCCAACTTACAGCCGCCACCGCCCAGCCCTTGACGACGAATTCGATCTGGCAACCCGGCAAACCGGCGCAACCGGAAAACACCTGAAATTCGGGGTTTTTCCTCATTTCGAGTTTAATCTCAAGAGTTGAAATGGATCGCTATCCAAATCAGAAATAGCTAGCTATCCACTGGCTAGCTATCAACCTCAAAAAACTGACCCCATTCCCAATTGCTTGAATGAAAAACTCGATGTGATCAAAACCGGTTGCGTACCTAAAAATTCCCATTTAGATATTTGCTGTGACATCCAGATTGCTTAAAAAGTTCCAAATTTATCTTCTAAAAAAACGAACCACGTCTCAAAACCGCCCATAATCAAAAACGAGATGGCGCCGAGTGCGCAGAAGAAAACTTGCTGGAAAAGTGGTGGGGATTGAGAGAAAAGAAAATGGCTAAGAAAATCAGAAACCCTATTGGCTAGAAAATAGCGTAAAATTAAGGAATAAGAAAGAATCTTTGAAGTTTTGAGCTTAAATGTTTACAGTACTGTAGCGACTGTAGCGACTGTAGCTTACTGTGGCTTACTGTGGCTTACTGTAGTGTACTATAGCCACTGTAGCTTACTGTGGCCTACTGTAGCGGCTCTATTGAATTTTAGTCATTTTTCATGCTTAAAGTTTACAGAGTTGTTTCAATCTAGCACCGATTTTTGAAATCGCTACAACTACAAAACAAAACTAGCTACAAAAGGAACTACAAAACTAGCTAGAATTCTAAGAAAAACCTAGTTTTTATTTACTCCAAATGAGCTTTAATTTTCGAGAAAAACAAGTTAAAATTTTCAGCAATTTTTGCCAAACTGCGACCTATAAGAGGACGCTTTTTTCTGCAGCCAAACAGAGCAGCGGTGGTCTAGTGGATAGTGTGTTGGACTCTAAAACCAACGCTGCCTATTTCCTCAGGTTCGATTCCGGTTGCCGCCAAGTTTCATCACTTTTTGGGAAACCGCGATAAGAAGGCTTCACGTCTAAAGGTAGCCAGCGCAGCGGTGGTCTAGTGGATAGTGTGCTGGACTGTAAAACTAACGCTGGCTATTTCCTCAGGTTCGATTCCGCTTGTCGCCAAAGTTTCAGTTTTTTTTGCTAAATCTAAAAGATGGCACCGCATCGAAATGCAACAGAAGCAGTGGTAGCCTAGGGGATAGTGTGCTAGAGTCTAAAACCAAGGCCTCACTTCGAGTTCGGGTTCGATTCCGCTTGCTGCCAAATTTTCGGAAAACTTCCTTAGTTAGTCCAGAGTTCAAACAGCTTTGAAAAATTCGATTTCAAAGCCTACAGGTCACAGTCGGCAGCTACAGTAAGCTACAGCAAGCCACAGTAAGCCACAGTCGCTACAGTCGCTACAGTAAGCCTCAGTAAGCTCAACTTCAACATAATACAGTAATCTCTAAACTTACTCTTTGAAACGCTTTCTATTGTGGACAGTAATGCATGCTAGATTCACTTTACAGTAGTCTAGCAATGAGTCTACAGTACTCTCGAGTACTTACAGTAATCCTCGTGCACCAATACCCTTACAGTAATCACTCACCGGATACGTCAACGGATTGCCCACGCCCAAATGAATGCACGAGAACCCCAGCGAGGCGATCGCTAGAATCAGCGAGAAAACGATGATCGCCACCTGGCCATAGATGCTGAAATGGGTCGGCGATGATTTTCTCGTCGAAACCCTGCAGAAACCCTTTTGAAAACCGGGATTTTCCGGCGATCTGGAGCGCACAAAGCGTACTCGCTTTCATTCTTTAACAATTGCGGTAACCGGTAACTTTTCGATAACCAAAAACCCTACGCAATTGGTTTTTTTTGTTTAAAATTTGCGAATTTGCGAATTTGCGAAAACTCGTTGAAAACCGATTTCTCAGCCTTTCTGCCAGGCTGCCAGGCTGCCAGGCTTTCTGCCAGCCTTTCTGCCAGGCACACCAAAAGAAAATTCCCATTTTGAAAGCCATTTTGAATTCCTTTTGAATTTGAAAAGCCCACTTTTCTCCTCGTCCCTGAAAGTGCAATCCCCTTCCCCACGCTTCGACGTTCATCGGGAAAATGCTGTTTTGTCCAGGGCAGATTTCCCTGAAAATTTAAAGTGTTTTGGTGAGAGGTGGGGCTCACGAAAGCTGGAGCTCACGAAAGCTGGAGCTCACAGCTGATGAAAGCTGAGGTCTATAACTTTCTCCAAAGATTAGATAATTTCTAATTTTAAATCGCAATGAATAGCTGAGATTTCTGGCTTTCGAATGACACCAAAAAGAGTTTAATTTTGTTTTTTGAATTTTTGGTGTTGAATTGAATTGACCTTAAAATCGGACTCCCTATCCAAGCTTGGATAAGCTAAGCTTGGCTGAGCTAAGCTCTGGATAGGCTAAGCTTGGATAGGCTAAGCTTGGCTGAGGCTAAGCTTGGCTGAGCTAAGCTGGGACGTGGTTTGGCGCGAGATGTCGTTCTATTTAAGCATTTCTAATACAAGAGCGCCGTTTAAAAGAGCACCGTTCAGAAGCTGCGGAGCTCCAGCTTTCGTTTTTGAATCTTTGTATGACCTCGAAATCGGACTCCCGTTGAGATACCGCGAAAAGCAGGCGCCAGGAGCGGTCAGAATCAAAATCATTGAAACGATTCCGAGAAGCTGAAAAGGAAGCTCTATTTGGAAAGAGTCGAATTTTTAAATTTTTAAATTTCTATCATTTCTAGATAAAAATTGAGTTGAATCGTCGAAAAAACCGAAATTTTCTTTTTTTTTTCGACTTTTCTTGACACACTTTAAAGGCCTATAACTTTTTTCAGAAATTAGATAATTCTTAACTTTTAATAGCATTGGATAGAGGAGATTTCTGGCTTTAAAATGACACCAAAAAGACTTTAATTGCTTTTTTCCTTCTCATGCAAATCAATCAAAAAAGCCGACATCCGTTTCTGGTCTCTCCAAAAATTGGCTCGACAATTGGCTTCGATTTTTCTTTGGCCTCGTTTATCCAATAAAGCTCTTTTTGGTATCATTCAAAAGCCAGAAATCTCCTCTATCCAATGCGATTAAAAGTTAAGAATTATCTAGTCTCTGGAGAAAGTTATAGGCTTTCAAAGTGGCCTGAATCGTCTTGGCTTTTTTTTTTGCTTTTGTTTTTTTGCTGTTGATTTTTTTTGCTTTTTTATGCTTGATTTTTAAATTAAGACAAATTAGAGCAATTATTAGACACGTTTTTCTTCTAGAAAAGCTCATTTCCTCACCAAAATGAAGACACGAATGGCAAAAGAAACGGCTGCGAGTGTTCGCGGTGAGGCGCCCATTTCGCGGGTTTTGAAAAGCGATTAGAATCCAGAAAAAAGTATTAATTTTGGTCTTGGCCTTTAAAAAAAGCCTTTTTTTTGATCGTTTTCCACCAAAAAATCGATTTAGCAGCCGATTTTTCACCTAAAATTTGTTTTTTTTCGATTTCTACTCAAACACTTGAGTTTCTCCTCGATTTTTCGCTCATTTTGAGCGTTTACGAAATCTCAACACAAATAGAAGGTGATCTGGAGCTCACGTGACAAGTTTAGCTACTTAAAAGCGATTGAAAAGCGATTGAGAAAAAAGGAAGATTTTTCGAGATTTTGGGAGATTTTGGGGAAAAACATTGGGAAATTTTCGATTCAAATCATCGTTTAAAAAACAATGAAAATCGTTTATACAACCATTTATTCATTTCTTAAATAAACCAACAACCATCTCATTGAACGCCGAATAGCTTTAAAAAGCTTTTTGACTTAAAGAGCAAAAATTGGAGGAGATGTGGGGTTCGAACCCTCAAGCTTCCGCTCACCAGTGAAACCACTTTCCACTGCGCTAAGCCGGTAGGAAACCTGAGCGACAAAAAGGGTTTTTTAAAGGATTCATTGAGTTTTTGGTCGACCAAAAAATCCGATGAATCCTTTAAATGACCCTTTTTGTCGGGCTGGGCATACTACAGGCTTAGCGCAGTAGAAAGACGTTTCACTGGTGAGCGGAAGCTTGAGGGTTCGAGCCCCCGGTCTACCCCCGTTTTTGCTTTGAAGTCAAGAAGTTTTTTTGAAGTCAAGAAGGTTTTTTAATTTCTTTAAATTATTTTAAAATTCTAAAAACACTTAGCTTATCAAGTGAAAGAGAAAATTAAGGGAAATTCAAAAAATCGCTAAAATTTCGGGAAAATAGATTTCAGAATAGAAAAAAATAGAATAGATGATTTCAAGGGAAAAGTGAAAATGAAAGCAACGACTTTTAAGCGAGTTATTTTTCACTCCAAAAATCGCAGAGATGAATGGGTAAACGAGTCGGATTCGAGAATGCGAAAGAAAGGGGAATGGAAGAAAGGGGAATGGAAAAAGGGGAAGAAAGGGGAAACGCTTCACTGCCTTTTTTCTTTTTCTTTCGTGCACAACAGTTTCTCAAATAGAGAAATATTCAAATAAAATATCGGCCAATCGGCAATTTGCAAATTTGCAAATTTCGAAATTCAACTCTTGCCCTTTTCAGGGTCGAAAAATTTCAGCGATAAAGTTGGAAAGGCTTTTTTTTCAGATCAATGAACTCGAAGTGTAAGTGCATAATTGTAAAAGCGTTTCCCCAGCTTTTGCCGACTTCTAGAGCTGCTGGAGAGTTAGGAAAGGATGCTGAATGAATTAAAAGCCATTCAGGTAAACAATGCTCAATTTCATCACGATTTTCAACGATCTGTGAGAAGAGAAATTCGATAAAGTGAGAAAGAATTCGATTGATTGAACATCGCTGTTTAGAACTTTCACCAATGAGCTCTAGAGCCTAGAGGCTAGAGTCTAGAGGCTAGAGGCTAGAGTCTAGAGGCTAGAGGCTAGAGGCTAGAGCCTAGTGCCTAGAGCTTAAAGCCTAAAGCCTGAGCCTGAGCCTAAGCCTAAGCCTGAGCCTAGAGCCTAAAGCTTAAAGCCTAGAGCCTATAGCTGTGAACCGGACTCAAACTCCTACAATTGGAGACTCGGGGGTTTACTGTTGAGGTGAAGATTCTGAGATTTTCGATATCATCGATATACATATGAGGAAAGCCAACAAAAAAATGTAAACACAAAAAACAAAAATGAGTGAAAATGGAGGGAAGGCCGATTATCTCCAACTCGACTCTCCCAAAAATCCACATGAAACTCGAGAGCAAAGCCTCTCCTAACCGGATATTTTTACCTACGCTCACCCTTTTTCCGCCCCACAATAACCCTTTTCACTTTCAAAATCAGCCATTGTCTTTTGTGTGGCAATTTTTGAGAATAACTGTCAGAAAAACTGGTTTTGCTCGGCCTCTCGGCCTCTCGCCCTCCGATTTGCCCGATTTGCGAGGAGCTGACTCATTTTTGGGTCGAAAAAAACGAGATTCGAGATTTCGAGCGGAAATCTCGTAAATGCTGGAGTGCATAAGGGATGAATGTTTTGATCGGCTAAACAAGGTAACAACAGCAAGTTGCTCAGTAAAATCAGTCTTTGTCATACAAAGATGGCAGTCATAGCGTTTCTCTTACATTTCCTCTCTGCCCCCATCCAAATCAGTTTGTTACACTCGGCTCATAAGTAAATATCATGGGATTTCGCGCTGAGTTTTCATCCATTCTTTCTTTGTCTCATCGTCATTCGATCAAACTGCTTCTATTCTGAAAGTAAACTTTTTAATAACAATAACGATAACGATAACAAAACATTGAAAATCAAAATTTGATAGGCAATAAATTTTTCTAAACGAGACAATCGGATAACAAAATCGAAAAATGAGAATTTCGTTGAAAATGCTGAAAATGCTGAAAAGGCAAACTTTTTGTGGAAAATTCTCTAACCAATTCGAGAATTTAGGCTGATGTTGGAGCGTGTACTACGACTAGGAAATGGCACAAAATGAAGAAATTAAGCTGAAAGCGATGAAACTTCTCATAAAATTACCAAAAAACTTTGCCAAATTTTGTCTAAAACACTCAACAAACGGGGGATTTTGAGGAAACTTTCAAATTTCGATAAGTCAGAGAGTCAGGGTAACTAAACCAAGGAAAACGCTCAAAATTTCAACAATCTTCCATTGAAACCAAGCAATCGCTAAGCAAGTCTAGCATTGTAAAAAATAAATCGCCAAATAACAAAAGCTCGAAAAATTGCAAAACCTTGTAACAATTCAACAAATCACATCGATGTTGGCTAGACTGGGCGGACGAGTCGAGAGGACAGCCGACGCCTGCTTGAATACCCGAATGATATGAGCAAATTTCTCCATTTGTTGCACACATCTGAAATGAGATAAATAGATGATTTCTAAACTTTGGATCTCCGAGCGATCTATTTTGGATCTATTTTTTCTCACTTATCGAACTGCTCTTTTATGCTTGCTTATGAAAATTCTACAATTCTGTGAAGCTGTCCCCTTAAAGCACTTTGTCTTTTATTAGAAAATCATTTTTGCTAGCTATTCTGGTTAGACCGGCGTATGGCTAGAATGTTAAAAAAAAGAAAGATTCCCTTTGTACTGGTCGAATGGCAAAAATTAAAACAAACCTCGCCGTGTTTCCCCCATCGAACGGTTCCTCAATGTAGATGTAGTAACGATCGTGGTCCTGATCGAGGAAGCGGCTAAAAAGATCACACATGTAACGAGTGTTGTCACGGAGCTTGCTTCAAACAAAATATAGCCGATTTTATGCCCAAATCAGTTTTCGAGTCACACTTTATAGTTGAAAAGAAACCGCGAAATTCGTTGTCCTTGCTGAATGGATGGCGCGTCGGTGTCCCACGGGAAATTGACGTAATAGTGAAAGAAGCCGCACAAAAGCTCGCCCGTCGTGGCCGTGTTCTTCTCAAAATCTGAAGAAACAAAAGCGAGTTATGATTGATAAACTTTATGAGAGTATTTGCTGTGCAAGTATTAGCTCTAAGCAACCGCCGCAAAGTCGACCCAACCTGGCAATGGTGGCTCGAGTTCCTCCTCCAGACGTAGCGAATCGAGATCATGTGTTGGAGCGAACTAAAAAGAGCTATAGCCTTTATGTAAATCAATAAATCTACCTTTTGCGGGTACAAGTGTTGCAAATTTGGTAGCACTGGCGGCGAGACACCACACTGAAGGTAGTGAACGACGAGAAGCAGCAGAGAATAACTAAATGATATTTTAATCCGGAGTCAAGCATTCTACAAAAACCTATTAAATGTGCCATTCATCGCATCGGAAATATCATTCTTGATCGCCCAGTGCTTGACGAGAAGACACAGCTCGGGGAAACGCTCATCGATCCTAAAAATGTGCAAATCGAAGTATTTTTTGTAGTTGTATTTTCAACACACCTCGAATAATAGTGCATCAGAAAGGAGTTGTAAATGCCGGCAATGCTGTTCACATTCAAGTCCACCTCCATTCCGTCATACTCGCCCGACAATTCCATTTTGATGATTGGCACCTAGGGAAACAATTGAACTGAGTGAGTGGATTTGTTCATTTTTTTTTTGGTTTAACGTGAAGAGAACAAGTCTGGCAAGTGCGATTTGCATTGATTATTTTAAACTTCGTTGATTGATTGTGCAAAATTTAAAATAATCAGTTCAGCCACTTACCTTAGCCGAGGAGACAAGTTGCACATCGCCAACGCAGCGTCGCATATTGTGATTGGTGTGTTTGAAAAGACGAAATACTTGGCGCAAACTTTTCAACGTGAAACTAAATGAAAAGCATAAGAATTGTAATAAGTTTTCTTGCCGACTCAGGCAAGCCTGCCCTGGATTGCATGCCCCTGGGGTCTGATTGGAAGACAAGATAACAACAACACCAAAAATTTCATCCAACCTTTTTTCCATCTCGAAAACTCCGCGTTTCCCATTTCGACCCTCCAACGAGATGCACACGTCCATGTCCGAATTGTACGATCCACATCCATTCACCGTCGATCCAACTGGGTGCATGCGCACTGTGTAGTTCGGGAAAAGCTAGAAAGAAGAAATGTCAAGAGTCGTAGAAATTTTCTCTACTGGTTTGATCACTTGATGCATTTCTTGGAGTGCCGCCGTTTTGAGCATGTAGATTTGCGGAGACTAAAACGAAGCGGAGTTACGAATTCGTAAACACACTACTCACTTGTCGATTAGTCAAGTAATGAGCGGTGATCTTTTCGTCCATCTCTTTGAATTGCTGCGAATACCTCTGACGATAGGCGTGAATTCTCTAAAAAAACGGGAATCAATAAATATCGTGTTCTATTGGGTATTTTATCATTTTTCCCATGATTTGCTCAGAAACTTGCTAAATCCGTTAACAAAAAACCTCAAAACTCACCGTCATCGTGAAAGTTGATTCATAAAATTTGACACCAAGCAATTCCGCGAATTGGTTCACTAAAGACCAAGACATCGATTCGATTAGAAGCTGTTTAAAAGCTGCTTTCCAAACAAAACTCACCATTTTGTTGCGGACGGCTTGTCGAAGCGATTGATGGCTGAAATGGAACAAATTAATGATGAAACAGAGGTTAATTGTGGAGCTTATTCAACATAAGAAATTCAAATTTATTAAAAGAACAAAATAAAGATGCAAATTTCATTGAAAACCAAAACTCTCACCATTCTCTGCAATTGTTCTTGCGTTTGCTGAATCTCCTCGATTTCCCCATCTTCTATATCATCGTCGTCGTCGTCGATCAAAATGAGTGGCGGCGTTTTCTGCAGGCTCACCACCTCGGGTGCCTAAAATGAAGGGGTTGTGAAGAGTTGAAGTGGCCACAATCTCTAGGGTAAGGTCCCTCTACTGCAGGACTAATCCAAACAGAAGCCAGGGCTGAACCTGACTGGTCTTGTCTGTTTTGGGCTTATCGATTCAAAAGCAAGTCTTAGTCTTAAACCCCCCTCACCTCAATACGCGCTACTTTCTGCGATGGTCTCTCATCAATTTGCATCGCTTCGCTTTGCATCTAAAGATCAACTTTATTGCAAAGCAAACCTTAAACTTTTCCCCACCTCAGCACTCCTCTTTCGTCCCTCGTTCTTCTCAATGGCTGTCTAAAAATTTCAAATTGAGCTTATTAGGCTTAATTTGAACCATAGTAAATCCTCGTGTCATCCAAAATCTCGCAGCTTTCGGGCGAAAATGCGCAAGAAAGGCTTTGGCAACTGACGGCTTATCACGAGCACTTGGATTGAGAAGCTGCGGAAAAGCTGAAAGTTGAACATTTGAGCCAATTTAAGTGCATAGTGTTCAGTGTTCAGTCACGTAGCGATTTAAGTACAAGTGCTCAAAAAAAATTGGTTTAATTACCCAAGAAAACCAAAGTTTTTGACAACGACTATGAACTCGCTTTAAACTCACTATTTCGTAATTCTATTTCCCATTGTTGAAAAAGGGTGACAACCTCAGCCAAATGCGTAAATCCCTCAATCTAAAAGAAGCCACAGTTTAAGAATCTTGCCACAGTTTAAGAATCAACCGGCTCAGGTGGCCGATCAAAGTTGATCAGTTGGGCCACCTGGGCCAGTTGATCTTTGACCACCAAAAAACTTAGCTATTAAACGTTTTAATGCTCACCGTATCATCTTTGATATTATATATCACTTCGTGCGGGATAAAGCACGTACGCAAATGACCCCAGAAATTGTTGACCGCATTGAAGCGAGCCGCCCTAAACAAAAGCAAATTTGTCTCTTCAAAAAATAAAATCTTTTTTTTTCATCCTATTTGTTATAAGACCAAAAATTTCTCGTGTTTTGGAACATTTTCTATTAATAGCGTGCAATTTTTTTAACGAAACATCTCGCTGAATCAACGAATTCAAAAGATTCACAGTCACCAAATGTTCTAAATCAATAAAAATTCACGCACTCTTTCTTTCCGGATGATCCCTTATTCGATAGAGCTTCGAATGGAATGCCATAAAAAGTGATCGAACATTGAAATGTAGCGTCTTTCGTACGCGCGTCGGACACTGAAACGTTAAAAATTAGCTCATTTCAAGGCCCAGACTCAAAATTTCTATATTATCAAAATTTTTAGGGAAAAAAAAACCCTCAATTTCGATAATTCATCAAAATTTACCCTGTTTCTCAATTTACCCTGTTTCTTTATCAAATATTTTTTTATTTTCAAATTATCAAAAAACCCATCAATTTTAACGGTCAGGTCAAAATTTACTGTATTTTTTCTTTATTCTAACCCATCAATCAATTCTTCTAATCAATCAACTAAATCATACCAAATTTTTCTGTGAAAATCGCCGGATGTCCCCACGCATTGGCGAATTGAATCAAAAATGGCTCGAGCTTTTTGTTCCGTTGGGATGCTTTCGCGTCATTCGACAATGCTTTTGCCTCATTCGACACGGAAAGCATCTAGAAATTCAAAAAAGAACCTTAAATTGACGAAAAGTTCCTAAGAAAACTTAAGGAAATGCAAAAAATTTGGGATGAGGCCATTGAAAAGAAATGTTTTCAAGTGTACACGAGCGTGCTAATGACACGAACTGGGACGACTTTTTCTAAGAAGTGCTTTAAGAAGTGGAAAGGGTTTAAAACATTAGAAACGTGCTCTGATCCGTTTTACAGCCAATTTGGGAAAAAGTAAAAAGACGGCTGCTTGGTCAGGGATCAAACCAGAACAGTTAAACTGTAAACCTTCATAGACTCCAGCAGGGAATTAATGACTTCTCTTAACCTTGCATAGATTGTGTCTAGAGCAAAATTTCCAGGTCAATCAAGGCAAAGAACAGCTTTAGACTTGCGGGAAATCATCTCAAAATCATCCACAAACCTTAGAATGAAACTGATTGATTTGCTTTAAACTGTAAACACCGTCGTTTTGCCATTCCGTCAAATACGATTTTACAACCTCGGTCGCCGATCTTTTTTGTGAGATGACACTAAACAATGATGATACGCATTATCTACTTGTAGTGAGATTAAAGTAAAGTTCACCAAATCACTGCATCAATCACAAGCACCATATCTTGTGCAATGGTCGCCATTTGTTCTTTTCCTCCTCTGATGAAAGCGTTGATCGGCTTGAAAATAAACGAAAGCTCGGCTCGGTTATTGTGCACAACGCGGATCCACTAAGATTTCATTTCGTAAATGATCAAATGATAAACACAAACCTTCAACCAACTCTTAATCACAGCATCGCGCTTCTCGGGGTAAAACCCCATCAACCATTCGCAGAATTTGTTGATCGAGGTCTAAATTTAAAGATGCTAGCAAAGTAAAACATTAAAAAACCTCAATGTTTTTCAGGTTATTCGCTTTTTGCAAGAACTCGTCTTCGAACCTCGTGTTTCCTGACTGAAATGGATAGAATTATCACTCAATGATCAGCAAGTGTGATTTGTTTTCTAAAACGTGTCACAACAACTAAAATGTGACATTTCTCTTTCTACTATAATCTCGCTCTCAGTTTTTCTCCAATCTATCACTTTTGGTCTGATTCTGGGGGGTGGCTACTTTGCGCCAAATTTTTTTTTGCGCAACTCGCCATAACTTTCTTCTAAGTGGCCCACGTTTATGATTTTGGTGTCATTTTATTGCACTTATTTAGATCTACTATTGAGATTTTGGTGTCATTTTGTAGATCTAAATAAGTGCAAAAAATTAACCCAAAATCGTAAACATTGGCCCACTTAGAAGAAATTTATGGTGAGTTGCGCAAAAAAAATTTGGTGCAAAGTAGCCACCCCCCTGATTCTGTAAGGGTTCACAAAAAGATACAAAAAAAAATCAATGTTTAGATAAAATTTAAGTCAATTGGATAAAAATCGATACAAAATCATGATAGTCGCAAAAGTTGACACATTTTAAAAGACTAAATAGGCGATTACGGAAAAGAGAAAAAGGGACATGTTTTAGAAAACAGATTGAATGTGAGATAGAGGAACAAACTAGATCTTTTTTATCATAAGAGAGAGAGAGAGAGAGTATGTCGGTGTGTGTGTGTGTGTGTGTCTGTCTGTTATGCTATTTTCGAAAAAACGGCTGAGCTGATCGAGCTAAAAGTTTGACATTATAAACCTAACTTTTTACGTAGTTTCATAAAATCTAATAATATTTGACCGTTTTTCCTAAAAAGCGAACTTAAAGAATACACGCTACCGCGTGGCCGAGTGGTAGTGCGTCCGATCTGTCAAGTTGAGCAACGTTGAGCTCAATTAGTCTCGGGTCCGATCCCGGCCCGATGCAATCTTTCTTCCTTTCTTTGTTTTCACACTTTTTGAGTAAGAAAGCTCACGGGTTCGATTCCTCTAGGGGTAAAGAAATTAAATCTACTATATATAAAAGAACCGTGTCTGTCCGTCTGTAAACGCGAGTTCTCGGCTCCCCGTGGGTCAATTTATATGATTTTTAGTTTGTTAGACTTAGAATTCTATGTAGTTTCTATGTAGATGAGATACCTTTCGTTTTTTAAAAAGCAAAAGTCACGAAACAGCCGGGGAGTCGAACCCGGGTCGTGTGAGCGTGAGCAAGTGTTTGTCTGTTTGTCTGTTTGTCTGTTTGTCTGTTCGTCCGTTTTTACGGGCTTTTTCTCAGCCGTCTTTGGGCCAAAAAAAACTATGTGTCAGCCCCAAAACATCCAGCCAGAAAAACCCCGTTGTTAGACGGGTTTTTGCTGGCTGGTTTGTACAAATAAAACGGATTTACGTGTTAAACTTATCGACAAACTTAATCAAATGCAATTAGCGATTTTGCTATTATTTTCCCGATAAGGTTAACTCCAAAATCCTAGCATCTCTCCTCACAAAACTGCTCACCCCATTTTGATGATTTCCATCCGTTCTCGTTTTCTCCATTTGCTCTATGTCGACCCTTCGCTTCTTCTTAGAAGAATTAACGTAGAGCTGAAAGAAAAAGATCAGATCAGATAAGAGTAAAGCAACGAAAAGATCGAAAAGATCGAATAGATCGAATAGATTGAATTCACGCTACGCTTGATCCCATGAAAGCCTTACTAAAAGCGCCATCACTAAGATTAAACTAAACTTCAATGTAAGAGAAGTCTTCTTTCACAGATCTTCTTTCACAGTAGTGAACTGAAATTTCGGTACAAAGGCTTTTGGGGGGAGGACTTAAAATTTTCCCAAATGTAACTTTTCTAGGGTAATTGATGGCGCTGATCACAAAAAAAAAAACATTTTTAAGTTGTTTTCAATTAAAAAAAACTTATGTATTGAAGTCGTATTTTTTTTTGAAAAAAATCTGCATGCCCCTTTAACTTGGTTTTCTACTTGTTAAAACTGGTTTAATAAGCTCCACCCCTAACCCGCAAAAACCAACGGCCCTTTTAAGGGCCACAAACTATCCAATATAACGGCAATACATAAGTAAGTTTTTTGATTGAAAACATAACTCAATACTGTTTTTTTCCGTGATCAGCGCCATCAATTACCCTAGAAAAACTATATTTGAGAAAATTTTAATTCACACAACTTCTGCAAACTTTAACAAGCACACAATGCTTTTTGGTTTAGCTATCAGACGAGGCCCGCAACAGGCCCACAACCACTAGTACTAAACCCTCCAATTCTCCTCATCTTCTAACAAGCAGTATTTGGCTAATAAACCACTTTTTTCACCTTGCATTTTTTTCGTTTAACTTTATTGCACAACTTAACCGACAAGAAATTATCAAACAAAAATCGAGCAAACATTAAGCAGAAATTTAAGAAAACACATACAAACAAGCAAAAAAATAGTGACAAAATTGGAAACCATGCCCAAAAAGCGACAAATTCACAACACGCACATAAAATGACAAATTTAAAAGCGAGAAAACACAAACAAAATAGTAAAGCCATAAATTTACAGGAATCGATCAATTATTGATGCGACGTGAAGCCGTTGAGTGATCACACTTCAGGAGCTGTTGAGGAGTTTCTGAAAAAGCACAATTTAGATACGAAAGCGTTAGTGAAGTGAACAAACCACAAGTTGGGCTTCAAATTCTTTCGTATGACGGGAGTAGCCGTTGGCCAACTGTGCAAAAGCCGCGTTGATAGCCCTAAACGAGATAACAAATGTTGAGTGTTTTTAGGTTAGATACCGAATTTTGTAAGTATGATGAATATTTCGTTAAAGAGTAGCTTAAAATCTCTATAAAAGAATTTCGCAAAGAATTATTTGTCGTTGATACAATGTCACGGAACCAAAACATAAAGTTGGTAGCATGACGTGCATAAACCAAAGGAAAAAGGGTATTTATGATAGATAACATAGTCAAGATCAAAAAAAGGAGATTACACACAGTTAAATAGTAAAACATTACTGTTAATAGTAATGTTAAATAGTAAAAAAGGATCCTTGAGAAAAAGAGATAAAAAGGACAAAAAAATCTCTAATTTTCCGAAGAAAGAAGAGTAAACTGTATGCCATTTATTCTCAGAAGAGATTAGAAAGGCTAACGGTAAATACATCTCCATGAAGGGTTGTATGGATTGCCGATATGGACAAAAAGAACCAAAGGGAAGGGGAAACCTGGGATTTCGGGTCTTAACCCAGATCAGGTGTTCCGGACCGGACGCCGGACCCTCTTCAGTAAGAATATCTACTGAATATCTTGAATCTAATTGGAACATTTTTTGTATTGCGCAATGGTCAATTGAAATACATAGTTTCATTATTCAATTTATTTAATTAGGTCAATTTTTTTAAAAAGTAATCTTGTGGAGTAAAGAGCAAACATCAGTGCAATCTCTTGCACTAAGTCTTTATCCCAATTTTATTTGTGCACTGAATTTTCGTTTAAAGTTGATAGGATATTTAAGAAAATCGTTCAGGTTCTTTTTTGCGAAAGACTTTATCAAATAGAGACAAAACTATTTCTTTAAGGTATCGATTTTCATTAAGAAGTGTATGAATTTTCTTAAGTTGGATTGATCTAAATCAACCAGAGGATCCACAACATCTAACAATGCGTATCATTTCACCTTCAACACAGCCGTGTTTGACAAAAAAAAAATAGGAGATTGATATTATATTTAGGCATTCTGATGACTGATAACTCTGATAAGTCGTCGTGATCAGTCCTATTAATGGCAAATTGTTTAATAACTTTGTAAAGAGACAAATCAAGGAATGGATCTGGTGTAATCGGTGTCATTCGTTTGTTTATAATAAATTCTTTAGTATATAGTTGGACTAGAGTTGTTACTGATGTTGAGTTTTTTTGTATGCAATCAAAATATCATCCATACATCGAAATCCTTTGATTTTCTTTTAAAATTAATCATTAGTTGTTGTAAAGCTTACTTGTACCGATTCAAGTCTTCTCTCGCTTTGCTGTAGGTGGTCACCTTCTTGAGGTTGGCCTCTTTTACGTGCAACATCTAAACATCAACATTAACTGGATCTTTTTTACAAAAAGCGTACCTCATTTAGCTGCGCTACCCTTGCGTTGATTTGTTGATGAAGTGCCGGCAAATTTTCCTCCTTGTAAACGCGCACTTGCATGTTCAAGGGATCGCGCATTTCCTCGAAAAGATCATCCATCTAAAGTATGTCAAAATTTAGCTTAACAGTAGAATTTCCCTCACCTCTTTTTGCACCAATGGGGTCGACTCGTGCGAGCGATGCCTTATCCCTTGACACGGTCGGCAGTTCTAAACAATTTCCATTTACAGTAGACAAAATCTCAAGCATACTTGTGTCTTGCACTTCTCACAGTGTGCCATCCCATCAACGGTGTTCTAAAGAGAGCTTTGTGAATGTGAATTCCTCCAAAAGCCCCAACCATTTTCCTGCATCCATCGCAAAATCGATCACTTGACGCCTTCATTTCATCGAATTGTTTTACCAAATCGGGCAACTCTTGCAAGAATGCTAAATTTTAAACTATAAAAGGCAATAAAAGAAACTCTACCTTGTAGCTGACTTTTTCCCGTGAGACAAGTTACCTTCGCTAGCGCAGCGCAGATTGGACATTTGATCCAGTACCTAAATTAAGTGTTTTATCAATTTCCTAAAGGATGTTGGCAAATTTCGCATCCAATCAACTCACATTTGCTTCCTTGCGTCGCCCAAGTTCAACTTGCGGTTCTTCATAAAGCATTTCGTGCACATCACGTGACTGCAGCGCATGGCGTACGGTATTCTTTCCTTTTCCGTTGCCGAATCTAAATCAAAGAACATTTTCATCAAATTCAATTCAAACCAACATTCTTCGTGACAAATCCCACATCGAGGCACTTTGAATGCCTAAAGACAATAATATAACGTAAAACCTTGTGATCAAATACCTTCACAAGCAAGTAACCGCCAAAATTGGGCATCAAGACGAGCGCATCGTTCGAGAGGAGGTCTAAAGTAAAAAAGTCAGTCAAGTTTAGATGGTGACAAGATCCTTAAACTCACCAGTGATGAAATGCGCGGGATTCGCGTTGTTGAAGCAATTTGAAGCCGCGCATTGGTGTCTCTTCTTGTCTTTCTTGAGCCCTTCCTCCGTCTCGAAGCACTCCTTACATATCACGGCACCGCACTCGAGTCCTCGTGGTGATTTTGGTTTGGGTGAAAGGCCAACAACTAAAGTCAGAGCTAAAGAATAGACTAAAATGTTTGGCTTTGATGCGACTTTTGTAACTTCTAGATAATTTAGCTTAACTGTTTAAGCATTAACCTCAAAACAATCTACAGGACAAGAAAGCTAACTATGACACTTCAAACATAAAGCTTAAATAACGCTACAACCCGATTTAGATCGACTTTCAACTCTTTTCTTTGCTTTCCTTTGCTAAACACGTTCCGAGCAAGCAAGGTAGATCAATAACAGAAAATTTAGGGTTTAAGAGAAGTAACAATAGTGTTAAACTCTTTAAAAACTCACACGGTGCGTTGCAGAGTTGACAATTCAACGATTTGAAGATTTTCATCGTCGACGCTGGCATAATCTCGTGTCTTCCCATCTCGGAATCGAGCGGCTACCTGAAAGTTAAACGATTAGTTTAGCGATTGAGTAAAAGGAGAAACGCGAGAAAAGTAAGCGATAAAGTTCAAATACAAATGGCAAAATGATCTAAAAAGTGAGTTTAAAGTGGAAAAGGACAAACTTTTAAATTTTTAGATTTCTCAGGTAAAAGCGTAAACGTTAACCTCCAAGACAAAGCAAAAAAAACCCGGCGAACTCATACTATTTTGGGATTTTCTAGCTTTTAACACAAGATGGGGGTGGGACAAATGCGACCTTTTTTTGGCTAGAAATGGCCGTAGAGCTTCATACAAGGAAATCGTATGCGTAGATTCTGAATTTCAACAAATCAGTCCTCGCTGACACACCAAATTTGGGCCAAAAGGCAAAAAATGCAAAAAAGCGTTAAGTTGCGTTCTATGTTATATGTCATCCCATCTCGGAATCGAGCGGCTATCTGAAAGTTAAACGATTAGTTTAGCGATTAAGTAAAAGGAGAAACGCGAGAAAAGTAAGCGATAAAGTTCAAATAAAAATGACAAAATCATCTAAAAAGTGAGTTTAAAGCGGAAAATGACATAAAACTTTTAAATTTTTAAATTTCTCAGGTAAAAGCGTAAACTTTAAGCTCTAAGACAAAGCAAAAAAATCCGGCGAACTCAGTGAGTGGGACAAATGCTACCTTTTTTTGGTCACCCGGACATTTGCGCACCTTTTTTTCCGCACTTAGCCCATTAGCGCACCTTTTTTCGCGTTTTAAAAAAAGCTTTAAAGCTCTAAAAGCTCTAAAAGCTAAATATTAACCAATTTCTATTCCAAAAGTTGTTTTTCTAGGTAATTTTAGGGAGTAGAATCGAAATTTTGGCATATCAGAGCTTGTGGAAGCGAACGAACGGAGTTATACAAAGAGAAAAATCAAAAAATTTTCTGTAATTTGACCTAGCCGTTTCGTTTGTCTATTCAAATTGGTTCCACACGCTCTGTTATGCCAAAATTTGAATTCGACACCCTCAAATTACCTAGAAAAACAACTTTTGGAATAGAAATTGGTTAATATTTAGCTTTTAGAGGTTTTAGAGCTTTAGAGCTTTTTTTAAAACGCGAAAAAAGGTGCGCTAATGGGCTAAGTGCGTAAAAAAAAGGTGCGCAAATGTCCCGGTGCGCAAAAAAAAGGTGCGCATTTGTCCCACTCCCCGAAGTCATACTATTTTCGGATTTTCTAGCTTTTAACACAAGATCAAATTGGATTTTCTTTTACCATTTCTTTTGGCCGTAATCCTGTCGTAAAACGAGAACGGCAACGAGTACGGTAGTTAAGTGTGAAATAGAATTTGCAACTGTTGCTTTTACGGAACGAGCCACAAATCTCGACTTTTACAAGTTTATCGGCACACTTTCTAACTTGTTTTTGTTCAATCTAGCTTTTTCATTTAAAACTAAACAAAAAGCGCCGTACTATTTAGCTACTGGAGTACGGTAAAGTTGCCAAATACCTGAAAATCTTGTACCGAAGTAATTTTTTCGCAAACTTGCTTATTAGAGTGTATTTTCTAAACGCAAAATGAAACCTTTATTCGCAAAATGACAAAATAATTATGAAAAATAATAAATAGACGTTAAAAATTACAAAAAATAGTACATAAGAGATCGATAAAAGAAATGAATAACTTGAAAATTTTACAAAGATGAATCAAAATAGGGGAAATACTTCAAATTCTCGTTATTTCTCTAACTCCTTCATCGAGAACATCGAGAATTCGATGGGTTTCGTCTAAAATTTTCACGGTTCGATTACTTTAAAGTTATCTTTTTAACGTCATCTAAGGCTGGCTGGTTGATTTTTTTGCCCGTAAAAGGTGAAATTTGATATTTACACATCAATCTAACGCTAGAAAATCTCACACAAACCTGCCACTCGCCGAGGTTTTTTTCAGCAAAAAAGTTGAGCAAACGCTTCTTGCAATCCGCGTATGAAGTGTTGCCGGCTTTCACTTGTAAATAGGTGACATCATCTGGAAAATAAAGATAATTTTACTCTTAGCTCCAAGGAAAACTTGGCAAAAAACATTTACCCTAAAGTCGCGAGTATAAGTTCATCCGAGTATAAGTTCTGAATTTACATTTAAAGGGCATTTAAAGGGATGGAAAATTTTCTTCTTTCTTTAATTTTTATTGTTTTTTTGGTTTTTTTATTTTTTATTGTTTTTTTTTGTTTTTTTTTTAATTTTTATTTTACTAACGTTTTTTCATTTTAGATACGATGAGGAGAAAGTCGTACACCCCCGAAACGAAGCTCGAAGCGGCCAAATTTGCGAGGAAATTTGGAACGAACGCGGCTGCGATCGAATTTGAAGTCGCCGAACAGATGATTAACCGCTGGAAACAAGCTGAGCCGGCACTGATGACTTCACCAAAAAATAATCGAGCTTAGCGAGGATTGAGGGCAAAATGGCCGGATGCGGAGAAAGATCGATATTGTTTCCAACCGAACAGTCGAAGTAAAAGGAAATGGTGATATTTCAATTGCTTCAACGGGAAATGAGAAGACGAATTTCACAGTTGTGCTCGAAATTCTAGCCGATGGTTCGAAACTCCCACCGATGCTCATTTTCAAGCGCAAGACTCTTCCTAAAGGAATTTTTCCCGGTGTGATCATCAGTTTCGAAGCTAAGCACAGAATTCTTTTTTATGTCGCTTTAATTGCTTTGAATTTCTTTTTGTTGGGTTTTTATACATTTTTATTGTTATATAAACTTTTATTATTGTTCTTGGAGCGCGGGATACTACAGGGTGACAGCCTATCACCATTGCTATTTGTTATGTGCATGGATACATCCAGACGATAGTGTTGAAGAAGACGCTGGAAAGCATCTCTTTCGACCGTCGACGTGGACTTTGGCCGGATGAAGAGGCCAGGGAGGGATCCATAAGACTTGGCACCGGAGAGGAGCAGGGCGGACGCGCCGAGCCACGCCCGGAGCAACAAATAACAGCACAAAATTGCTATAACCCTCAATAAATTTACTTCTATTGTTCTTAAAAAGCAAAAAAGTTATGCTGCAGCGGGGTTCGAACCCTCGACATACCGTCAATTTGCATGACAGCCTTCAATTTGCATGCGAAAACCAGACAGAACTTATACTCGCGACTTTAGGGTAAAAATTTTACCGGGAATCCCTTTTCCTGTCAACGCCTGCGTAGCCGAGGCGAAGAGTTGAAAGAACGAGCTCGCCGAAAGGCGTGAGACTTCTAAACTTGAAAATTTTATTGTTTTTATACTTTTAAGCATTATCTGATAAAAGAGCAATTCTGAATAGCTTCAAAACTTGTTATTTAACTTTTTTTTTTTTTCAAAACGAACGAACCTCCAGTCAGCAATTTCCCCGTGAACGTGTTGAGCGATTCGAGTGTCTTGTCGACGAGATTCCAATTGATGGACACTTTCTGCGTGGCGATGCCCGTGTTTGGCGTGATCGAATAGGGCTAAAAGGCGAAGATTTCTTTCATTTTAAGTCAATATTGTTGTTTTTACAGCTGTTTCATAAATCCAACTTAAATTCGAGTCAAATGTTGAGTGAAAAGGACTAAATGCACAAATCTGGCGTTTCCTTTTACCTTGATGCTATGTATTGATTTTACCTTGATTGTATTTTAAAGTGCAGCTTTTCTATCGTACTCTATAGAACATTAAAAACTATGTAAACCAATGATACATTAACTTTAACGATAAGAACGATAGACTTGTGTTAATCAAATAAAAAAAAAGCTTCCCACCGTTTGACAAGAAAGACAACTCGGATGATTGAGTCGATACGGTGATCCCTTTGGTGCGCTCAATTCCTCCTCGAATCCCTCCAAGCGACGGGAAACCGCGCGCGCGATTCGAGCCGAATAGAGATCCGAAATAGCGATTGAAGTGAGGTAGACCTAAAATGGAAAAAATGATAAATGGTCTACGTTCAACACACCGGCTCAATGAAATGCCCCAATAAAGCTCCCTTGTAGCCCGAAAACGTTCCAGGTCAAAATCTTGTCCGAGCAGCTTTGAATCCTAAAAGATATTCAGTTTGTAAACTCTAACTGTAAACAGATCGATTTACTCTAACTCACCGATATCTCTGCAATCCGTCAACGGTTTGTACACCGTTTTCCGTTCTCCCAAGCACACTGCCCATTCCTAAAAAGCTATTTTTCAAAAGCCTTTCAAACTTTTCCCAACCATCCTCAATCTTAAATCTCAAACGGCCTTTATTTCGGTCCAAATGTTCGGAGCATTCTTCCGGATTCTCCGTATCTAAAAATAAAAGAAAAGTAAGTTCCCTAGGGAAAAAGATTAACTCACCTTCAAGCGTATACAATCGTCCATCACCACAAGGAGCGGTGTTGATGAAAAGATGAAACGAGAAACGATCACATAGAGATAACTTTTCTAAAAAACAAAAAAAAATCAGGTTTAGCTTGTAAATTTTGTCCTTAAAACATTTTGTCCCTAAAACCCCTAAAATCCCTAAAATCCACTCACCACGAGCCTGTTTTTTCTCAAAAATCGAATTCTCTGAGTCCCAGGTGAAAGCGTTGATTTGCGCGTAGAGAAATCTGAAAAAAACAAACAAACAAAATTTTCACTCAAAATCCACAAAAACCTTCTCAATCCTCGTTTCACCAAAATCTCCGCATGACAATCGATGAGCGCTTTTCCGTGAAAACCGATGTTTTGTCCTGAAAATTAAAAAGTTTTGTTTGAATAAATTTTGTTTATTTTTACGTCGAATGCACTTGTTTCCAGTGGCCAAACTGATACATTTGACTGACGAGGAGTCTTTGTCCATCTAAACAGAACTTTAAAAGAGAAACATTTTTTGGTTAAACCATGAAAATTGAGGCGATCACTTTCTCGGTGCCAACAGCGATCGGGTTTTGTTGGCTCAAACTAAAGGAAATGAATTAAATACTTTTAAAAAGATCAAGATCAATATTATATTGAAATCTGAGTTGAAACGGTTATTTACCCAGGTTTTAAGGCTGTAAACTATGCCAGCCAGCCTCTAACCTTGCCTGAACCGGGTCAGACGAGTTCACAAGCTAATTTGCTGGTTTAGTAATAAGCTAGGAATCAGTACTAGCCTAGTTTGAGCCGGGAAAATTGCTTTGGAGCCTACATAAGGCTTCCTCAACTTGTAACTGGGCTCAACTCACCTGGGTAACTTCTGGACTAGCTGATAAAGCAAGACGTGGCCTTGGCTAGCCAGAATGGCAATTCTTTGATGGCAAGCATCGTATCCTTTGCACTCACCTCCCAAACAGCGCATATGTGTGTTGTCTCAACATCTCTGCCCACGTGTCCTCTCGTTGAAATATCATTGGCGGTGTCGGATCGCCCATCTTTTCTCGTTCCTCTTCACCGATCAGTACCTGTGAATGTTTCTTTTGAAAAAGCCCAGAAACGAGCAACATTGTTTAAAGCAAACCGTCAAGTCCCCAACTTCTAATAAGCGTAAATTAGCCTAATAACACCAATTTCTATCGTAGAATTTCCCCACCTCCAGAACTTGTCTCGCGCAATCCAATTTCGCTACTTTCTTATTGCTGCAAGGAGGGCTTGCAAAGGTTTGTCCATTGAAAAGCATCTTCGCCACAAAACCCTTCTGGTTGGCCGCATCGAAAACCTCGTCGAATTGATACTCGGGTGGCTAAAGTGAAAATTTTTGTTAATACCAGGGCAATTTCTTTAGAAACAGTCTTAAAGTAGCACTTTTTTCGACCCAAACATATGCAGCTACTTTAAAATCAGTATTTGCTTAAAATTCTAACGTTTTTTAACTAAAAGTTTTCTTTCAAAACGATATTTGCTTAAAATTCTAACGTTTTTGAAAATAAAAATATGCTGGCTTCAAGAAATCGCTTTTAAAATGTTTTCTTTGCCTGTTTTTGCCTGCGAAAATGCGGGAATTTTCTTTAAAACTCGTATTCGCGTCGAATTCGTGCAATTTTAAACAGAAAAAATGTGTTGGCTTTAAGAAATTTCTTTCAAAAACAGTATTTGTCCAAATTTCTTGAGCCCAATACGTTAAAAAAACTTCATTTTACAATCCCAAACATATTTCACAGCCTACTTACCGGACTTATCTTGTAGACGCGTTGGAAAAGCTCGCCCGTTAGCGCGAACGCGTTCTTGCCCGTCTCGTTCTCCAACTTTCGGCCACGCGAATAGCGGTTCTCTGAACAAGGGAAATTTAAAGAAATTGTTTTCAAATTTCAAAACAATTTAGAACCATTTGCAAGTCAAAATCTATAAAAATTCCAAGGCTTGTTGCCTTTTCCAACAACTCAACACAACAACAACAAACACCAACCCGTTTCCTCTACCACCTCCATCTTCGCCACCCCATTTTCCTCATCGTTTCCAAGCGTCGTATCGACATTTGACTCGCTGGTATCCATTTTATCTAAAACAAAATAAAAGCTGTAAAAACGAAAAAGATCTCGAATTTCTCGCTAATAACATTAAATTTAACGTTTTCTTTTGCATCAATAGCTAAATTTGAACGCAATTTAGATGCTAAAGTTAAAAAAGAATAAAAACGAGTCGAACAACTGGACCGAAGTTAGGTAAACTTTGAATCAAAAACGAATGGGGGTGGGACAAATGCGACCTTTTTCTTGCGCACCTGGACATTTGCTGGAAAAGGTCGTAGAGCTTCAAAAATGTTTTCATAGGAGGGAATCGTATGCGTAGATTCCGAATTTCGACAAATCAGACCTCGCTGACACGTTAAATTTGGGCTAAAAGGCAAAAACTGCGGAAAAGCGTTAGGTTGCGTAGTTTTTGCCTTTTAGCTCAAATTTAACGTGTCAGCGAGGTCCGATTTGCTTTGATTTGTCGAAATTCGGAATCTACGCATACGATCCCCTTATATGGAAATATTTTCGAAGCTCTACGACCTTTTCCAGCAAAAAAAAAGGTGCGCAAATGTCCGGGTGCGCAAATGTCCGGGTGCGCAAATGTCCAGGTGCGCAAATGTCCAGGTGCGCAAATGTCCAGGTGCGCAAATGTCCAGGTGCGCAAAAAAAAGGTCGCATTTGTCTCACCCCCGTAAACTTTGAATCAAAAACAAACAATCAAAAGAAAAATCGTTTCGATATATAAAGTAAAACCCAACTGAATATCTTTAAAACGAAGGCAAAATTAAGACGCTATCCCAAACTTTCGTATGCAAATTGTAAAATATCGACTTTTTTCCACCACAATGCTGAATATTTTAAATTGCGTAATGAATCTACGTAATGTTCTTTGTATTGTCGCGTTGCCGTAAGAAAAGGTTTTTCCCCTGCTTCACACAAAATAGGCCAAAGTATCACATTTGCTGAGCCGCTACAAACCGCAAAAGTGCGTTGTTTGTCATCAAATTCTTGCCAACTAAACGATTTTCTTTGCCTGATTTGCACTAGGTCGCCAAATTTTCTCATTTTCACCCTATAAAAATACATTTTTTTTTGTGCGAAATCATTCTTTTCTGCATTTTTTCTGCATTTTCAACATTTCTTCTATATCCGATCCATTTCATTGTAAATTTTCTCAAAATTCAGGCAAAATGGAGGACACGGACGAGTCGACGTCGCTCATCATCTACATCCTCTACGTGGCCATCTTTGGTGGGCTGCTCACCGTGCTACGGTTCGTTAGTTTTTTGCTTTATTCTTTACCTTGTAGACGGGGTGCTATAGTAGTTGGGGGGCGGTCTCGTTCAAAAGTGTTCAAAAGTGCTGAAATTTTGCTCCCTGGAGTTTTCGACGATGCTGAATCGATTGATGATATTAAATAGGATTTGGTGAATGCTCTCGTAGAACTTGTCACATCAAAATTGGATGGATGAAAGTAATAATGAGTTTGATTTAGTCTATTCTTGGTCTATTAAGTGTAGCTTAGGATACGTTCGCTATTTTCCTCTCGCCGTATTTGTGGCTACTTTATATGGAGGATGTAGAACAACAAGCAATTGATGTAGAAATCCAACCGAATACCATCGTCCAATGGCATCAGTGGTTCCATAACATTGTTGTTGATCTTGCCTACGATCCTAAGAATTCTTCCTAAGAATCCTAAGAAATAAGAATTTAAGAATGAAAGTAATGATGACTTTGACTTAGTCTATTAAGTGTAGCTTAGGATACGTTCGCCGCCGTATTAGTCCTCTCACCGTATTAGTGGCTACTTGATATAGGGGATGTAGAACAACAAGCAATTGATGCAGAAATCCAACCGAATACCGTCGTCCAATGGCATCAGTGGTTCGGTAACATTGCTTGTTGTTCTACATCCCCCATATCGTTGTTGATCTTGCCTACGATCCTAAGAACTCTACAAACTCAATAGGAGGACCTGGTCAAATTGCTATTATTGATGAGACATTCGTTGTTCGTACGAAATATAACCGCGGCCAAGTAGTTCGTAAGGATTGATAGTTGGAGGTGATGTGTAGTGCACAAAATAAGCCTTCATTGAATTGGTTAGTATCCGCGATGCAGCTACTCTTGACCGTGTCATTCAAAAGTATGTGTTGTATGAAACTACTGTGCACGCCGATAGTCTGACTGGTTGCACCAGTCAGTCTATCGACCAACCTCGGATACGTGCATCAAACAGTGAATCATTCACAGGATTTTGTTAAGCCAGCATCAGGTGTTCACACTCAACAAATAGAGTCTCTTTGGAGTCAACTCAAAAGACAAATTAGGATGAGAAACGGTATTAAGGGTGATCTCTGGGACGATCATTACTTTGAAGTGCTCTAGAAATGGCAGCATAACACCGAAAACCTTTTATACCTTTTCTGGGACGAAGTGACCAAGAAATATCCATTGACTTAAGCTGTTTCTTGTTACTTGATCGTTACGTCGTTGCCTTGTTATTTTTGATAAATATTTTTTATAAGGTATAATATTACAAAAATAAATAAATCATATTCAAAATTCGATTCAGCATGGTCGAAAACTTTAGGAAGCAAAATTTCAGCCCTTTTAAACAAGTTTTAAAACTACTATAGCACCGGATAAGGTGCAGAGTGGCTCCTTTCAAACACTTGCTTTAAAATGTATTATTGTTGACAAGTTAACGATCACAGATCAAAGTTTTGAATTGTTTATGAGCTTTGCAAACTTGGGATTAATGTTTTTGAACCTTAAAAGGATCATTAACTGTTTGGCATAACTGCTTTAAACTTAAGGCCAACCTTTTACGGAATAGAACATCTTTGAAATTGAGTTTAGATCAACTGAACTTATTCACAATAGCAGACCTGTGATTGGAAAGAGCGAATGTTGCTTTTCATTAAACTTATTTTTTGTTACTTTCAGCCACTACTTCAAGGGAGCGCAATTTAACGAGAAAGTCACCGCAAAGGATAAAGTGGCCGTGATCACCGGAGCAAACACGGGAATCGGCTTGGAGATCGCTCGCGAGTTAAACCTACGAAAAGCCAAGGTAAAGCTTTAAACTACGTTTCGTGCAACGTTTTAGCCTGTAAATCGTTTTTTTTAGGTTTACATGTTATGCCGGGACGAGAAACGAGCTCTTGATGGAAAGGCGACTCTTGTGAGGGTAAATTTTTATGTCTTTTAAAAACAGTGTTGCAAAAAGTGTAATTTTATCAAACGCAAAGCAATCTTGAGATCACGAGTACAATTCATTGTGTATCGCCTCATCTTGCATGTAGAGGTACTGCTCGAACTCTTCGAAGAGCTGAAAGTTCAGTCTTTAGGGAAGAAAATAATTTATTAGTGCAAGTTGGATAGTTAAAGCTCTTCATTTCTCAAACCTTTGCAAATAGGCGTCCAATCATTGAGCCAATGAAAACGGAAATCGAGAAAACGATGACAATTTTTCCGGCAAATCTTTTCGCATTTGGTCGTGGTGGGCAATAAGTGTCAGATAAGAGTAAAGATGTTCGGAAATGTTGATGCTTTGATTGGAGTTTTGGCTGAAAATTAGTTTACAAACTTTTTTCAACCAAAGCTACGATGAATTATGACTTAAACTAATAAGAATGTTATTAAAACTAATAAACTAGTAAGTGCCGATTTAGCCCGATAAATCTCAGCCTATATGGTCAAACCTTTTTATGCAAGTTTGCTAAGCCAGCGATTTGTCGTCGTAGGGAAATTCCTGGACTTGTTAAGGCTCGATTCAGCAAGTACAACATTCTAAAATCTTGAAAATTGTCGAAAAATAAAGCGGTTTAAGCCGATTTTTTGTGTAATATTCGCTTTTTTTAGATGGGATGCGACCCAACTCGTCTCATCATCGAGCAATGCGATCTCGCCAATTTTGAATCGATTCGAAACGCGGCAAATGCTATTTTAAAAGGTGAGCTCTCTTTTTTTGCGCAAAAAAGCCCAATAAAATCCGATTGCACACGGTCAAATTGAGGTCAAAATGTTGAAATTTAACCTAATTTACGAAATTTTTCTAAAGGTTTTCTCGTTTCGACCAAGAAAAAGAAAAGAATCCTCCACTCCGCGTTATCAGTGAGCGAAGAATGAGATAAATTTATGAGTTTTTTCGTGACATCTATAGAATTTCATGAATCATTCTTTTGCGAAGAGAAGTTATCGATGAGTCACGCATAAAATTTAAAACAATTTGAGCAACAAAGCTTTTGGTTTAGCAGATTTGTGCGCAAAATAGAAAAATTACCGCAAAGCTTATTGAAAATCAACTGTCCAAATTTAGCCGAAAAGTCGATCGACATCTTGGTGAACAATGCCGGTGTGATGTTCTATCCGAAATATGAGAAGACGATCGACGGACACGAGATGCACTGGCAGAGCAATCATTTGGGTAAATTTTTGCGGAAAAATTAGGGCATTATGATGCTAAATCGTCTACGCGTCTAGGCTTTAAACAAACAGTCGGAATCTTTCACTTTTTAGGACCTTTCCTTTTGACGGAGTTGTTGTTGCCGGCGCTGAAAGCCTCTCCTTCTGCTCGGATCGCGAATCTCTCGTCAATGCTCCACCTTCAATCCGATCGCATCGACGTCTCGAAAATTGATGAGAAGAAAGAATTCGGCCTCCTAAAGCCATATTTCCGCTCGAAACTAGCGAATGTGAGTTGATTTTGGTTTAATGGCTGGTAGTATGCTTGGCTAGTAATGGCAAGTATTATGCTTTGGTTCGTAATGGCTAGTAGTATGCTTTGGCTAGTAATGCTAGTAGCATGCTTTTAAGTTGTGTTTATTTAGATAAGTTTGTACTGTAGCTGTTCATAGTTCTCCGTTGATCAAGCAAAAGGATTCATTTTAGGTAATGCATGCGCGCGCTTTGACACAACGACTTCGTAAAGAGGGAACACACAATGTGATCATCAATAGTTGCCATCCTGGTGGGTTTTATTGACATCCTGTACATTTTCCTCAAAGGTACAACTAACTTTGAAGCTTCTTTCTTTTTAGGAGCCGTGAACACCGAGTTGAATCGCCACTTTTTCCTTGCAAATCTATTCAAAACAGTCGGGAAACCTTTCATGTAGGTTTTTAAAGGTTTTAATCAAAAGCATTATGAATTTATTTAGGTGGTTCTTCACAAAAACGCCTCGCGATGGTGCACAAACGCCGCTCTACTTGAGTCTCTCAAAGAAGGTTGACGGAATTAGCGGAAAATATTTCAGGTAAACGATTGTCTATTACGGAAAATATTTTTGGTAAACGATTTTCAAATGAAATTAATGTTTGAGATTGTTAGGATTTGCTAAAATGAGCTTTTAAACTTGCTCTTTCCTTTTCAAATTTAACTTTTAGTGACTGTGCGATCAAGTCGGAAAACGTGTTAGCTTTGGATGAGAATGCTTGCGAGGATCTCTATAATTACAGCTTAGAAACGTGCGGACTTCAAAAATAAGAACAAAATCGTTAAGTTTATCATTTCTAATCGCTTTTGTACGTGTTTTTACAAATTGTTCGGTTTATGCTTTTGCGGTTATGCCATCTCTTGCTCAATAAGTACCCTATTTTTTCTTCATTTTTTTTGATCCCCTTTCTTTTGTAGATCTAGTCAATCGTGTCAATTTTGCTTAAAATTATTTAATGAAGTTTGTGGTGAGGGAATAAATGGTTTGATTTAGTGAACTGGATAGGAAAAGCAGTCTTTAAATAACTGAAATTCCGTTGAAGATCCTTGTTTCTTGCACATCATTTCCTTGAAAAAAAATCAGCTGTTGCATTGAGTGTGTGAGATTTGAAAAAGTGTAAAATCTCACAAATCTCAAGAAAAAAAGCTGAACAATTCCAGAAATATCTAAAAAATCAATTTGATCATCTTTCTCATACCCATTTAATTCTGATCTCCACTTAAACTACCGTAAACCGGTTTCAATTACTGTATTCATATTGTGCTTTCTATTCTGGATCCAAACGACCGTAATCTGCTCATATTTTAAAATGACTACTGTAGTATTTGGCGCTTTTGAATTAAAAAATGCTTTCGAAGAGTGCGAACGAATTCGAAAATTCCCAATTTCACGACGAAAATTGCTTTCGAAATCGACAATCGTTGTGGGTTTTAGTTTTGTTTTGCGGGTTTTGCAGGTTTTGCAATCGATTGAATCATGAAATTTTTCCGATTTACATCATCATTACCTTTCCACTTAAAAATCTCGCAACTCATCCAACTTTTCATGATCATTTAAAACGTTTTTGCTGATCCTGGAACGCAACTTGACCCTTGAAAAAGGGAAAAAGTGAAATCGAGACTTTTTTTCCCCAAGACGAGTTCAGCTGTCAACTCTGACGCTTTCTGGCCCACAAAAACCGAACAGGCAATCGTTGTGCGATCCAGAGCGACTTTTCCCCCTTGTTTTTCGCCCCTCTTTGGCTCTTATTTCACATGAGCTTTGCCTCATCAGCTCTCTTCATTGTTTGTCCCAGGATGAGGACCCAATCTTTTCCCCCACGTTCCCATCCCTAAATCTTTTTGTTTTTCGAAAACATTTGGCCCAATATCGATCCCCGTTCACTTGAATTGCTCGAAATTTTCACTATTTCTTACAAAAATTCCCCTAAACAACACTGAGAAAACGTGACTTTTCAAAAATGCGAAATTCAGTTTCTTTTAAATCCTAAGAGCTTTTGTGCGTTCCAGAATGCACAAAATTATCTTTTAAAATCAAAGAACTCAATTTTTTCGATGAGTTTTCGGAGCGAGAACAGAGCGGAGGGTCGACTTTTGACCTTAGACGTTCGCATCATCGTTTCGCAATTTTTCGCCTTTTCGCCTCCCGTTCATCCCTTTCCCTGCAACCCAATATTGATTCGGTAACTCTCCGGGAAATTTGTCAACAATGTTGTTTACGAGGAAAAAGGCCTCAACCCTTTTTTTTTTTCACTAAAAGCAGAAATTTTTTTTTGAATGATTTTCAGGATGATAAAATTCTTAAATTCTTTCATTTTTTTTTGCTTAAAATTTGACGGAAATTTTTGTGCTAAACGTTCTTTTTTTTTGCTTAATTTTTCCCGGTACTTTGTGGGTTGGGGTCATCGATATTTTTGATTTTTTTCACTTTTCTAAGGGTAATCGAAGGTGCTGAGCATGAATTTAAGAGTTTTAGCATAGGTTTCAACTGAAAAAAAAAAGCCATTTCGAAACGTTGAAAAGTACACTTTTTTTTTTGCGGAGAGCGGAGGCCGACCCCCTCGGCCTCCGCTCTCCGCCTCATAACCTTCATAGCGCCTAGAAGGATAGAGGAGTTTCAACGTGTCGAAATGTCGGTGTTTTTCAGTTCAAAAAACCTATGATAAAACTGTCAAATTTGTGCTCAACACCCTCGATTACCCACTAAGAAAATGAAAAAATAAAAACAAATAAAAACAAATACAATATAGATGCCCCCACAAAACCCACAAAGACTCGCAAAATACCTTTTTCTCTTTTTTTCTCTTCACAAACTTCGAAATTTCGATTTAAGGTTTGATTTAATTTAAGGAGGTTTCTTTTATTGCTTTTGACAATTTAGATAGATATTATGAAGGGTTTGTGAAGGAAATTTTTGCTAAAAAACTTATGATTTGCCTAAGCCTTTTCCATTTTTAGAACCAGCATCAGAAATCCTCAACAACGATGGACGAGGATGTGCAAGAAATCGATTGTGAGTTCATTTTACTGTAAAAAAAACGAAATAATTTAAACCTTTTTTTGGAAAGGCTGACTTGGAAAAAAATGATTGAAAAAGATTTTTGAATGAAAGTAAAAGTAAAGAGATTTTTTTTCTTTTTTTGCCTTTTTTTTGAGACACGGCCTTTTTTTTTCAAACCTACATCAACAAATGGTTATTTTAAAATAATTTTTCCCTTAGTTGGAATGCACAAGAGTTTTCGAATGTAAAAAAAAATTGATTTAATGGAAATAGAGAAAGTTCGATTTCATTGAGCTTTACTCAATGAAACTTGTCGTTTGCGAAGAAACTAAATAATTTAAACCTTTTTTTGGAAAGGCTGAATTGGAAAAAAAATGATTGAAAAAGATTTTTCTTTTAGATGGAGCGCAGGAGAAACCTTCAAGTGATCTCATCGTGGAAATTCCGAAAAATGAAGAGGTTACTTTATAATTTGTTATTATTTACAAGTGTACTCGGCTAAACAAATTCTCTAAAAAGCACAGTGAAAAATGAAAAGCGAATTCAGGAGAAGAATTGTGGTTATTTAAAGAGTTTTGTATATCTATTTGAATGGAAAAATCCACTTTGATTTGAGCTGGACAATTAAGAGGACTTTAGAAGAACTCTAGAAGTGTTTTAGCGTTTACATTGTGCAATCTGGATATCAGATACCCTATTGGCACTAGAGTCGTTCCCTATTGATTGAATCTAAATTTTCGATTTTCACCGATTTTCGATAAACTATCGTCATCCCGATTGCCCGTTTTCATCAAATTAGCTCAATTTTGATTTTTTTTTTGCTCCATTTCACTAACTCCAACCGAATTCACTATCGCGTTGAGCCTGGAGATTAAACGGAGAGGAGAAAAATGGAGATTAAACGAAATTAAACGAAATTAAACGAGATTTCAATCCTTCGACAGTCAGCTTCTGTTTTTCTGAAAAAATCTTTCCTGTGCCATCCAGATCGGCAGAAAATCCAAAAAACATTCATCTAAAACTCATTTTTAACAAAGATTTTCAAACGAGAGTTTAATCTCGTCATTACGGTAGTTTTTGGTGCCTTTTAGAGAAGGGATTTTTGATGGAAAAGATGAAAATTTCCTTTAGATTAAATCCTCAACAGCGACAGCCGACGATTTCGTATCGCAACGTGACGACGAATTCCCTCAAGTGGTCGATGTTGAGAGATTCGATCGGAAATCTACTGATAGAGAGGTGATGAATCGAATAATAATAAATAATAAATAATTGAATAATAATAAAACTTGTTCCGTTGAACATTTGAACTTTTTGATGAGACAATTTCTAAGACAATAGTTATCGTTTTTTATGATAATAAGCTAAAGTTTTGTTTCCAGGATCCCCTCATCGATCAGCCAACTCCAACAGAAACGCCAAGCGCTGAAGAAGTCCCGAAATTGAGCGACGACACTATGCCACTTTCAGTAAGATTTTAGTGAAGTCACATTTTCTTAAGACTTAATAGAATCCCGAACCCCTCCCGCAAACGCATATGTCCGTCGACTCGGAGAATGGAGATTATGAAAAAGTGAGTGAGACAAGCGAAAGGAAAAGCGAAAAAGGTTTTATGGTTTATTAAGCTATCTGGAATACAGAAAGCTTTGGCTAGAAGTTTTTTTTTGAAGTGATAACTATCCTATAATAAGTTTCAAAATAAGTGTTTTCTCTAAAATAAGTTTTTTGAGCCTTCTGGAGCACAGGGTCAACGAATAAATGCAAAAAAAAAAATTCAGCTCAACGCCGATGAGGCTGATGAGGAACGAGAGGCGCCAAGAATTGAGAAAACGGTCAGTTTTTATCGTTTACTGGCACTTGTTTTGATAAGAAATAAAAGAAATAGAGAAATAAAGAAATAAGCTCTGTGAAATTTCAGAATCCAATTGTTGACATTTCTCCGGAAACAACGAAAATCGAATCGGCAACGGTGGATAACGAAAAAGAGGCGACACTGAAAGAAAGTTGCGAGAAAAACGATAAATGCGGTTGGTTTCAGGGTCTTTAGAGGTCTTATTTTAGAGGATTTGATTTTAGAGGATTTGTAGAGCTAGAGTACATCTAATTCCTATTTCCGACAAAATACCCTAATCTGTTCACCAATTTCCAGCAAATCAGTCAAATTCGACCCAAGAATCAAAATGCATTCAAAAGAATTAAGAATTTGAAGATTTTTGGACATTCTGGATGTCACACTAAAACTCTAGCTAGTTTCTTGGTTAAAAAAAGGAAATTTTCAACGGTGTACTTTGGACTGTTTCGTAATCTAAGGCTAAAACCTAAAAAATTGCTAAGTATAGGATTTTCGGCTTAACTAAATATTCATCCTGGATAGCACGAGAGCTTTTAAGGGGGAAAACTCATAGCTACAGTAAACTTGGCCATTTCGGGTTACGGTAATCGGGTTGATACCGACTCGAGACGTGATATCGCCTTTGTACAGGTAAATAGAATTAAGAATTGAAGATTTTTGAGCATTCTGGATATCACACTAAAATTCTAGCTAGTTTTTCGGTTAAAAAAAGGAAATTTCCAAAAGTGTACTTTGAACTTTTTCGTAATCTAAAGCTAAAACCTGAAAAAATGTTAAGTACAGGGTTTTCGGCTTAACTAAATATCCATCCTGGATAGCACGACAGCTTTTAAGGGGGAAAACTCATAGCTACAGTAAACTTGGCCATGGCTAGCTAATGGCTGATCGAATGAAAACTAGGTTAGGATTACGGCAGTTTTTTTGGAAGCAGGTGCTTTTTAGGGGAATGGATTAGCACAAGAGAATACAATTGCCAAGAGAACTTATCATTTTCCTTTTCCAGGTTGCCCTTTCTCCGAAAATCGTCACCTCGTCTTCGCGGTTGGCGCCGGTTTAGCGTTGTTGGCGCTCGTTTTGGCGGCGAGACGGTGTCACACAAGTGCGAAATGTCACTAAAAATCTCCTCTCCAATCTCTTCTCTTCGAATAAGCTACAGGATTACTGTAGTTGCAGGAATTCATAGATTTTTCTACCGTAATCCAATCCAATCTTTATCCAAAACCGAAACTTTTTCATTTCACGATTACACAAATTCGAAGAACTCGAAGAATTCGAAATTTCGGGTATTCTTTAAACTTTTCTTTCCATTCTTTTCTAATACTTTAAAACTTTAAAATAGAAAATTTTCTACGATAGCTTTAGGCATTTTTCTTTTTATATTTTGAAAGTAAAGAGATTTTTTTTTCTTTTTTTTGAGACACAGCCTTTTTTTTTTCAAAGCTACACAAACAAATGGTTATTTTAAAAGAATTTTTCCCTTAGTTGGAATGCACAAGAGTTTTCGAATGTAAAAAAAAATTGATTTAATGGAAATAGAAAAAGTTCGATTTCATTGAGCTTTACATACAAACTCCTGCTATCCTGAGGGAAACTTCAGAGGGAACCAGCTACTAGATTAGTCGTTCGATTAGTCTTTCGCCCCTATAACGCCAGTCAGACGATCGACGTCAGAATCGTTACGGACCTCCACCGGAGTTTCCTCCGGCTTCGTCCTGCTCACGTACCTGTCCTCCGCGTTTGCTCAGTTTCTGCTTGATGGATTTCAAAATTTTTTTCATTTCTCTTTTAGTTGGAATGCACACAAAAACTTTGACAAATTAAAATTTTTAATTTGTCAACAAAAAAATTTTTTTTTTTTTTGAGGTACGGCCTTTTTTTTCAAAGCTACATAAAGAAATGGTTATTTTAAAATAATTTTTCCCTTAATTGGAATCCACAAGAGTTTTCGAATGTTAAAAAAATTTGATTTAATGGAAATAGAGAAAGTTCGATTTCATTGAGCTTTTGCTCAAGAAACCTGTCCTCCGCGTTTACTCAGTTTCTACTTGATGGAAAATTTTTTGAGATCCATTTCTCTTTTAGTTGGAATGCACACAAAAACTTCGACAAATTAAAATTTAAAAAATATTTAATTTGTCAACAAAAAAATTTTTTTTTTTTTGAGGTACGGTAGCTGGGACACTTTTTAGAAATACAAAAAAACAATTTCTTTATTTGGGCCATTTCAGAGAGATTTTTGTGAGGAAAGGAATAACGAAAATAACAATAAAAAGAGACAAAACAGGGATTACTGTAGCTATGTTTTTATTTCATGGAACATTTACCGTATACCCATAAATGTCACGAGGAGGGTCCCGTTTATAGAAAAAAATCGAAAAATCGAAAAATCGAAGAAAAAAACGCGAAAATAATCGAATTAAAGTCTCTCTTGGCACATAGAACGAAAAAAAGACGAAACGCAAATTCAAATTCATTTTAATTCAATACAATACAAATTTCCGACATTCAGGCCAACTGTAGGGTACTGTAATATGAGAGAATTTTTCATTTTCACATTTTCCAATCTTTAGCCATTTAGCTCCTCCCTGTGCACTCCAGATTGGCAGAAAATGCGAAAATTTCCCCCCTAGCTCTAGCCGAGTACGGTAGTTTACGGTGGGTAGGGATACGGTAGTTTATGAGATTTGCTCAATTTTAAACTTTCCCTGGTTTTTTCGTTTTCATTCCCCCCTGTGCACTCCAGATTGGCAGAAAATGCGAAAAATTACACGGAAACCCATTTTTTTAAACAGAGAACTCCTCGCGGCGAGTGAACAAGCGAAAAGCTCGCTTCTCGCTCATTGAATCGCTTCGTTTTTTTGTTTTTCGCTCAATCTGGAGGGCAACTCGTAAAATTGAAAAGCTGAAAGTTAAAAATTTCACTTTTTTTCCTCTTTACTACATCACGGTACTAACTACAGTACTACAGTACTACAGGAAACCCTCGCGGAGGAAAATATAAAAAAACAGATCATTGAATCATCAAAAAACATCAAAAAACAACGCCTAAAATGCACGAAATGACTTAGAATTACGGTAGTCGATGAAAGGGGCGCAAAATAGAGAAGAAAAAAAGACGATCGACCGGGATTACGGTAGTCGATCCAACTTTTACAGAAAATACAACTTTGTGCTATTTTTATTAGACGAAAATTTGAGATGCGTTCCAGGATCGCCGAAAAAGGCCGGCAATAAAATTTAGAGAAATTTTAAACCCAAAAAATCGTCGCAGTCTCGTTTTTGTGAATAATTCGGAATTCGGAAATTTAACGAAAAAAAAAGTAGGATTTGCATTTTTATAGACAATCCTTAAATTTCCGAGGGTTCAAAGTGCTAAAATAAACAAAAAAACAAATTTGAGCCGCCTAGAAAAGAGAGTCGAAGTCGAGGTGAGCAGGGGAATTTAAAAAAAAAAAAAAAAAAACGAAAATTTTTTTGTTTTCAGCTCTACCACTACAATGTGTGACATCCAGAATGGCGAGAAATCCCGAAAAATCGATCAATCCGCATTTCGGACAGTCTTTAAAAAGGGGTCATGTCGTTTGAACTCTTCGAGCGCTCGCTCTGTAGCCACATCCGGCGGCAACTCGCTCTTTTTCTGAAAAAAATTCAAATTTTCCCTTACACACTGGGATACGGATTCAATTTGCATTCAATTTGCATTCAATTTGCATTCAAAAATTTACATCTAACCATCTCTACAAGTTCTTCGCTTTCTATTTGACAACCCGACTACCGTAACCCAAAATCCAAAATGATCAAGTTTACTGTAGCTATGAGTTTCACCCCTTAAAAGCTGTCGTGCTATCCAGGATGGATATTTAGTTAAGCCAAAAACCCTGTACTTAGCAATTTTTTAGGTTTTAGCCTTAGATTACGAAACAGTCCAAAGTACACGTTTGAAAGTACCTTTTTTTAAACAAGAAACTAGCTAGAGTTTTAGTGTGACATCCAGAATGTCCAAAAATCTTCAATTCTTGTTTTTTTTTACCTGTACAAAGGCGATATCACGTCTCGAGCCGGTTTGTCCTGAGTCCATTCGAAATCCATCACCGTCGCCGATCCCTCTTCCCTCCAAACTCAAATCCTCCTCCTCAGCCAACCATTTCGGTCGCGATGGGTGATCGGTGCCAAAAATCGACGAGACTTCAACCCACTGAAAATCATTTTTTTCAACTCCGAGATTACTGTAGTAGAGCGTGTGGCAGAGGAAATGAGGGTGGATCAGCAAAAATTCTCCCCTTTACCTCTGCTGTGCTATCCAGGAAAGCTTTACCTTTAGCCAGGTTTACGTATTTTTTTGCTTTACGCATGACAAAACCCTCCAGCTACGGTAAAGCAAGGAAATTTGTGGCGCTCACCTTCGGATTCTCTCTGGCGGCCGTCTCGATTTGTTCCCATTTGAGCTCTTTCTTCGCGGCTCGCTCTTTCTCCAACTCGCGTTCTTTATTGAAATTCTGACTGCACTCGTCGAAAAGCTTTTGATTGATTTCCATGAATGTCTTCAAAGCATTGTAGATTAAACCATGAATTGTTCTGAAATTTTTCAAAAAATCAAAAATTTTAACTTGTTAGCTCCGAGCCAAATTGATATTTTAGTTACTACTGTTATTATTGAATGATTTGTCTATTCTTATGCAAATGTGTCCTCCCCTTTGCTTATCCCTTTTATTGCCGAGAAGGGGCGATCCTTGGGATTGCCTAGAAGGACAGTGAGGAGCCTAGAAGGACAGTGAGGAGCCTAGGAGGACAGTGAGGAGCCTGGGAGGACAGTGAGGAGCCTGGGAGGACAGTGAGGAGCCTGGGAGGACAGTGAGGAGCCTAGGAGGGCAGTGAGGAGCCTGGGAGGACAGTGAGGAGCCTGGGAGGACGGAGGAGCCTGGGAGGACAGTGAGGAGCCTGGGGGGCAGTGAGGGGCCTGGGAGGACAGTGAGGAGCCTGGGAGGACGGTGAGGGGCCTGGGAGGACAGTGAGGAGCCAGGGGGGCGTGAGGAGCCTGGGAGGACAGTGAGGAGCCTAGGAGGGCAGTGAGGAGCCTGGGAGGACAGTGAGGAGCCTGGGAGGACAGTGAGGAGCCTGGGAGGACAGTGAGGAGCCTGGGAGGACAGTGAGGAGCCTGGGAGGACAGTGAGGAGCCTGGGAGGACAAGTGAGACTCTCATTTGGAGTCCCCCCTTCCCCTTACACTTATTTGTAATCTATTCGTCTTATTATACTACTGTAAATAAAGATACATATCTTCCGGGTCAACTGCAACTGCAGTACAGGTCGGTCATTTCACAGGGACTCCCCTCTAATACGTTGGAGGAGTTGAGTTGGGTTGTCGGGGGTGTTAGAGATGGCGGGATCTCAAAAGGGCTCTCTCTTTAACTCTCTTTAACTTAACCCCAATTCTAGTCCACATCCGTTTATACCCAAGGAACGAATAGACTCAAAAATTTTTAATTTAAATTTTCGTTTTTTTTTCGATTTGAACCGTTTCAAGAAGAAGGAATTTCACTTTTCGTTAAATGTTTTTTTTTTCTTTTTTTTTCCTTTTTTCTTAAACAATTTTTTAGAATAAATGCATTCCAATTTGGCTTTTTAAAAGTTTAAAATTTTAAAGGCTTTTAAAGCTAAAGGCTTCAAAGTTTAAATGTTTTTAAAAACTCACTTATTCCAGTGAGATTTCGAGTGCTTGTAGAGTGCGGGGAACATGATCGGCAGAATCTCTTGCGCGTTTTCTCCAATCAAATTCATCACGTAGTCATTGTTGAAATAGTACAGAGCACGTTCGGCCACCTAAATAGGAAAAGATGATTTTCTAAAATATGGACAATCTCCTTTCCTAAAACGTGTCCCTTTTTTTTGGTTTACTGGAAACGGTTTCTAGTCTAGTTACTACTGAAGTGATAAAGTGTCCTAGAGAAATAATTCTTCAATCTGGAGCTCACGAAGTATTTCTAGGCTATCATCTTAATGAAAGCACTAAAATGGTCATCTTGAAGTCCTTCCACAGCAACCCCGCCGTGACTCAAAACCCATTCCCACTTAGATAACAACTCTTCCTTTCCATCTGATTCACCGATCTGGAGCTCACGAAGTATTTCTAGGCCATCAGCTCAATGAAAGCACCAAAACGTCGTCTCGTGGTCATTCCACAGCAACTCCACCATGACTCAAAATCCATTCCCACTTAGATAACAACTCTTCCTTTCCATCTGATCACCGACTGGAGCCACGAAGATTCTAGGCCACAGCCAATGAAAGCACCAAAACGTCGCTCGTGGTCATTCCACAGCAACTCCACCATGACTCAAAATCCATTCCCACTTAGATAACAACTCTTCCTTTCCATCTGATTCACCGATCTGGAGCTCACGAAGTATTTCTAGGCCATCAGCTCAATGAAAGCACCAAAACGTCGTCTCGTGGTCATTCCACAGCAACTCCACCATGACTCAAAATCCATTCCCACTTAGATAACAACTCTTCCTTTCCATCTAATTTACCGATCTGGAGCTCACGAAACACTTTCCAGCAATTGCCACTGAGCTGCTGTCCCTTCTCTCTTTCAAACCTGAAAATGTGGACTTGACACGCATTTGGCCAACTGGGTGAACAGCGGTTTCATGACTTTCTTGAACTCAGACGGTTCGATCACGTCAAGCACCTCTTCGAGCTCATTCAGGAACATCACCTAAAAATGATAGATTAAAAAAAAAAGATGTCAGTACTCGAAAAAGCGAAAAGAATCTGACTCACTTCTTTCGGACTGTGAATTTTCGGCCAAAATTTTAACAATCCCGAGATGACCGGCTCGGTGAGTGATGGGTCTTTTTCCAAGAATTGCACGACACAGTACGCCAATTGAGGATGGTAGACGGTTAGGGATTTGACCTAAAAAAAGGCTTAAACAGTAAATAGCTTTAATAAATTAAATAAGAAATTTTTGATTTAATTTGGATTAGCTTTGATTTGAATTGAATGATTGAAAAGTTTAAAAAATTGATAAAAGATTTAAAATCCTAGATTAAATCCAGGTTTGGCTGCAGAAAACGAACTTTTTTTCTGGTTTAAAGCATCAAGATCTTTATCTTTAAGCTATTTATCTTTAAGCTCTTTATCTTTAAGATCTCTTCATTTCTTTCACTTTCTGGTCATTCATTTCATTGATTCATTTCCAGTAATAGTTATTAAACGAGAATTTGAATGAATTTTTCGAAATCTTCAATTTGATTGGACAAATTGGTTTAAAGCATCAAGATCTTTATCTTTGATTGGACAAATTGAGTCAACATCGAAGTCAATAAAAATTACCCAAACAAACCTTATGTAATGGTAGCAAAACTCGCAACAAAAACGTCTTATGCTCTTCTTTAAGCGGAATTGCGAAACCATTGATGATCGAGCTGTAAAAGGGAAATTTCAGTATTGCCTTGAAGGTGATTTTTAAACGAGATTTGTTTAAACAAGATTTGCTTAAACAAGTTTTGTTTAAAATGAGATTTTTGTTCTCGAAAAACTCAAGCAAAACAGTTCTAGCCTTGTTTAAGAAGTCAGAGCTAGAACTGGAAAGTTTAGAAATGATCGTGGAAATGATTAAAAATCGAAAGATTCAAGTGTGCACTCCAGAATCAAGATTGAAATAAAGAAATTTGCAAAAATATTGTGAAACAACAGAGAAAAGTGCTCAAAATCTTTTTGACCAAAAAACGAACGAAAAATTTCATCGAAAAACGAAAAAAATTAAGTGAAATCCTTTTTTGTGCTATCCAGGATGAAAGATTTTTGAAAAATAAAATTCGAATTTGTAGAATTGGCCGAGAAAAATTGGTCCGAAAAATTGGCCGAAAAATGGCCGAAAAAATGATTACCCTAAAATCTCGAGCAATTCAGCAATTCCATTGTGCCTTTCCGTCTCATAGATGAACGAGTAGAAGACGTTGTTGATCTGAAAGCTCGTAAAATAGATTGACGTAAAATAGATCGACACTTTTTCTCGAAACACGTACACTTTTTCTGATGAACGCTCGTAAGCCAAGAAATTTCCCGTAAATTCGATGAAGGGTCGTTTTGAGGAAATCCCTTTCGCGCGGATCCTCCGAGTCCATAATGTCGAGTAGCTAAAGAAAAAAGCAAAATGGACATTTGCGCACCTTTTTTTTCCGCACTTAGCCCATTAGCGCACCTTTTTTCGCGTTTTAAAAAAGCTCTAAAGCTCTAAAAGCTCTAAAACCTAAATATTAACCAATTTCTATTCCAAAAGTTGTTTTTCTAGGTAATTTTAGGGCGTAGAATCGAAATTTTGGCATATCAGAGCTTGTGGAAGCGAACGAACGGAGTTATACAAAGAGAAGAATCAACAATTTTCTGTAACAATTGACCTAGCCGTTTCGTTTGTCTTTCAAATTGGTTTCACACGTTAATATTAGCTTTTAGAGGTTTTAGAGCTTTAGAGCTTTTTAAAACGCGAAAAAAGGTGCGCTAATGGGTTAAGTGCGGAAAAAAAAGGTGCGCAAATGTCCGGGTGCGCAAAGGTCGCATTTGGTCGCAAAAAAGGTCGCATTTGTTCCACTCCCCTACTAAACCCATCACATCACATGACATCCAGATTCTACAATTTTATTATCAAAATTCAAATTCATATTTAAAAACGCGAGATTTTCACTCAGCGTCCATACCACTTAAAACGCAAATTTTTTATAAAGCAAAATTTTTATAATCCTACTAAACCCATCACTTACATGACATCCAGATTCTACAATTTTATTATCAAAATTCAAATTCATACTTTAAAACGCGAGATTTTCATTCAGCGTCCATACCACTTAAAACGCAAATTTTTATAAAGCAAAATTTTTATAATCCTACTAAACCCATCACTTACATGACATCCAGATTCAACGATTTTATTATCAAAATTTAAATTCATACTTTAAAACGCGAGATTTTCACTCAGCATCCAAACCACTTAAAACCAAAATTTTTTATTTTTGATGAAATCAATTTTCTAGCCATCTTTTTCACTAGAATGCTTTCCAGATTAATCAAAATTTTTCGCAAAATTCGAAATTTCCTTTAATTTCCCTTAATTACCTTGAGCAAAAAGCGTTGATCAATGTATTTCTTGGCGAGCGACGATTGAAAATCCGGTGACTCGAGAAAGCGAAGGAAAAACTCGTAAACTAGCTGCAAATGTGGCCAAGCTGCCTCGAGATTTGGCTCATCCTCGTCCGGATCGTATTCGGCGCCTGGAATTTACGAATTTAGGATTTTAGTCTTTTTCTGGAGTTAGCTTTCGCTTTCCGACCGAGAACTTTTCACGTTTTAGCATTAGAAAAAGAAAAAACGAGTTACCTGATGGATTTGATGGAGGTGGCAAGACGCGGAAGAGATTCACGGCGAACTGAAAATCGGGAATGCTCTTTAATGCTCTTTAATTCTCGACAATTCTCTACAACTCTCTTCAATTCTCTTCAATTTTCGTTTTCTATCATTTTCAACTAGCTCAGCTTTATGAAATGTGCCCGAAAATGAAATCTAACCACTCTAGATTCTCAAATGCTTTCCAGAAATGAAAGAAATCTTCAGACTGACCATATTAACGGCTTCCGGATAGATGATCTCTGAGATAACCCCTCTCCCAACGGACACATAGTCGATCAACTCGTTCAGCGCGGCTCGTTTCACCTAAATAACATTTTAAAGTACAAGTGTGCCCTCCAGAATTGCCGAAAATCCAATTGAATATCTTTTCATTAAAGCAAAAACAATGGAAAACATCGATGACTGAATTTTAGACTTCAGCTTATCAAGAATGACCAATTTCAAGCGTTTAAGCGTTTCAAGAATAATCAATAGGGGTTGAAAGGGTTTGATAGGGGTTGATAGGGTTTGATAGGGTTTGATATGGTTTGATAGAGCTTGATAGGGCTTGATGGAGCTTGATAGGGTTTGATGGGGCTTGATAGGGCTTGATAGAAGCTTGAGAGAGCTTGAGAGAGCTTGATAGGGCTTGATAGGGCTTGATAACTCTTAATAAACTGATTACTAATTCTTGAAATTGATAAGCTTATCAAAAAAATTGATAATTCTTGATATTTACTTGAAAAGCATTCACTGAATATCTTTTATTTCAGCGTTAATTTTTTTTCAGCGTTTCAAAAACAATCCCAAAGCTTTTAAGCATTTTCAAACGGCTTTGTGCGTTCCAGGATCACGAGAAATCAGCTTCTTTCCGAAAAACTTCACTTACTTCCTTGTACTTGAGATCAGAGAGCGGATCGAGAGCAAAGTCGAACAGCACCGAGCATTGGCGCAACTTCTGCACGAAGAGTTCCTCTCGTTCGGCCGGTGGTGAGTCTAAGATTTGAATTTAGCTGAAGATTGATTGAGTTTTGATGACAAAATTCGGTCTCTAGTTGAGTTTGGAATTTTAAAAAAAAGGCTTTTAATAAAATAGAATTTGTCGTTTTTGTATCGTTATTCAAAAATTGATATTTAGAAGGAGGCGTTAAAGAAAGTGTTTAACCTTTAATATTCGGTAATTTTTGAAGCTCTCGATTGTTTGATAAAGCGAATAGGCTGCTTGATTGGCGTCGATCACGGCGAGCGATTGGTGGACCTTAAAAATAAAAGATTTTTTCAATATAATAGAATACAAATCTATGCTTTATAGAGTTTAAATCATAAAGTAAATATTGTTTTTGTTAAAATTATAATAAATTTTCTTCATTTCAAGCAACAATTTGGTTAAAAACATAGAAAAAATCAAAAAAAAACAAAAAAATCGAAAAATTTAAAGAATTGTTAAGAATTTTTTTTATATAATTGTCAATCTAATTTTAAACTCAAATTTCTTAGTGTTTAGCGGTTGAATTGAAAGAGTTTTTGGTATCAAACGATAGAGAAAGATTTGGCGCATCTAATGGATATAAAGACTTTTTGAAAGTCGATAGCCGAACACGAAGAAATTTGAGCTTAAAGTTAGATTGTTAATTGGAAAAAGGACAGAGCATGTTTGGTAATGATAATTAAATTGTTAAACGTTTGGTAATGATAATTAAATTACTAAGGGTTTGCTAAAGACAATTAAATTATTAAACGTTTGCTAAAGACAATTAAATTATTAAGCATTCGCTAAAGACAATTAAATTGTTAAACGTTTGCTAAAGACAATTAAATCATTTTTTTGATTTGATTATCATTAGTAATCAAAGTTAAACTTAAATAAACCTAAATTAAAGACGCTAACTTTTAAATAGATCAAAAAGCACTTTATTTTACGCTTTTAAGCCTATACTCGTTGTAAAAATAGACCTAAAAAATTGAAAATTCTCGTTTAAAAAGGAAGATCAACTAAACAACGGAAGGTCAACTGGTTGAGCCAAATGCTATAGGTTGTATAGCATTTAGCCGCTTAAGCCCGTTGATAAGCCAGGCCGGCTCAGCCAGTTGATAAGCCAGGCTAGCTCAGCCAGTTGATAAGCCAGGCCAGCTCAGCCAGTTGATAAGCCAGGCTAGCTCAACCAGTTGATAAGCCAGGCCGGCTCAGCCAGTTGATAAGCCAAACCGGTTAGGCAAATTTATGTATAAAAATGAGTATTACCTCCTCCATAAGTATTCCGTTTCAACGCTGTTAATGGTGGCGCTTCTTCTTGTCCCTAAAATGAACAACAATACAAAAATGGAACAATAAAATACAACAAGCAAACATATTCAACTAGTCTTTCCTTTTAAAACTCACCGATGGCCCGGATGAGAGATCTTCGGTGTGAATGGTGGGCACGGGTTGTTGCTGTTGCTGTTGTTGCTGTTGTTGCTGTTGCTGCTGTTGCTGTGAGCTTTCCAATGTCTCTTTCTTCTTATCTTTCTTCTCCTTTTCCTAAATTAAAATCTGGATAACACTAGATAAAATAAAACAATTTTAAAGTCATAAAAACCGTTAAAAAAAAAAATTTGAAAAAATTTTTCTAACTAACATTTATAAAAATTTTAAATCTTTCATTTTTCATTTTCGTTTAGCTAAAGCTTTATTGTGCACTTCAGATTGATTAAATTTCACAAAAAAAACGCCCACCTTTTCCGAAGTTTTCTCGGTTTTTTCCGTTTTCTCCGTTTTTTCCTTTCCCTCCTTTTTCTTGCTCTTCAACATTGCGGTAGGGTTCGCAACCTGTTAAAAGGAAAATCGATAGATCGAAAGGAAGATCGAAATTTGATTTAAAAATAACATTTCCGCGTTCTTATGCTTTAGTTTAAAAGGATTAAAGTAAGAATTTGGAAAAAAAAAAAAAAATTTTTTACCCGATTGCGAAGAGTGGACGAGGCACCGGCGAACAGGGTCTAAAAAAGACAAAGAAATTACCGTAAATACTGTAATAGTACTGTAATAGTACCAAATAGTACCAAATACTGTAATAGTACCCCACCCCATTCGTACAGTCGCGTAGTCGCAAAAGTTTTTTTAGTATTTTAGTATTTCATTGTTTTTCAAAGCACCCGTACTTCCAAAAAATGCGTTTTTGGTATCAAAAAAAAGCTGAAATTCAGGGCTATTTTTTTGATACCAAAGATAATCGCGGTGCGGAGCGTTTCGTAGTCTAACTTTGAACGCGTTTTTCTCGACACTCGTTTATGCTACAATGCTCGTTTAAATATCAAAAAATAGCCCTGAATCTCAGCTATTTTTTGATATTTAAACGAGCATCGCAGCATAAACCAGTGTCGAGAAAAATGCGTTCAAAGTTAGACTACGTAACGCTCCGCACCGTCATTTTGAGGGTCGGGTACTATTCCAGTATTTACGGTATTTTCGAAATTTTTAAATTTTTAAACAAAAATTGAAATATCTAAAGTTTTATATAGAAAATAGAGAAATTTAAGAAAGAATTGGCTTTTAAAAAAGTCGATTTTCACGAATTTAAACGATTTTCAGTTAAATTCCTGAAAATTCGAGAGAAATCGAATAAAATAGGGAAATGTCGATTGGTGAAAAGTTTCGAAATGATCGTGGAAATGATTAAACTCGAAAAGATTCAAGTGTGCACTCTCCAGAATCGAGCTTGAAATAGAGAAACTTGCAAAAATATTGTGAAACAACCGAGAAAAGTGCTCGAAATCGTTTCGAGCGAGACGAGCGAGTGTAAAAAGTGATTTTTTTTTTTTTGATTATAAAACAAGAAACATTGAGTTTAAAACGATTTCGTGGCGGCCAGGATGAAAGATTTTTGAGAAATTGGTTTGGAATTTGTAAAATTGACCGAGAAATTGATTTAAACTCTAACAAAATTAGGAAATTGATGAAAATTGATGAAAATTGATGAAAATTGATGAAAATTGATTAAAAATTGATGAAAATTGATCAAAAATGATCAAAATTGATCAAAAATGATCAAAAATGATTAAAAAAGATGAAAATTTATCAAAAATTAGCAAAATTGATCAAAATTGATCAAAAATGATTAAAAATGAGCAAAAATGATTAAAAAAGATGAAAAATGATCAAAAATTAGCAAAAATGAACAAAAATGATTAAAAATGCGCAAAAATGATTAAAAATGATCAAAAAATGATGAAAAATGAGCAAAAATCATCAAAATTGATTAAAAAAGATGAAAATTGATTAAAAATTGATCAAAATAGATCAAAAATGAGCAAAAATTCCCCAAAAATGAGCAAATCGATGCCGAGAATAACGCGAAATCCTCTAGAATCCTCTAGAAACCCTTTGTAAAAAATGATTAAATAAAAATGCAAGCAAATTAAATGGAGGAAAAAGTTGGTTGTCGGCTACGAGGCGGGAAAAGTTACGCGAAGAGAGAAGCAGAGAAAATGAGACAAAAACGGAATGGGGCACACAAATCGATTGGGTGGCTGATGGAGAGGAAAAGGCAAAGAGAAGACACGGATAAAGGGAAAGGGAAAGGGAAAGGGAAAGGGAAAGAGAAGACACGGATAGGGGAATTGCTTTTTGGACTAGGACTAAGGGATTGACGACTTTTTCTTTCGATTCTATTTTATTTCATGATGACCATTTCATCGACTGATGCCTATCGAGCTCAGAACTTTGCCTAAGAGTTGCCAATGCCAAGTGTGAACTCCAGAATCGAGATTGAAATAGAGAAACTTGTCAAAAATATTGTGAAACAAAAGAGAAAAATGCGCAAAATCGTTTTCGACGGATTACAACTCATTTGATTGCTTTATGAGAAGGGATATCGAAAGGGACAGCTCTTTCGAATCGTGTAGAGCGTGTAGAGCGTGTAGAGCCGGTGATTTGAAAGGATGGCGAAGATTTGAAAGGATTTGAAAGGATGGAGAAATCATTTCGACTTTCAGGAAGCGTTCTCTTTTCAGAAAAAAAGTTTAAAATACACTCTAGATGCATAGGTGAATGCAATGCTTTTTTTTGCAGGTCTTGCAGGTGTTGCAGAGATGCAGTTGAATGCAATGCAAATGCAATGCAATGCAATGTTGCAATGCAATGCAAAGCAATGTTTTTTTTGAAGTAAATAAAAAAGTATGAAACCCAAATTCTGGACCCGAGACTTTTTCGGGTAAAATCTCCAGAAAAAATGACGAAAAAAATGAAACAAATTCCTTTTCTGCTCTCTTTTCTTCTTCTCATCAACAAAATGAACTCCGAAAAATATTTTGAAACCACAAAAATTTGAAAAAAGGAGAACGAGTGCATTGTGGGAAACAATTAGAATTGAGATTACAAAAAGATTTCATGGACCATCGATCTGGATGTCACGAAAGAGGTTGACGGCATTAGAATGGGTGAATTCAGTTTTCTAAAGTAATTCGGAAACTACCGTAATCTGTCCCTAGTCTAGTTCTACTTGACAATAGGAATTACGGTAGCCATATTTCACGGACCATCGATCTGGATGTCACGAAAGAAGTTGACGGCATTAGAATTGGTGAATTCGGTTTTCTAAAGTAATTCGGAAACTACCGTAATCTGTCATCTGTCAACCGAGACCAGAAGTGTAAAAATTTGATTGTAAAACAAAAAGCATTGAGTTTAAAACGATTTCGTGGTGGCCAGAATGAAAGATTTTTGAGAAATTGGATTTGAATTTGCAAAATTGGTCGAGAAATTGATTTAAACTCTAACAAAATTAGCAAATTGATGAAAATTGATTAAAAAAAGATGAAAATTGACTACAGTCTGTCAAAAAATTATCGACCCACTTTTATTTTATCAAGAAAGTTAAGAAAAATAAAAATAACAACAAAAACGAAATAAATGAGTAGGTCGGCTAAAGTCGGTCGGCTAAAGTCGGTCGGCTAAAGTCGGTCGGCTAAAGTCGGTCGGCTAAAGTCGGTCGGCTAAAGTCGGTCGGCTAAAGTCGGTCGGCTAAAGTCGGTCGGCTAAAGTCAAATCCGGTAACCCATTTTCCTAGGTGCACTTTTTAGAAAGCAATGTACAGTATCTAGTTACAGACGGGTTACCGTAGGAATCAAAGAGGGTACTGTAGTTTTAAAATTTAAGACGATAGAATTTCATCGCTCTTTTCCTCCGTTACTAAACCGTGCTCCTTTCGCCGGCAAACTACCGTAATAAAGTGTCCTAGATAAATAATTCGTTAATCTGGAGCTCACAAAGCATTTCTAGGCCATCAGCTCAATGAAAGCACTAAAATGGCCATCTCCGTTCCACAGCAACTCCACCGTGACTCAAAATCCGTTCCCATTTAGATAACAACTCTTCCTTTTTAGTTGATTCACCGATCTGGAGCTCACAAAGCATTTCTAGGCCATTAGCTCAATGAAAGCACCAAAACACCGTCTCGTGGTCATTCCACATCACCTCTACCGTGACTCAAAATCCGTTCCCATTTAGATAACAACCCTTCTTTTCCATCTGATTCACCGATCTGGAGCTCACAAAACACTTTCCAGCGATTGCCACTGAGCCCAAGCTCAAAATACAAAAAAAGTCATCGGTCATCCAGCAACAGAGGCACGTAGAACAAATACGGCTTTCTCGTTCATCAAATATTTCGAAAAAATTCCTTGTCACCCAATTTGGACAACACTGTATTCGGTGGGCAAAGAAAGGAGACGCAAGCGATATTTTGCGAGAATGAGGGGGCGCATGACTTCCACGGCTGACCAGATTCAACAATTTCCCCAAAAAATTTTCCAAGCTGCGCACACAATAATGACGCCGTTTGCCCAACTCTTCTTCAGCTTTAAAAAGGCGAAACTTTGGCTGTTCAGAAGTCACTCTAGAAGGCCGGAGATCGGCCGACTCCAACTTTTGACTCGATCATTACTGGCCGGTTCTTCAAAATGCTGCTTTTCGTTAAATAACGATTTCTAGCTTTGAGTTGGGCTTCAGATTGAAGAATTGAAGAATTTCAACGCTCTTCTTCGCTTTTCTTTCATTTTCCCCGTTCAATTACTCATCATTTTAGATGCTTCTCCGTGCCGGCGTCGCGCTCATCCTTTTGGGTTGCTGTCTTGCACAAGGATGGGGTAAACGCGGAAATAACAATAGCACGCGATCACCAAGAGGGAAAGGATCGAGGAAACATAATTGGGGAGACAAGATGAACGAGCAGCAGATCGGAGCATTCAGAAAGGTTTAGTCTAAATCTATAGGGTTTCGAGTGGTTGATAGGGCAAAGGATACGATAGTACTTACAGTTGTTGTGCACTCCAGATAGCCTAAAAAATTGATCAACTTCAGTATTTAGCCAAGTTTGAGCCGTAAAATCGCCCAGCTACGAAACGACGAAATAACCATTTTTGAAATTTTTGTTTTTAACTTTGCTCTTCTTCCAAAAACTGTTGTGCATTCCAGATCGCCTAAAAAATTGATCAACTTCAGTATTTAGCCAAGTTTGAAATGTAAAATCGTCCAGCTATGAAACGTCGAAATAGCCATTTTTGAAATTTTTGTTTTTCAACTTTCCTAACGTTCAAAAAACTTTTATGCACTCCAGATAGCCTAAAAAATAGATCAACTTTAGTATTTAGCCAATTTTTAGCCGTAAAATCGCCCAGCTACGAAACGATGAAATAGCCATTTTTGAAATTTTAGTTTCTCAACTTTCCTAACGTTCAAAAAACTGTTATGCTCTCCAGATAGCCCAAAAATTGTATTAGATACTTTTTGTTGAGCCTCCTTTTCATAAAAGAAACGGGCAAACTCTCGAACAGCTTGATTTTCTAAAAGGCACACAAAGCCTACCGTACTCTGCCACTTTCCATCCCATTTTTTCCATCATTTCACTAAAACGCTTTTGATTTCCACATCAAATCATTTTCAATTTAGTCTCTCAGCCACACGAACGTCGATCGTTTCCATGCGGCGCTCGACAAAATGAGAGAGCGAGCCGCTGAAAGAATCGAGCCGAATGAGCAAGAGAAAGCTGGAATGTACGAGAGGATGAAAGTGAGTTGATCAGATGCTTTTATCAGATGATAAAAGGATGCTTACAGTATGCCAATACTGTCTGGATACTGTAGTTTTATCGAAATCTTAGGCGACAAAAGTCAGCCTTATTTTCAGCAAATTTTCAGCAAATTTTTAGCAAATGCGCCCGCACACACGAACGCCTAGAGTTCGTCCTGATGGAGACACGCTCACCGAGGTACGGTAGTTTGGCCATAAAGTAGAAAACCCCCCGTACGGTCGGTCGGTCGTGTTAAAACTATGTTTTTCAGGTCAACGAGAAACAAGGCGTCTCTCAGAATCTTTATGGAGGTGATATGGCGTTGGATGAGTGAGTTTTCAATTATTTTTTTTGAAAGATTTCGGCAATCTGGAGCGCACATTAGCATTTGAATTCATAAAATTTATAAAATTCATAAAATTCAACAAATTTTAGCCCCCAGGTCGACGTGATTCTTGGAGATTTCGTCGAGGATGACGATTCGACCGACGACGATGTGGCGGCAAGAAAGAAACGTCAGGTGCGTTCCAGGAGTTGAGAAAATCACATTGCAAACGAGCTACGGTAGAGGGGGCGCGTTTTAAGGCGCCAGAGTCGAAGCGGTTGAACTCACCATAAATGGTTGAATGCTAAAGGGTGATTAATTGTAAGCTAAACTATCGAGTGCCTTCCAGAATCGATTAAAATCCAATTGAAAACGAGGTACGGTAGAGGGGGCGCATTTTAAGGCGCCAGAGTCGAAGCGGTTGAACTCACCATAAAAGGTTTAATGCTAAAGGGTGATTCATTGTAGGCTAAACTATCGAGTGCCTTCCAGAATCGATTAAAATCCAATTGGAAACCGACTACGGTAGAAGGGGCGCGTTTTAGTGAGCCAAACTCTCGTCAAAGTATACCCAGTTTTTCAGGCCTATCGCAACTCTCGTTATCCGGCCAATTTGTGGGGCTCTGGTTCGGCGTCGCCGATGGTCTACTACTATTTTGATGGATTGACAGCAAACGCTCAGAAAATGGCACAATTGGCGATTGATTTCTGGTGAAAAAAAATTGAAAAACTTGAAAATTGAAAAATTTCGATTTACAGGCAAAACTCGACGTGTATCACTTTCGTGAAAAGCACCACAAACAGGTAAACTATTTTTTTTGAAACAACGAAAAGCTCAAGTTCAGTAACCGTATCCGTTTCTTTACTGGTCAAGGCTGCTACTCGTATGTGGGCATGATCGGTGGGACGCAGGATCTGTCGCTTGGCACTGGATGTGATAGTGTGAGTTGAAGGAAAGCTATAAACAAAACTACAAAGCTATAAGCTACAAAACTATAACTATTCCTTAACTATAACTATAGCTAATCGTCCCTTAAAACTAGACTAAACCCAACTACGAATTAGACCGCCTAATTGTTTCTAAACGACTTTCTAAATGTTGCTAGCAAAGGAAGGGCCACCGTAACCGTTTGGTTGTCGATCGAACCGATACCGATACCACGTTTGACCCAAATGAGCGAGCTGGGTTCATGCTGGCTGTGATCCGTTGGAGATCAAGCCTTTGGAGCACTTATTTGATTGACATATACCAGAGATTTTCGTTTCAAGCCTCAATCTGGATGTCACAGCACTGTTTTAACTCAAAATTACTCGAATATCCCGATTTTTAGAATTCTGGCAGTTTTGAGCCGCTGAAATGGCTAACTTGACAAAAATTTTCAATTCAAAGCCCAATCTGGATGTCACAGCAATGATCTAACTTAGAATTACTCGAGTATTATCAATTTTAAGAAAATTCGCCGAATCCTGGTAGACTCTGGCATTTTTGAGCCGCTGAAATGGCTAGCTTGACAAAAATTTTCAATTCAAAGCTCAATCTGGATGTCACAGCATTGATTTAACTCAAAATTACTCGAATATTCGATTTTTGGAATTCCAGTAGAATTCTGGTGGAGTTCTGGCATTTTTGAGCCGCTGAAATGGCTAGCTTGACAATAATTTTCAATTCAAAGCTCAATCTGGATGTCACAGCATTGATTTAAATCCCTGTCAAGCAAAAGTAGACTACGGTAGTTTGAAAAAAAAAGACATCTTTTAGGGAACACTCTGAGATTACGGTAGCTATTGTAGAGCATAGATTTCAGTTCGGCACAGCAGCTCACGAGATCGGCCACGCGCTTGGCTTTTTCCACGAGCAATCCCGTTTGGATCGAGACGTTTGCAATCAATTTCCGCATTTCTGCAAAATCCCTTTCAGAACGCGATCACCGTCAACTTCAACAACATCCCCAGCGATTGGGTTGATCAATTTGACAAGGTAACTCGAAAATTTGTCGATCTGGAACGCACACCAACTAATGCACTCATTTAGGAGACCACGTCGACGAATTTCAATTACGGTAGGGTACGGTAGCTGGGGTGGATTTTAGTTTCGTCGATTTTCAAGCTAATTTCTTCAAATTCTTATAACGTGCTTTCCAGGAATGCCTTACGATTACGGTAGCGTGATGCAATATGGCGCATCGAGCGCATCAAGCAACCGACAAGCAACGATGGTGTCAAAGGTGGGGATTACTATAAGGGAAGGGTTGGATGGGTGGGAAGGGTTAAGAATACATAGAATACATAGAATATAAAGATTACTGTAGGTTCCCGTCTACCAGGATACGATGGGATCCGATAAAGTCTCTTTCTACGATATCTCCATGATGAATGATCACTATAAATGCAAAGGTGAGAAATATTTAAATTTATTGTGCTTACGGTAGCGGTAGCTTAGTTTTTCCCGTCTAAAACCCAGTTCCTTTCAGCCAAATGCACCTCTGGAGCAACGTGTGTGAACGGCGGATTCCGAAACTCGAAAAACTGCAACTCTTGCATCTGCCCCGAGGGATGGGGAGGTGCCACTTGCGCCGAGAGAGTAAGTTTCAATTTTAATAATAGCTTAATTTTAAAATTTCTTCTGCCCTCCAGATAGCTTAAAAAACTGATCCACTTTAGTATTTAGCCAATTTTGCCACGTAAAATCGCCCAGCTACAAAACGATGAAAAATCCATTTTTGAAATTTTTGTTTTTCAAATTTGCTCTTCTTCCAAAAACTGTTGTGCACTCCAGATAGCTGAAAAAACTGATCCAATTTAGTATTTAGCCAATTTTGCCGCATAAAATCGCCCAGCTACGAAGCGATGAAATAGCCATTTTTGAAATTTTTGTTTTTCAACTTTGCTCTTCTTCCAAAAACTGTTGTGCACTCCAGATAGCTTAAAAAAGTTGATCAATTTCAGTATTTACCCAATTTTGAGATGTAAAATCGCCCAGCTACGAAGCAACGAAAAATCCATTTTTGAAATTTTTGTTTCTCAACTTTGCTCTTTTTCCAAAAACTTTTATGCACTCCAGATAGCCCAAAAATTGTGTTAGCTGCTTTTTTGAGCCATTAAATTTTGCTAAATCCTTCTGTTCAGGCGTCAGGCTGTGGAGCAGCGCTCACCGCTACCAGCACGCTTCAGGTGAGTCTTTAATAGGCTTTCTAGCTAGAAACCCCGTTCAGCAAGCGTCGATCACCGTCGGCTCCGGGCAACAAACTGTTCAACCCACCTGGGCTAAATGCCATCATATGATTACGGTACATTTAGCGTGCATTTTATCAAACAGCTATAGTTTGGGCGAGCTACCGTAACCCGGATATAGTTTGGGATTGCTAGACATTTTCAAATGTTTCAGGCACCAGCCGGGAACAAAATCGAGATCACCCTCAACACCCTTCAATATCAACAATGCCAAGAGGGCTGTGAGTTTGATTTTTGCTAACGATTTTGGATAATTGCTTAATTTTAAAATTTCTTGTGCACTCCAGATAGCCGAAAAAACTGATTCACTTTAGTATTTAGTCAATTTTGCAACGTAAAATCGCCCAGCTACGAAACGATGAAATAGCGATTTTTGAAATTTTTGTTTTTGAACTTTGCTAACGTTCCAAAAACTGTTGTGCACTCCAGATAGCCTAAAAAATTGATCAAATTCAGTATTTACCCATTTTTGCAATGTAAAATCGCCCAGCTACGTAGCGATGAAAAATCCATTTTTGAAATTTTGGTTTTTGAACTTTCCTAACGTTCCAAAAACTGTTGTGCACTCCAGATGACTCAAAAATTGTATTAGATACTTTTTTTGAGCCATGGACAGGGTTAGACCCAATCCATTTTCAGGCATCTACACAGGAATCGAGGTGAAAGCCTCGTTGGACCACCGATTGACCGGAATTCGGTATTGCTGCTCGGATGATGTTGGCCAAAAGATCATCTCCGAGGGAAACATCGTGCCGATCATCACCTACAATCGCTACTATCAGAGCACGTTCACGTTCTCGTACAGACTCGGTGAGCTAAAAATTGAACCGACTACCGTAACCAAAATATTGAATAGCCGAATTAAAAGCTATTTTTGCATAGAACTCGTAGTGTGCGTTCCAGATTGGACAATAAAACAAAAATTTCTCATAAAAACCGACTAAGTAAGCTAAAAATTGAACCAGCTACCGTAACCCTTATCATAGGTCTCTAAATTTTTGACTAATGACCGACTTGAGCAATGCTTTCTCTTTAGTGCCCTCCAGCACCGCCTCAACAATCCAATTGGCTCAATTCCCGTCGGCTGGGGCCACCTATTCGACGTCGACAAATCCAAACACGAATGGCGGTGGAACGGGTGGCGGTGGGACAACCGTCACTTGCACAGATGATGCAAAGTAAAGAGTTTGAATAGAAAAGTTCGAGTAAGCCTAGTAAAGTAAAACCTAAAATTTGTGGTGCACTCCAGATAGCCGAAAAAGTTGATCGACTTCAGTATTTAGCCAAGTTTGCAAAGTAAAATCGCCCAGCTACGAAACGATGAAATAGCCATTTTTGAAATTTTAGTTTTTCAACTTTCCTAACGTTCCAAAAACTATTGTGCACTCCAGATAGCCGAAAAAACTGATTCACTTTAGTATTTAGCCAATTTTGCCACGTAAAATCGCCCAGCTACGAAGCGATGAAAAATCCATTTTTGAAATTTTTGTTTTTCAACTTTGCTCTTGTTCCAAAAACTGTTGTGCACTCCAGATAGCCGAAAAATTGTGTTAGATACTTGGCTTGGCCTGGTAGTTGTTGAACCTGACTCTGGCTCAGGATTGATTGATTCGAATCGAATTAGCGGCGTTGTTTTTAGCTTGATACCGACGCTGACCTGGTACTGAGCTGGCTCTGGCTCAGATAAGGCTTCAGATTGATTCAAATTTTCATTCTTTGTTTCAGTTGTGTAACGTGGGCGAGCAACGGCTTCTGCACCTCTTCGACCTACACGGCGGCACAGAAAAAACAGTATTGCCCAAATAAGTGCAACATGTGCAGCTAAATCTAATAACTTATTCATTAATAAATCTTTTGTGCATAAATGAATCAATTTTTTTTTCAAATTGCCTCCAACCGGACTCGAACCATGACCCTTCGCCTTGTAACCAAACGCGCTACCCGACTGCGCTATGAAAAAATTAGCATAAAAATCAAAGCTTATTATCAGAAATTTTAGCATGACTTCCAGATTAAAGCAGACAGTGATTGGAATCTCATTTCCTCAAAGCCTGAGCGCAGAATTGAATCGAAGTCGTTTACAGCAATACGAATTCAGAAAAATTGTCAAAATTCGTTTAAAAATCCAATTTTTAAGCGTAGTGCCTTCCAGAGAGCTCGTTTTTTAAATTGCCCAGATTTTCTGTGCATTTTGTGTTCCAGAAATTCACTCGGTCAGAAATCACACACACAGAAATCCCAATTTCCCCATTTTTTCAAATTGGGCTCAATGAAAATATGAAAATCTTGCTGAAAATCTCATTTTGATTAGCTATTTTATCGATTCACATTCAGATTTCAGCTTGTTTTTGAAAAAAACGTAATTCCTTTAACTGAAATTGCGGAAACACAAATGATCTTCACGAAATCGACGAAATCGCCGAAATTCTTGCTGAAATCTTCCATCAAAATATCAAAAACCCGTATGGATTGATTGAATAAACTCATAAAAAGCAAAAAAATAATGAAAAACTAAAGAAAAAAAATGAGCTTGACGACAAGCGGACTCGAACCATGACCCTTCGCCTTGTAATCAAGCGCGCTACCCGACTGCGCTATGAAAAAATTAGCATAAAAAGCAAAACTTATTATCAGAAATTTTAGTGTGCCTTCCAGATTAAAGCAGACGGTGATTGGAATCTGATTTTCTCAAAGCCTGAGCGCAGAATTGAATCGAAGTCGTTACAGCAATACGAATTCAGAAAAATTTGCATTAAAATGAAAGCTTTTTTTCAGAAACTTTAGCATGACTTCCAGCTTGAAAGGTTCAATTGTTAAAATTTCATTTTTTCCAAATCCAAGCGAAAAATTCAGTCAGTGACCGTTTTTGAAGTGCAATATTTTTGGCAAAAACTCATCTAATCAACAATTTTCGAAACGATTCTTAAAACAAAACATTTTTTCTCTCAAATAAACAATGCGTTGTTTCTTCTAAAGCACTGAGTTGTTGCGAATTTTCGAAAAAAAAACGAAAACTCACTCGGAAAAGTGCGGCGCGGGAATCAAAAATTTATATTTTTCGCTCAATTCGACCGCTTTTTTTTCCGAATTTCCGATTTTTTTGCTTTAATTCCTTCAGAAGCCAAAAAATATTGGAAATTCGAAAAAAAAAGATTCTATTTTTTTCTATTCTACAAGTATTTTACTAAAAAAAAATGACCTTTACCACTACAGTAACCTTTCCGCCGAACAATGAGGTGCGTTTTAGGGGAAAGATTACTGTAATTGCATTATAGAAAACTTTAAAGTACCGTTACCGAAATGTCGGCTTTTAATTGTCTGGGTAAGCTACCGTAATCAAAATATTGGATTGCCGAATTGAAAGAAATTTTTGCATAGAACTGATAGTGTGCGTTCCAGATTGGACAATAGAACAAAAATCTCTCACAAAAGCCGACTAAGTAAGCTAAAAATTGAACCAGCTACCGTAATCAAAATATTGAATAGCCGAATTGAAAGCAATTTTTGCATAGAACTGATAGTGTGACTTCCAGATTAGACATTGGAACAATGACGTGCGTTTTAGGGAAAGATTACTGTAGATTTCGTTTTAGGGAAAGATTACTGTAATGAGGTGCGTTTTAGGGGAAAAATTATTGTCATTTTTTGAATATAATTGAATTTAATCTATTAGAATGTCTCATTTTATCATAGAAATCCTCAAAATTACTGTAATTGCATTATAGAAAATTAGAAATTACCGTTACCGAAATGTCGACTTTTCATTGTCGGGGTAAGCTACCGTAATCAAAATATTGGATTGCGGAATTGAAAGCAATTTTTGCATAGAACTGATAGTGTGCGTTCCAGATTAGACATTAGAACAAAAATTTCTCATAAAAACCGACTAAGTAAGCTAAAAATTGAACCAGCTACCGTAATCAAAATATTGGATTGCCGAATTGAAAGAAATTTTTGCATAGATCTTGTAGTGTGCGTTCCAGATTGAGCATTAGAACAAAAAAACGCTCACAAAAAGCGACTAAACAAGCTCGAAATTGCACCAGCTACCGACTGTCGTGGTCCAAAAATTTCAAATTTTAAAATAACAAATTTTTCCAATTTTTTCACTTGTCCTGCACTCCAGCTTAGTGATTGCATTCGAAAAAATTGACGACTTTTAAGAAAATTTTCGAAATTTTTCACTCCAAAGCAATTTTCCCTGAATTTACTTATAAAACAGTTAAAAACAGCTAAAAAAAGTAAAAAAATCAAATTTTAAATGAACTTTGTTTTTTTCAAAAAAAAAACGCTGAAAAAAACGCTGAAAAAACGAAAATTGAGCATCAATTTTGCGCGAGGAGCAACCAGTTCAAAAATGCAATTTTTTGGGTCACTCGAAAAGAGCCTCAATTTTTTTGATGAAAATCTTTTTTGTTTTTAATTGAGATCCATGTTGTGCGTTCCAGAAAACCCAAAAAATATGTCGAATTTGAAAATTTGGCTAATTCCCGCAAACAATCGTTGTAAACACTCAACTCCTCAACACTTGCAAAAACGAAATTTTTGCAATTTTGATTTTTTCACAATTTTCCCTTTTTTCTTTTATTCTGTGACATCCAGCTTGGCCGAAAAAATAAAAGAAAATTTTTGAAACTTTAAATTTCTCAATTTTTTCTTTATCCAACTTCTCTCCACTAAATTTAGAAATTCAATTTCTTGATTAGCTGAGTATTTTTTAATCTACTACTCTACTGTGACCTCCAGAATGAGCGAATTTTAAATCAAATTTATTTTTTGACCCACCGACAACACTTTTTGCGCTTGTACACAAGTCTGTTGGGTAATGCGACCGACTCGGTGGCTCTCATTTCTCTAGTTCAGGCTCTCCGTTCCAGAAAAGCACGTGCTGTGTGCGAGAAAAGCTGAAAAGGGCAGCGAGTGCATTGGAGAGGCTGTTTAGTCATCCATATAAACACCCTGAGGGTTGAGAGGAACCCAGCGCTGACAGCTGTTCGTTCAACGCTCGGCCCTCACAAAATCAAAAACCCCGGCTGTTGTGCCATCCAATTTATCAAGAAATGTGAAATGTTCTGGGATTCGAGTTTCCTGGTGTTGAAAATTGTACGACTACACTAAACTCCACCATCCCACTTGGTCTCAAAATGTTCATTTACTCAATCTAGCCTAGCCAAGAGCTGTCCTGCTATCCAGATTGGCCAAAAATCAAGAAAACCTCTAGCCATCATTGGAAAATTTGGGATAAAACGACTTGGCCAATTTTCTCCAAAAAGTGCCTTCGCCATTTCTGCAGATTTTCCTATTTCAACACCGGCATTCGCTGATGTGACACCCAGGTCGCGGGGAAAACACAAAAAAATAGTTGCTTGTTTGTAAAGAAATAACACTTTTGGGGTAGGGTCTAACGACTACACTCCACTCCACCATCGCCCCTGGTCTCAAAATGTTCATTTACCCAATCTAGCCTAGCCAAGAGTTGTCCTGCTATCCAGATTAGCTAAAAATTAAAAAACCCTCTAACCATCATTGGAAATTTTGGGATAAAACGACTTGGTCAATTTTCTCCAAAAAGTCCCTTCTCTATTTCTGTAGATTTTCTGATTTCAACACCGCCATTCGCTGACGTGCTATCCAGATCACAAGGAAAACACAAAAAAAATAGTTGTTTGCTTGAAAAAAATAACGCTTTTCGGGGGGTAGGGTCCTGAACCCCAGCACCGCTAGCCTTAGTCGAGCAGTTGGCGCTCAATCGCCGGAAATGCCCCAGCTTTCCCTCAACACATGAGTTTCAGCAAAAAGACTTTAAAAGGGTCTTTAGGGGGAAAGCTTTGGGTGTCCCTAGTTTCCATAAATATACACATTCACTCAAAAAATTTCCCCACCTCAAGAGTTTTTTTTTTTTACTTAATTTCTGGTTAAATTGGTAGGAATCTTGAATTTCTTTGTGGATTTTATAAATCCTAAAATCCATTCAAGCTTTCTTTCAAAGAATGAGTCCTAAATAAATCATCAATCCTCCCGTTTTTTCAGTAACTCTTTTATTGGCTCCTTTTCGAGTTTCAGCTTCGTTTTCTAGTTTTTCGTGAGTTCTGGATGTCACAGATGATGAGATTATCGTTTACGAGATCCTGTGCTTTAAATAGAATTTAGTTGACTGCCTGGAGTTGGAGCTGGGCTCTGGAGCCTGAAACAACGTTAGCCCCAACTAGAAACTTGCTCACTTTCTTGCCTTCCACTGATTGTGTGACATCCAGCAATAGCTCTAGTTTTCTTTTTTCAAACAATTCCCACCAAGAAAAGCCAAAAAAAGGCTTAAATTGGTTTCTTGCATGTGGCTCGTTTGATAGCTGGGTCTTTTTCACGAAATTTGTTCGATCTTTTTGCGAAACTTTGTCAACAAAATGTCTGATTGGAGTGCACACGATTGTTTAGTGCATTTTAGAAAGACGAAAGAAATAAGCTGGACTTTTTTTTTCTTTTGTCTCTTCTTCGCCTCAGTCATGGCATAGTTTTGGCGTCGAATCGAATCGAATCGAATTTTCTATCGAATTTTCTATCAATCTGGAGCTCACAGAATCATTTTAAATCAAAATTTCATTCAATTTTTTTGTTTTTAATTTTCCCGGTAACTGATTAGCATATCTAATTGTTTATCGGATTTTTCGAAAAGCGAATTCTCATCTTTTCCCATAATTTCCATTTTTCTAGCATTCTCTTCTCATTTATGCAAATCTACTATTGACATTTCTTGAAGCACTTAGAGCACAACTGCATTTGTACGGGCTTTGTACGGGCAACTTTCCAACTACAGTACGCCTATCGAAAGGTTTTTCGATCGATCCAAACATCGTAGTTGATTGAAATGAGATTTTTTGATTCTTCTGGATGTCACACTAGCTTTCTAAATGAATTGTTGAGTGATTAGTTGAAGTTTGAGTTTTTCGATTCACCCTATCAGACCTGGTGTTGGCTCTGACCTGGTATTGGCTTTGAGCTGGCTAAAAGCCTTGATCTAAAGCCTTGGCCTGGCTAAAAGCTGGCCAAAAGCTGGCTAAAAGCTGGCTAAGAGCTGGCTAAGAGCTGGCTAAAAGCTGGCTAAGAGCTGGCTAAGAGCTGGCTAAAAGCTGGCTAAAAGCCTTGATCTAAAGCCTTGGCCTAATCATAAACCTAATCTTAGCCTTATCCTGATCGAAATCCAGCTTTTTCTATCAATTTTTGCGAATTTTGCCAAAAACGAAAAAAACGAAAAGCGCTAATTGGTATTCCCCACAAAATATCAAGAAATTCATCAAAAAAACCTCTCCAATTCCTCTTTTTTTCCCGATCCTGGATGTCATGTTATCAGAATTTTAAAAAATTATTTCAAAATTTTCAAAAATTGAAATTTCGACAAATTTATTTTTATACTTAAAAACAAGATATTCAGTGAAAAGACTGAATATCTTATTTTGAAAAAAGACACCGTAACAAGCTATTTTTGAAGCTGAACGCTATAGTGACATCCAGCTTGGCGTTTCCTGTCATTTTTTTCATATCTCGCTATACTGGTTACTTGGCCCCGGGGTCGGGTCTTAGATTACGCTTCACTGATTCGGAGAGAGAGTCCCCAGGGTCTTTAGCCCTCTGCCCCAGGTCCAAAAATCTCAGCGTATTTTGAAATACCCATTTTGAAGCCAAGTTGACATCCAAGACTACCCATCATCTCCAAGATTTGACTAGATAACCTCCCAACTTTTACTCCCACAATTTCTCACACTTCCTCTCGATCATTTAAAAATCTAAACACTTTTCTGGAGGTTCTGGAATGCATGCTTTAAAATAAAAAGCTTTTCAAGTAAATGACGATACTTTCGACAAAAAAGGCTCAACTCTGGTACAAGTTTTGGTCGATTTCAGTCAAAAATTCAGCATCATTTCCTAGTTCTGCCATTTATTCTTTCCAAGCTGGAACGCACAAAGCCTCCTCGTAAAGTTTAAAAAGCATTTCCAGGCAACTTCATCTTATCCATTGGAAGCCGAAGAAAAGGGAAAAATGGCTGACGAAGCGCCGGTATTTTTCATTTCAAAGCCTAGCAAAAGCTCAACTCTAGGCCTATTCAATCGTTTCACGGTGTGCAGCCGAGTTCTTTGGGCTTGTCGTTTTTGTTTTTGTTGGTGAGTGAGGAAAAAAAAATTGAACTAAATTAGGTAAATCAGAAGTTTTTGCCTTTGGAATAAACCGATTTCAGTTTTCTATTTTCACAAAATTTCCCTTTGTTTTATACTTTAACCGCTTTCTAACCGATCAGCGAAAGGCTCCCGGTGGCCGAGTGGTTAGCTCGTTAGCCTCTAGAGCGAGAGGTCAAGGGTTCGAATCCGTTGCGTGTCATTTTGTTTTTCGGATTTTTTGTTTTGACTTAAAGCTCAAATACAATAGAAAAGATAATAAGAGAAGCGTTTCTAATCAAAAAGAAGCAACGATTGGTTGATTAAAAACCAGAAATCCCTCAAAAAAATCACCTCTTCTTCAGGCACAGCTCAAGCACTCGCCGGTGGCGGTATCCTGAACGCGGCTTTAGCTCATGGCATCACCATCTTTATTCTCATCGCTGCATTTGGAAATCTTAGGTAGATAACTGCTCCATTAAGATCTAATCCACATTTCCAGCGGTGGCCATTTCAATCCGGCGGTCACTCTCGGCATCGCTGCTGTCGGACGGATCTCGGTGAGATTTCTCTTTGAGAAATTCATCCTTTGGCTTTAAAACTTTCACAATCGTCTAGCTGGAGAGCACAACAAAAATTAAGCGTAAAAAAATTGATACTTAACACTCGACAGAAAAAAAAATGAATTTCAGCCAGTTCATGCCGTTTGCTACATTCTCTCGCAACTCGGCGGCGGTTTCTTTGGGTCCCTGCTCGCCAAGGTGGGCTGGAAAGGATTTTAAATGCAAATCTTTGCCATTATGCAAATGGTTTCAGCTAATCATGGGTGATTCGTTTGAGAAATTCGGCTTCGGCGCGACGATTTTTGCCGCCAACGTCGCCTGGTATCAGGTGAGTGAAACGGACACTATAAACTACCAGCAGCCCAGCCAAGGGCTGTCCTGCCATCCAGATTGGCTAAAAACCACAAAACCCTCTAACCATCAATGGAAAATTTGAGATAAAATGACTTGATTAACTTTACCAAAAAAGTGCCTTCTCTATTTCTGCAGATTTTTTTCATTTCAACACCGGCATTCGCTGACATGCTATCCAGATCGCGGGGAAAACACAAAAAAAAGGTGCTTGTTTGAAAAGAAATAACACTTTTCGGGGGTAGGGTCTAACGACTACATTCCACTCCACCATCGCCCCTGGTCTCAAAATGTTCATTTACCCAATCTAGCCTAGCCAAGAGTTGTCCTGCTATCCAGATTAGCTAAAAATTAAAAAACCCTCTAACCATCATTGGAAATTTTGGGATAAAACGACTCGAACAGCTTTCTCCAAAAAGTGCCTTCGCCATTTTTGCAGATTTTCCTATTTCAACACCGCCATTCGTTGGTGTGCCACCCAGATCACAAGGAAAACACAAAAAAATAGTTACTTGTTTGATTGTTGAAACAAAAACCATCAGCGCCATTATTTTACCGGTTAAAAGTGTTGAGAAGAACGATTTTTGCTTGCAGGGTCTCCTCGCCGAGCTCTTCGCCACGTTTATGCTTGTGCAAACGGTTTTGATGACAGCCGTTGATACAGGTATTACTATTGCTTCATTAGCCACAGCTTATAGCAATAGTGAGCTGAGTTGAGCTTTACATGAGCCAGTGCTGAGACCCGACCCCGGGCCAAGTAACCAGTATAGCAAGATATGAAAAAAATGGCAGAAAACGTGAAGCTGGATGTCACTAGAGTGTTTCAACTTCAAAAAATAGCTCGTTATCTATTTGTAGAGATTTTCAAATTTTCACAGGCAGCAATCAACTTGCTCCACTCGCCATCGGATTCACTGTTGCTGCTGACATTCTCGCAATGTGAGTTTCAAAAAGAAAGGTGTTTAAGGCTGTAACTGATGATTTAAAGCAGTTGAAAGTTTTGGAAAGGCTTGGAAAAGTTTTGGAAAAGTTTTGGAAAAATCAAAAAATCAAAAAAATCAAAAAAAAGAAAAATCAAGAATTGGAGAGTTGTTTTATTAAAAAAAAAGATACAAAATTTTTTAGTGGCACTCTCACCGGCGCGTCAATGAATCCCGGTCGATCGTTTGGCCCACAAATTGTCGGCGCTCTCTTTCACTCGTCGGCCATTCGGTGGGCGAAAGATTAAAGACAAAATTGCTTTTTTTGAAATTAAGCAAAAGCCAAATACGCTTCAAATTGGGGGCGCTGACAAAAATTTGAATATTTAACCTCAAGTAACTTCAAGATTTTAGCCCCACCAACCGCTACTGGGCTCTGCATTGGGTGTATTATCTTGGACCATTCGGTGGAGCCATCCTTGCCGCTGTCATCTACAAGTAAGTCGAGGAAAAGCCGATGAAACCTTATCAAATGAATAGCTTGACTTTTCATAAGGAAACCAAGGTTCAAAGTTCACAAATCTCTTAGTTGGAGCGCACGTTAGAATATGGGATTTTTAGATTTAGAAAAATAAGCTTTCTACGGCTTTAACCCCCACGAGTCCCTTCAGCTGAATATCTATTCTTTTCATAAGGAAACCAAGGTTCAAAGTTCACAAATCGCTTAGTTGGAGGGCACGTTAGAATATGGAATTTTTAGATTTAGAAAAATAAGCTTTCTACAGAAGGGTTTAACCCCGAATCCCTTCAGCTGAATATCTTTTCTTTTCATAAGGAAATAGGTTCTCGAAATTTGCATATCTCTTAGTTGGAGCGCACGTTCGAATATGGGATTTTTAGATTTAGAAAAATAAGCTTTCTACAGCTTTACCCCCACGAAGCTCTTCAGCTGAATATCTTTTCTTTTCATAAGAAAACAAATGCTCAAAATCTCAGAGAAACCTAGCTGGAAAGCACAGAACGTGTTGAAAATGAAAAAAATTAGCATTTCATAAATTTACATAAATTTACAACTTTTAGGGTTTTCTACTCGCGAGAGAATCGCATTCTGAAATAAAAAAACCAAACGACTTGTCGAAAATTAACAAATTTGCAAAATCTTCAATATTTTCCCGATTTCTTGCTAGATTTGCAGCTTTTTTTCTCTCATTTTTTTCATTTTTTTGCCATTTTTTGCCATTTTTTCCAATCTTGCCTTAAAAAAATTCGCCAAAATCACAAAATTCGAAATTTGCATTTAATTTAATTTTAAAATTTACATTTAACATTTATCGATATTTTAAGCTTTTTTTGCCCTTTTCCTTCTTTTTAAATAAATTTTAAAACGAATTTTTATTTTTCGAAGTTCATTTAAATGCAAATAGCCACCAATCAATGAAGATTTCGAGTTCACGCCTTATTTTCATGTTTTCGAAATAAACTTCAACATTTCAAACTGATTTTTGCTCAATCTGGATGGCAGTAGGTTGAATGCGATTAAAAGTTTTTCGATAATTTCAATTTTTCGAAGAGCCATTTCCAGGTCGGATTGACTTTGATCGAATTTAGCCAAATCCCTGCTTTTAAAAATGGGTTCTGAATTTAATTTTAGTCTATCTGGATGGCACTAGGTTGAATGTGATTAAAAGTTTTTCGATAATTTCAATTTTTCGAAGAGCCATTTCCAGGTCGGATTGACTTTGATCGAATTTAGCCAAATCCCTGCTTTTAAAAATGAATTTTGTTTTTAATTTTGCTCAATCTGGATGGCAGTAGGTCGATTGCGATTGAAAGTTTTTCTCTAATTTGAATTTTTCACGAACCATTCCTAGGTCGGATTGACTTTGATCGAATTTAGCCAAATCCTGATTTCAAAAATGAGTTTTGATTTTAATTTTGCTCAATCTGGATAGCAGTAGGTTAAATCTAACCAAAAATTTGTAAAGATTTGCATTTTTCCAAAAGGCACTTTTTCTCCAACAGAGCTTAGGCGATTTTAGCCGACACGAAATCGATTTCTCGACTCTCTCAGCTGTTTCCCCGGCGATCTGGCGCGCACGCAAGCCGATCGCGTTTTTTTGGTTCGACCCAAATTCGACAATTGAGAGGTCGGAGAAGCCAACCCCGTTTCACCTCGAAGAACAGGCTCCAACGGGCTCCAAGAAGAGGCAAGCATCGGGATATCACTGGGATTGATTGGGCTCGGCATTTCGCCGCCAAAAAATCCCCTCGATGCGTTCCAGGATCGCGATTTTTCTATTGATTTTCCTTTTTTCCCCGTTTACAGTCGGGGATTTCTTTCGGGAACACTTGAAGAAATATGTGAGTTCTGAGATTTTAAAGGAGCTTTCAGGGAGCTTTAAAGGAGCTTTAAAGGAGCTTTAAAGGAGCTTTAAAGGAGCTTTAAAGGAGCTTTAAAGGGGAGGGTATTAATCGCGTCCGGGTGACGATAAAAATTTTTTTTTACGGCAAACACCTGTTTTTTTATTTTAATATCGCTGATTTAATTATAAAAAGAATAAAAATCACCCGGCTAGAGTGATTTGATGGGTTTACAAATTTTTGGAGACACTGCAAGGCTTGGAGAAAAACAAAAACAAGATCGTCACTCAAATCGGCTTCCTATCTTAGTCAATTTCCAGCGCTCAGCAGAAATGACTGGATCTCCTCCACCGTAGGACGTCTTCAGCGCTTTGTCTTCAGCGCTTTGATTGACACAATTAGATCTTTTTTCCATTTGTGGTCGCTTGTGGTTTTAGTTTTCTCAAATGCCTTTCAGCTGAGGTGTCTGATGAGTGACGATCTTGTTTTTGTTTTTGTTTTTCTCCAAGCCTTGCAGTGTCTCCAAAAATTTGTAAACCCATCAAATCACTCTAGGATTGACTTTGATCGAATTTAGTCAATCCCTGCTTTTAAAAATGGGTTTTGATTTTAATTTTAGTCTATCTGGATGTCAGTAGGTCGATTGCGATTGAAAGTTTCGAGCTAATTTGAATTTTTCACGAGCCATTCCTAGGTCGGATTGACTTTGATCGAATTTAGCCAAATCCTGATTTCAAAAATGAATTTTGATTTTAATTTTAGTCTATCTGGATGTCAGTAGGTCGATTGCGATTGAAAGTTTCGAGCTAATTTGAATTTTTCACGAGCCATTCCTAGGTCGGATTGACTTTGATCGAATTTAGCCAAATCCTGATTTCAAAAATGAATTTTGATTTTAATTTTGGTCTATCTGGATGTCAGTAGGTCGATTGCGATTAAAAGTTTTTCTCTAATTTGAATTTTTCACGAGCCATTCCTAGGTCGGGTTGACTTTGATCGAATTTAGCCAAATCCTGCTTTTAAAAATGGGTTTTGATTTTAATTTTAGTCTATCTGGATAGCAGGTGATTTTTATTCTTTTTATAATTAAATCAGCGATATTAAAATTAAAAAAACAGGTGGTTGCCGTAAAAAAAAATTTTTATTGTCACCCGGCCGCGATTAATACCCTCCCCCTTTAATTTCTTGAATTTCTTGAATTCTAATCAGAAGCGATTCTGCAGTGACTTCCAGATGGGCTATTGAAAATGATTTCAGATCGATTGGACGACGTCACCATGCGAGAATTTCTATCGTCACGTTTGCCCGAAAAACATGACTTATAATGAGACGGTGATGGGGAAATCGGAGGCGATTTTGCAAAAATTAAATGAGAATGTCTCGCATTTGCTTGGAGATTACGATATTATTTGGGTAGTGTCTCGTTTTAGTGAAATAGCAATGGAGACTGTGGTTCCCTAAGACGTAGCATCATTCTTGACCACCGTAATCTCTCTAGAGTACTGTAGCTCAAAGCTTTACCGTAATCCTTCTTAAAAAGTACTGTAGAGTACTGTAGAGTACTGTAGCTCGTCTTTTTAGCTGTAAGTTTTAAAGAGAAAATTTCAGTATGACTTTCTGACGTACGCGAATGTCTCATCGAACTTCAACAAGACTCTCTACGTCAAGAAACTTTTAGAAAAGTTTGTTTAACCCAAAAAGCTTTCTACAGCTAGAAAGCTTTTTGCCGGCTTGCTGGCTTGCTGGCTGGTTGGCTTGTTGACTAATTGGCTTGCTGGCTAGCTTGCTTGCTGACTTGCTGGCTAGTTGGCTAGTTGGTCAGCTAGAAAACCACCCAGAAAGCATACGTTTACAAAAGCACAAAGTACAAGTGTTAGCTCATTAATGGAATTTTAAGTCGCTGTGATACCCAGATGATCTTCTGAAGTATCCAGATCATAATCCAAAGCCTTTATCCCATCCATAACTCGTCCTCCAACCTTTGTGACATCCAGATCATAATCCAAAGCCTTTACCCCATCCCTAACTCGTCCTCGAACCCATTTGACATCCAGATCATCATCTAAAGCTTTTATCCCATCCATAACCCTTGCCCTCACCCAAAGCCTTTACCCACCCACCCAGCCTTTATCCCATCCCTAACCCACCTCCAACCTGGACACCAGATCATCCCAAAGCCTTTACCCACAACCATCCTCCAACTGTGACATCCAGATCATAATCCAAAGCCTTTACCCCATCCCTAACTCGTCCTCGAACCCATTTGACATCCAGATCATCATCTAAAGCTTTTATCCCATCCATAACCCATCCTCCAACCCTTGTGACATCCAGATCATCATCCAAAGCCTTTATCCCATCCCTAACCCATCCTCCAACCCTTGTGACATCTATGATTCTCAAATTTCCAGTTGCAACAACGAGTATGAATGTGTTTTCTCAAAATTTCGTCCCATCTACACCGCTTGCGAGTTGACGGTGAATCGCTTGGATTTGTACTATAATTTGACGCAATTCTCGCGAAATGTCACCGAATTGGCGAACGTAGCCGGGCAACTCTTGGAGAATATCGATAAACGACCCGTCGATGCACGTTTGTTTTGAGAGAAATGGGTACTGAGAGAAATCAAAGGCCAATCAAGGCCAATCAAGCCCAATCAGAGGCCAATCAAGCCCAATCAAGGCCAATGGTCAAACTGGGTACTGTAAGTACTGTAGAGTTTCTTCCACAAAGATTACTGTACTTTGGTTACTCGGTTGAGTACTGTAAGATCGTAGAATAGAAGTGCTGGCCTTTATGCACAGCCATCAGACTCTGTGACATCCAGAATTGATTCCTAGGTGGACAAGAAGCTTTCTAGGCCAGGCAAGCGTCTGATCTAGCCTTGAAGTCAAATCAAAAGCTAGTTAGGAGATTTCTGATTGATTTAGACACTTTTAGGGTACTGTGGCTTTTCATAAATGTTGATAGGGTTTTTCAGGAATTCATCGACATGTACACAAAGCTACGCTCAAGAATGTTGATCATTGACAAGCTTGAAGTCTACTACAAATCCCAAGAAGCGAAAGAGGATCTGAATAAGATTATCTACCACTTGAAAAGCGTTATATTGAGAATATTGAAGGTACTGTAGCTTGTGGATTACTGTAGCTGTAGATTACTGTAGCTGTAGACTACTGTAGCTTGTAGTTTTTAAGACTATTTTTGAGTTATAGAAAGTGAAATGCGGAAGAAATCTAGAGTCTTTTTTTTTCAGGCGACTCCTTGGTTGAATCGTTTGGAAGATTTCGGGGTTGAGAAATGGAAAACTCTCGAATTCTACCTCAACAAGATGAACATTTATTTTGGAATGGATGAACAGGAGAGGAATAAAACGTGAGTTGATTGGCTGGCTTGCTGGCTGGCTGGTTTGCTGGTTTGCTGACTTGCTTGCTAGCTGGTTGGCTTGCTAGCTTGCTGGCCGGTTGGCATGCTTGCTGGCTTGTTGACTTGTTGGCTTGTTGGCTTGCTAGCTGGTTGGCTTGCTGGCTTGTTGGCTTGCTGGCTTGTTCGCTTGATGGCTTGCTGGCTAGCTTGCTGGCTGGCTAGCTTGCTTGCTGGCTAGCCTGTTGCTGGCTGGCTAGCTTGCTGGCTGGCTAGCTTGCTGGCTGGCTAGCTTGCTGGCTGGCTAGCTTGCTTGCTGGCTAGCCTGCTTGCTGGCTTGCTGGTTGGCTTGCTGGCTGACTTGTTCGCTTGCTAGCTTGTTCGCTTGCTGGCATGCTTGTTGACTGGTTGGCATGCTGGCTTCTTTCTTTCTAAAGTGCAATCCTTGGGCTACAGTAGGATTAGATCTAAGTCTGAAAACCAAGTCCTTTTAATAGACTTGCACTCAACAGTCAATTCGTCTAAATTTTAGGATGTGGATCCGCGCCACTCGGCAGTACAACGTTGAGTACTTTCGGCTTGTCAGCGATTCAAGGTCTATTCTGTTTCAGGGGGAATTTCGGGGGTACAAATCAGAAGCTAGCCAGTCAATCTATACCCGAATCCAGGGGAAGTCTAGCTCCCAGGTTAGGCTAGCGTTCAGCACTGGTAAATGGACTTAAACCAAAGTCAACTCTGAAGCTGAATCTAGGATTTTGACTGAAATCTGTTTAAAATTGTTTAAAATCGTTTAAAATCGTTAAAATCCCTAAAATCCTTTAACTCTAACTTTTCAGGCCCCTTCGCAACAGTTTAGATCTGAAATTGTTGCATCGATTGGTGGAGAATAAATTGAGGAAAGAGCTGGGAGAGGTGGGGAGAAATTTTGGAGTCAAATTTTGGAGAAACCTTTTGCCAGAGAGTTGAGGGGAATCTTTTGATCACCTTGACAATTAGATAAAATCGAGGCTAGCGTTTTGGCATTGACCGGATCGAGGCTAGCATTTTGGCTTTGATCAAATCGATCAGCTGATCAAATCAATCCAACTAAATTGAAGAGCTGAATTCGCTCAGCTCAGCTCAGCTCAGCTCAGCTCAGCTCAGCTCAGCTCAGCTCAGCTTCAGCTTCAGCTCAGCTTCAGCTCAGCTCAGCTCAGCTCAGCTTCAGCTCAGCTCAGCTCAGCTCAGCTCAGCTCAGCTCAGCTCAGCTCAGCTCAGCTTCAGCTCAGCTCAGCTCAGCTTCAGCATCAACGATTATCACTAAGCTTTTTTGTTCAACGAATCCACAGGTGAACGAGTCACGACTAGAGACAAGCGAAGAGTACAACGCGTTGAATCTCTTCGACTCCGTCTACATAGCTTTATCGATCGTGATCGCATCAAGAAATATCACAACCGCGTCAAAGGTTTGTCAGGTTAAAATCAATGCAGAATCGCTAGCCATTTGGCATACTCCTCTAGCATAAAAGGCTTTTCTTTTAGAAGAAAGCCAGAGCCAAAGAAGACCAAAAAAATACTGCAGCAATTCAAAGAGTACTTTCAAATTTACAGTACAGTTTACAGTACAATTTACAGTACGCTTTACAGTACAATTTACAGTACAATCTACAGTACAATCTACAGTACAATTTACAGTACAATTTACAGTACAATTTACAGTACGTCAATTTACAGTACAATTTACAGTACACTTTACAGTACACTTTACAGTACAATTTACAGTACAATTTACAGTATGCCAATTTACAGTACGCTTCACTTGGGTACACTCTAAGCCACGAAATGTATCATACATTCATCGAGACGGGAAACGATTATGTCGATGAGATTTTCACGAATCAAACCGATTGTGTGATGAGTCATTTCAAGGATTATTGCGATCTTTTCAGAGAGGTCACCTAGCCACAGTAATCCGTTCAGATTCGTTCTATTATTGGATTTAAGACGCTAAGGACCTTGTGTGACCTCCAGATGGAACAATTTTGACACCAATTTCTAAAGGGATAGGCTACACTTCTCTAAAAAGCACTAGACCCTACCGTACTACCGTACACCTGGCTTCTAGATTTGTTCTATTGTTGGATTTAAGACTCTAAGGACCTTGTGTGACATCCAGATGGAACGATTTTGACGCCAATTTCTAAAGGGGTAGGCTACACTTCTCTAAAAAGCACTAGACACTACCGTACTACCGTAGGCCCTGGTTTAGCTTTGATTGTTGGATTGTTGAATTTAAGACGCTAAGGGACAATAGATTGTTGGATTTAAGACGCTAAGAACCTTGTGTGACTCCCAGATGGAACGATTTTTCCATCAATTTCTAAAGGGATCGGCTACAATTCTCTAAAAAGCACTAGACACTACCGTACTACCGTACACCTGGCTTCTAGATTCGTTCTATTGTAATCTTATTCCGCTAGAAATGCAATGTGACATCCAGCTAGACCAACACTGTGCAAATTTTTCAGCAAACCTACTGCGAAAGCGGTGAATTGACCCTGGTCGAGGATGGACCCGATTTGGAGGGTGTCAAAGCCGCGTACCAAGCTTTCGTCGAAGCAATTGGTAAGTTGGAACGCACAATGGGAATGCACAAAGTTTATTGCACTTGTTTCGCTCAATGTTCGCTGATCTGTTTTTGTTGAGTTTGCTGACCCTAGGGTTAAATCGGGAAATCCTTTCCTCTAGCCGCTAATTGACAAAAATATTTCTTAGTTGGATGGCACGAAGAATTTTGAGCATTTCTAGAACAAAGGGAATCAAAGTTTAGGCGAAGACGACTTGTACGCGAATCCGTATGAGGATTTGGACATGACGAATGACGAGCTTTTTTATTATTCTCTCGCAGCTGACACTTGCACGGATTTTCAGCGTTAGTTTAAGAGGCAATTCGTTGGTTTAAATGTTTAATGGTTTGGTTCCAGAGTCTCAGCACGAAGAGGAAAACGAGCACTCGGCGGCTTACGTTCGCGTCAATGCAATGCTCAGTCAATTGCCGAGATTTGCGTGAGTTCAAAAATCAATTAAATAGAGTTGGCTGGGGAAGGGTTCGAGTCGGTTTTCTGATCTAGAAAGGCTGAAGTTTAGTCTTGTTGGGTTTCTGGTTAGCTAGATTCGCTGGCAAGGCTAGAGTTAGCTGGGAGGGCTAGAGCTGCTGGGAAGGCTAGAGTTGCTGGGAAGGCTAGAGCTGCTGGGAAGGCTAGAGTTGCTGGGAAGGCTAGAGCTGCTGGGAAGGCTAGAGTTGGCTGGGAAGGCTAGAGTTGGCTGGTAAGGCTAGATTTGGTGAGTTTGGAGTCGGTTTTTGACCCAGAAAGGCTTAAGTTTAGTCTTGTTTGGCTGTTTGACTTTCTGGTTAACCGCAAGGCTAGATTTGCTGGCTTTAAAGCCATTGGAGTCTTTCCAAAGTCTCTCCAAAGGTCAGGCTCGACACTGCCTCGACATTGCATAAAATCAAAAATCGATTTTCTTAATTTTCCAAAAAAACAAAACCCCATCAACCCAAATTCTTCTGTGCTATCCAACTAAGAAAAAGCCAAAGTTTCATCAAAATTCATTTACCCAAAAAAAAAGTTATGATGACGAAAAGGTTTCGAAGCTGTTTTCAAGCCTTTTTTAAGTTATTTCTTTGATAAATTTTCAACAAAAAAAGAGAAAAAGAGGTAAAAACTTGCTAAAAACTTAATAAATATTGAAATTATTAAAGTTATTCTTTAATTATTTCAATTTTTTTTTTATAATTTTCATGTTTTAATTTGAAATTTTAGAAAATTTTCATATTTTTTTTGATTTTTTTCGATTTTTTTTTTGTTTTTATGTTTTTAAATCAAAATTTAAATGTAATAAACCATTAAAAAAGTCTTTTAGATATCGAAATTCCATTTTTAAATCGGAATTCATTTTTCAAATCGGAATTTTTCATTGAAACATTGCCATTTTTTAAGGGAATATCCCGAGAAACCTGTTCATCATCATAGCTTTTTTTTGGGTAAACAAATTTTGATGAGACTTTGGCTTTTTCTTAGTTGGATAGCACAGAAGAATTTGGGTTGATGAGGTTTCGTTTTTTTGAAAAATTAAGAAAATCGATTTTTGATTTTATGCAATGTCGAGGCAGTGTCGAGCCTGACCTTTGGAGAGACTTTGGAGAGACTCCAATGGCTTTAAAGCCAGCAAATCTAGCCTTGCGGTTAACCAGAAAGTCAAACAGCCAAACAAGACTAAACTTAAGCCTTTCTGGATCAAAATCTTGCTCCAAACTCACCCAGCCAAACTCTAAATTAGTCTTGAATTTTCAGTGAGACTTTCGGCTGCGTGCAATCGGATCCAATGTTCGTGGCGCCGGTGAGCTTTTTTTTTCTTTTAAACGCTAGGAAAACGATCAAAAACGTCCAAAACGATTTTAAACGATTTTAAACGATTCTAAACGATTTTAAACGATTTTAAACAATTTTAAGCAATTTTAACCAATTTTAACCAATTCTAACCAATTTTAACCAATTTTAATCAATTTTAACCAATTTTAAACGATTTTAAACGATTTTAAACAATTTTAAACAATTTTAAACAATTTCCCCTTTTCAGGAAGAGCAATGTCACATTTTTGGACGCAAAGCCGAACAATATCGATAACGCTAAATCCCCTTGAAGCCAAGCAAAAATCTCATTTATTCGATAAAACAATAAAATCGCGACGAGTATGAGCAGAGCAAAAATCATAGGATATCACAGAGCGGATTTGCATGAAAAGAAAAAAAATCGATTTAAAGCTAAAGGAAAACAAAAAAAAAAATCTCACTTGTCGCCTATCGTACAAAGCGATCCGTTCGAGCCTCGAATATTCTGGAAATTTGGGAATTTTACCCAAATTTTCACATATTTTTTGGAGAATCTGGAGCACACAGCAACTGTTTAAGACAAATTTAGAACCCAGGAAGGGATTCTGTACTGTACTGTTTTCTGGGATACTGTAGCTGGGGCGCTAAATAGCCTCTACGATCCTGCTTTCTCTTCTTTTCTCAATTTTTGCCCAATCTGGAGCTCACAGCAACTGTTTAAGACAAATTTAGAGCCCAGAAAGGATTTTGTACTTTATGGGATCGGTAGCTGGGGCGCTAAATAGCCTCTAACATTCTGTTTTCACTGCTTTTTTAAACTTTTGCCCAATCTGGAGCACATAGCAGCTGTTTACGGGATGAAATCGAGTCTCCGAAAGACTTAGGCAAATTTGATACCGTAGACACTATTTTGCATTGATTTTCTCTATATCTACTCGAAAGTTTCAGCAAAAACTAAAAAAAAAAAAAACTTGGATAATTAAAACGGCGAGAGGGCGTCTTTCGCGATTCTACATCTGGGCAGTGTGCCAGGACGTCGCTTTTTCCTACGAACTATACCAAACGAACGCACAGAGCCGCCATTACGCCACGAAAATTTTCGTTTCGCTAGGAAAAACGATTGAAACATGTGCGGAGTTAAAAGAAAAAAACGGAAATTCGGCTATCCTGGAAGTCAGACTAGAGCTGAGGACAGTTTTTGAAGCGCTGACGACAGTTTTTGAAACCAGAATCAATTCCGGAATTTCTTTTTCGTAGTTTTTCTAGATTTACATATTAAAACGATAAAAGCATTTAGAAAAAAGCTAAAAGATAAAAACTAAAAGCTGAAGAAGATAGGAAAGGTTTTGGTTTTGGTTTTGATTTGATTTGACCTTATTTTCCCTATATTCTTACCGGTAGATAGCCGCTGCAATGGACGCGCCAACCAACGGCCCAGCCCAATAAATGTAGTGCCTTGACCACAAATGATCGGCTTGATCCCCTTTATTGATCAATATCTGTAAACGAGAAAATAGCTCCGTTTGCTGAACGACCGATTTACCGATGCCGCCACGTTTGGCCCGAATGAGCGAGCCGGGTTCATGCTGGCGCCAGTGATCGCGCCGCTGAAAAACTTTTTTATTCATTGGCATATATCAGAAATTCTCGATTCCAAAGCTCAATCTGGATGTCACAGGACTGATCTAACTTAGAATTACTCGAGTATTGTCAATTTTAAGAAAATTCGCTGAATTCTGGTAGAGCTCTGGCGGAGTAGAGCTGCTGAAATGGCTGCCTTTACATTTTTTAGCAACAATTTTCAATTCAAAGCTCAATCTGGATGTCACAGCAATGATTTAACTCAAAATTACTCGAATATCCCCGATTTTTAGAATTCCAGTAGAATTCTGGTAGAACTCTGGCAGTTTTGACCCTCTGAAATCGCTAGCTTGACAATAATTTTCAATTCAAAGCTCAATCTGGATGTCACAGCAATGATCTAACTTAGAATTACTCGAGTATTGTCAATTTTAAGAAAATTCGCTGAATTCGGGTAGAGTTCTGACGGAGTAGAGCCGCTGAAATGGCTGCCTTTACATTTTTTAGCAACAATTTTCAATTCAAAGCTCAATCTGGATGTCACAGCAATGATTTAACTCAAAATTACTCGAATATCCCGATTTTATCCAGAATTCGGTAAAACTCTGGCAGTTTGACCCCTGAAAGCTAGCTTGACAAAATTTTCAATTCAAAGCTCAATCTGGATGTCACAGCAATGATCTAACTTAGAATTACTCGGTATTGTCAATTTTAGAAAATTCGCTGAATTCGGGTGGTTCTGACGGGTAGAGCCGCTGAAATGGCTGCCTTTACATTTTTTAGCAACAATTTTCAATTCAAAGCTCAATCTGGATGTCACAGCAATGATTTAACTCAAAATTACTCGAGTATTCTCAATTTTAAAAAAATTCCTCGAATTCTGGTATTCTGGTAGAACTCTGACAGTTTTGAGCCCCTTGAAATGGCTAGCTTGACAATAATTTTCAACTCAAAGCTCAATCTGGATGTCACAGCACTGATCTAACTTAGAATTACTCGAGTATTTTCAATTTTAAGAAAATTCGCCGGATTCTGGTAGAGTTCTGGCGGGGTGGAGCCCCTGAAATGGCTGTCTTTACATTTTTTGGTAACAATTTTTGATTCAAAGCTCATCCTGGATGGCACAGCACTGATCTAAACCGAAATTTCTCGAATATTCTCATTTTTTGACTACAGTGATTTACAGACGGATTTCGAGATTTTCGATCACCTCTGAATGGACTAAAGTCCAGACAAAATCCGAAAAAAACAAAAAAAAAACCCTAACGGCTAGATGAAAGCTATTTCTAAAGGCAGATACAGCTACAGACAGCTTTCTCCTGCTTTCCCCTTCAATTCTTATCTCTTTTCTTTTCAATCCCGAAAATCTCGAATGTTTTTCGTGTTCTCGTCGGATTATTGACGGATTGGCGAATCAAAAATGATTTTCCCAAAATTTGCGCTGATTTTTGGAGCGCACATTTGCGATTGCAAAGTTTTGTAAACGAAAAAAAGAGAGTTTTCAAAATTCGAAATGAGAGCTTTTTTAAGTGTTTTAACCGAGAATTCTCTAGAAACCCTTAGCTTTTTTTTTGAACGCACGTGGCTAAAATGTCGATGCTGAGCGTAAATCCGATCGCTAACGGCGCGAGCAAATTCTTATCAGTGTCGACGGCGGTCATCAGAATCGTGTGGCACAGGAAAAACGTGACGACGGTCTCCGAGAGCAGCCCCTGCAAGGCACTGAATTTTATTGACAAATTCTCGATTCAAAGCTCAATCTGGATGTCACAGCACTGTTTTAAATCAAAATTACTCGAGTATTCTCAATTTTTAAAAATTCCCCGAATTCTGGTATTCTGGCGGTTTTGAGCCACTGAAATTGCTAGCTTGGCAATAATTTTCAATTCAAAGCTTATTCTGGATGTCACGACAATGATTTATATTGAAAACCAGGCCAAGTTGCGGCAAGAATGAGGCTTTGAACAGTCGCTCACCTGCCACCAGGCACTGTTATCCAAATTCGACGGATCTCCCTCAAATAAAAGAGTCGCTCCAGCCTGTACTTGCACCATTTCATCGTAGCTGAGAATAGCCTGAAAATTACTCGTTTCTAATCGTCAAGCTGACTAATTTGGCTAAAGGAGAGGCTAAGGAGAGGCTAAGGAGCGGCCAAAATGAGCAGACAATGCGCTCCGATTCGAGCATCTTGTCTCTTTGGTTTTCTTTGGATTATTTAAACAAAAAAATTCTATTTTGTGCCCCTCGCAAGTCTGAAGTCTTCTCGTTACAAAGATTGAAAAAGTAAAGAATTCTGTGACCTCTGAGCAAAGTTGTAGAGCATCAAAGCACGGCTACTCATTCAAAATGACTAAGACCGATCCTGGTCAACCTTGGCCGATCCTGGCTGGTCCTAGCCGATCCTGGTCGATGCTGGCCAATCCTGGCCGATCTTGGCCGATCCTGGTCGATCCTGGCTGGTCCTGGCCGATCCTGACCGACCCTGACCGATCCTGGCGGGTCCTGGCCGGTCCTGGCCGATCTTGACCGACCCTGGCCGACCCTGGCTGATCCTGGCCGACCCTGACCGGTCCTGGCCGATCCTGGCTGAACCTGGTCAATCCTGGCCGACCCTGACCGATCCTGGTTGGTTCTGGCCGATCCTGGGCGACCCTGGCCGACCCTGGCCGGCCCTGGCCAATCCTGGCCGGCCCTGGCCGATCCTGGTTGCTCCTGGCCAATCCTGGCCAATCCTGACCGGCCCTGGCCGATCCTCGCCAAACCCAATCCCAATTTTCACTTACACAAGCCAACATCGATCCGCAAAAGCCGCCAAAGAGTTGTGAGGCCCAATAGAATGGTAACTCCAACGGATTCTGCCTTCCCGACGCCACCACCGACCACGTGACCGCTGGATTGAAATGGCCACCGCTAGAAAGTTGATTTTGTACAAATGCTGGAGTGGATGGTAGGAGAATTTTGACTCTGATTCGATGCAGAATCGAATTTTGCGTCGAATTATATAAAAGCAAACTCAAAATTTCATATTCATGTAAATTTCTGAGGCAAAAGGGCAAGAGTCTCGCGTAGAATAAACGCGGTTTCGTTTTTTCAGCCAAAAACTTTGCGTAGAGATTACATTTTGAGTTGATTTTTGTCTTATTCGACGCGCGATTTTATTTTAATCAAAATTTCGGCATACTGTAGCAAAGGCGTCGAAATAGGAACCCATAAAAGGAAAGTGAAAATTAAGGTTTCAATTTTTAGCCCTCAAACTTTTCAATTTCATTTCCATTTCCAATTCCACTCACAAAAAAAAGCCTCGTAAACGTGATACACCCTAATTTTATTAGCCCTAAAACAGTTTTCTTCCTTTCTTCCTTTCTTTCTTTCTTTCTTTCTTAAAATAGATGGCTTATCGTTTCCCCCATCGTTTTTAAGAGCAGTTGACGGCCGAGAAGCAAAAATGTCATACTTTTTTCCGTCATTGCTATTTATCCGCTCAATAACTCAATTTTCAAGCACTGTGCGCTCCAGGAAGCGCGAAAATCAATTCCGGGAAACATTTAAAATCTCTGGAAGAATTTTAGAGATCCAAAGTCGAAACGCGAAAAAACAACAATTTTTGGCTTTTGCTAAATGATGGATAAAATTGGCTTATTGCAGAGGATGCATTCCAGATTGTTTGGAAAAAATCGCTTTATAAGGATCGGTGCGTTGAAACAGATTCTAGACTCTCAAACTCGAATCGGATCAATTACGCAACTAGATGCTGGTCTGATTTCTTGCTATAAGCCTTTTGAAACACTAGTCTTTCCAAAGGATGACTTCCAGAAGGCACGAAAATCTGGTTTTAATAGAGATTCGTGCACTGCAACAGATTCTAAACCCTCAAACTCGAATCGGATCAATTACCCAACTAGATGCCGATTCGATCTCTGGCTATAAGCCTTTTGAAACTCTAGTTTTTTCAAAGGATGACTTCCAGAAAGCACAAAAATCTGGTTTTAATAGAGATTCGTGCGCCGTAATGGATTCTAGGTCCTCAAACTCGAATCGGATCAATTACGCAACTAGATGCCGATTCTATTTCTTGCTGTAAGCCTTTTGAAACTCTAGTTTTTCCAAAGGGTGACTTCCAGAAGGCACGAAAATCTGGTTTTGATAGAGATTCGTGCACTGCAACAGATTCTAAACCCTCAAACTCGAATCGGATCAATTACCCGCCTGGAAGATCTAAATTTCCCTCAATCACTCATAAACTATGATTCCCTGCACCCCACCCTTTTCCCATTTCCCGAAAAATAAACATTCTATCAAATTGTTATCAAATTGGAACGGACTGAAAAGCGAAAAATTCAGCTTATTCCCGCTTAACGCCTTTCCTTTTTTTCCTGCCTTTTCCCTGGCGACTAGCCGGCTCAATTAGAAAAAAATTGATAAATTTTGAAAAATTTGAAAACTATAGAGGGTAGTGTTTATGAAATTATCGAATTTTTAAAAAAATTGTGAAAATCGTTTTCCAAATCGTTTCCTTGGCCTTAAAACGAAGGGTTTTTCATAAAAAAATAATAAAATTCGGAAATTTGTGCAAGCTGGAGCGCACATTAACAGAAAAAGTTGCTAGAATCGCTGAAACGCTTGGCTGAAACGAACCTGATATGGCCCAGAGTAGTGACGAGGATGAAAATCGCGAAACCATGAGCCAACGCCGCATGCACTGTCCCGTCAACAGTGCCTCGACCATAGCCTTGCATTGTGCCTACAAAGGGATTGGTAAAGGAAAAGCCGTGTTCTGGGAAGGCCTAGGGTCAAGCTCAGCCTCAAGATCAAGCTCAAGCTCAAGCCCAAGCTCAGCCTCAAGACTTCCGAAAAAATTTTCTATTGAAATCCCTCAATCTAAGAAAGCCAGTACATTCTGTGACTTCCAGCTTACACTAAAAGTCAGCTAATATTACAGGCAAGCTCAGCCTCGAGCCCAAGCTCAAGCCCAAGCTCAAGCTCAAGCTCAGCCTCAAGACCTCCGAAAATTTTTTCTATTGAAACCCCTCAATCTAAGAAATTCAGTACACTCTGTGACTTCCAGCTTAGACGAAAACCCAGCTAATATTACAGCCAAGCTCAGCCTCAAGCCCAAGCTCAAGCTCAAGCTCAGCCTCAAGACCTCCGAAAAATTTTTCTATTGAAACCCCTCAATCTAAGAAAGCCAGTACATTGTGTGACTTCCAGCTTACACTAAAAGCCAACTAATATTACAGTAAAACGATCCAGGACCGCTTTATGAGTTCTGGCTCTGTTCTGACCTCTTTTTCAACGATTTTCTTGCTCTTTAGTAAAATAGCCCTTCAAATCTCTCACCGATAAAAACGAAAGTAAGATCGCCAAGAAATTCGGCCACACATTTCGTGAACAACGAATACTTGCGCTCACTTTTTACGGCCACCGATTTCACCGAGATTGCCTCGACCGATCCCTCCTCCCAACCGGCCGGCGCTGGCATTCTCTGAATTCAGTAAATCTAAAAAAGTCAGCAAATCCGGTGACCTCCAGCTTACACTTTTCTAGAACTAAGTTTTTCTATTATTGTAGAAATAAGCAATATTTTGACTCAAACTCAAACCAGCACTAGCACTGGCAACGTCTGAATTTTTTTTTTACATGAAAACTCATAAATCTAAAAAGGTCAGCAAGTCCTGTGACCTCCAGCTTACACTTTTCTAGATCTAAGTTTTTCTATTTTCTATTAATAAGCAATATTTTGACTCAAACTCAAATCAGCACTGATTCTAAAAATTTCCTTAATTTGCATAATTTTAGAGAAATTTTTTTTTTCGAAATTTCTTTTTTCATTTTCTCTCCTGCTTTCCAGATTATTAATTCTTTTTAAAAAAAACGATCTTTTTATCGACCAGAATCGATGTAATTGTTTGACAAAAATTCTCTTTTCTTTCTCACTCTCAACGAGGTGCTCCGTTGATCGATCGAGTTGTGTAGAGCGCCCCTGTAGGGCGGATCGTAGGCCGCATTTTCAGCGCTCATTTCCCCTAAAAAGCTCATAAAAGAGTTGCTTAATGTAGCAAAAAAAATCAAAAAAAAATTTCGAAAAAAAATCAAAAAAAAAATCAAAAAAAAATCAAAAAAAAAATCAAAAAAAAATTTTTTTTTTAATTTTTTTAAAAAAGAGATCGAAACTCATTTAAACTTATTTAAAGACTTTAACTTAAAGTTTTCTTTTTGCTTTTCTTTAATCAAAAAGCAAACTCGATCACGTTGAGCAAGGTAAAGAGAGAAATTGGTCAAATTTGGGAAATTTGGGAAATGTCGGAAATGATTCTTCTGAATGACAAACAAACTGATAAGGACGAATTGTGGCTAAGAAATCGCCCGCCCATTTCTCAGAAAGAGAATAAACATCGCAAAAAAAAGCGATAAAGCTTTATGTTTTACTAGAGCAAAACTTACAATTCGGCAACTCTTTTGGCTCTTTGACAAGGGGAATCTTTGACTAGTTTTAATAGTCAAATCACATTTGCCAAACGTTATTCAACGCAGAATTCAACACCGATTCCGAATCTGCTTTCGGTTTCCGCTGTGGAGCACTCTGTAAAAAGTTCTAAGCCTTCTAAGCATTCTAAGCATTCCAAGCATTCTAAGCCTTCCAAGCCTTCTAAGCCTTCTAAGCCTTCCAAGCCTTCCAAGCCTTCTAAGCCCTCTAAGCCTTCCAAGCCTTCCAAGCATTCTAAGCCTTCCAAGCCCTCCAAGCCTTCTAAGCCTTCTAAACATGCAAATTTTTGTAGTGTTTTAAAAATCATAAAAATCTTTATAAGCAGATTTCCCCAATTTAACGATAATGAGCGAGTTTTCGATCATTCGATTAATTCGATTTTTTTGCCTTGTCTGTAGATTTTGGGTTTGAAGAGACCCTGATAGATCGCTACGAGGGTTTCTTCAAATTTCTAGCAATGTCTAGCAATTAAACATGTCAACGGCTCATCAAACTTAAGGACGACATTTGAAAACCCGTTGACCCAAGTCCGATGCAGAAGCAAGCCTTCAGATGTGAATTTAGCAGTCCGTTGAGTTACAAATGACATAAAAACTAACCGAGCTCAACAATTCCCCCAAATCATCGCGCAATCTTCAAATCAATTTTTTTCAAAAAATTTTATTCTTGACCGTAAAAAGTTAAGGGTTAAGGATTTTTTGAAAAAAAATAGAGATCTATAGAGATCGTAAGAGATAGAGACCACGTAAATCGCTTAATCAACAATCAACCATCAAAGGAAAGAGGGGGGAATTTAACAATCAAAGAAATGAAGTAACAAATAAGCGACATTACACATTTGTTTAAAATACCCACAATTTGTAAAAAGAGATCAGATCATTAGATTGAGAGGGAAAAATTGGCGAAAGTTGAAATCTAAAATCTCATCCGTAAAAAGTGGCTTTGCGGCGGAGATCCACGTGTAAATCGGCCATCTTCACGAGGTAGTCAGACTGAAAAATGAAAAATGATTGAATTTTCGTCTAAACGTCTAAACTTTCACTAAAATCGCTTAAATTTATGGGAAAATTCGATTTTAGGCAAAAATTTCGCAATTTTGCAACAAAATAGCATCGATTTTTTCAAATGACAATCAGACAATCAGACAAAGAACTTTCCAAGAACTTACGCGTCTTTTCGCAATCTTGTAATATTCCGCCTCGAGCAGCAGCATATTGTCAAAGGTTTTCTCGAGGATCTTCTAAAAGAAAAAAAGAGGAGGAATTGATTAGTGCTCAAAAGTGTTAAAGTGTTTAAAAAAAAAACTGACTCTTGGTATCCTTTGAATGGATTGGAAAATTTCTTCGATCAACTCGCGACGCTTCTTTTCATCAAACTCCGCTTTCCAATTCTAAAAGCAACAAATTTATAGCTATAGTCTGAAGGTCATCTAATTTTCGCAACATTTAACACATACCTCGTCATCAAAATCCTCCACAAGCGGCTCAGCTTTCATAACCTCGCTTCGATGCGGCTCCGGCGTGGGCAAGATGGGGGCTACTAGAACAACAAGTTAGTAGACTTTGAGCATACAAAAAGCGTTACCTTGTTCTTGTTGTTGTTCTTGTTGTTGTTGTTTCTCGTTTTGTCCACGTTGTTCAACTTCTTTTTCAGCTTTCTTCTTCAAAATTGGATCGATGAAAGAGACCGACGAGACACTAGAGAGCGTGAGGAGGTTCTTGCCGATTTTCTGAAAAAACCAAAGTTAAACAAGCAATCTAAGACTCATGTCCCCGTTTAGCTTTCGAATTTTTTTTAAATCAATCTCCTCAAATCTCTTACCTTCATTGGTGGCTGCGTTTCTCCGAGATGCACTACGCTTGCCGCAATGGAAGTCGTTGAAATTGTGATTGTCGATGATGAGAGGTCATCCCGTTGCTTCAAGATACCCTTTTGGCTAAAAGTGGGCCGATCCAAGGACCTAAAACCTTTCTTTGCCCTCATTGCCTACACAAAACGATCTTACTTGACATTTCTGCAAACATTTCTTTTACGAATCATCAACGGTGTCGTTGGAAGCGAAGTGAGGCTAGCCTGAGAAGAAAGTTCTTCTTGTTGTGGCGTTTCTTTGGCGGTAATTGGAGGTTCTTGTTGGGTGGCTTTTGCCGTACAGTTTTGTCCCATCGCTAGGAAATTCGGGGGATCATGTCGTCTAAATCGGAAAGTCTTGATGAAACGCCAAAAATTTCGCTCACCTTGGTGGCAACGCAATGGGCAAAGTCCAATTCTCGGGGCCGGCTGGGCGCATCGTTTCTTGCATGATTTCTTCCTAGAAAGAGACTAAAATTCTGGTCGTACAACTTTATTAATGAAATCCTAAGCTAAACGGTTGTTCTAATTGGCTGAAACCTTACATTTAACACCACTGAATACACTAAAAACCCACAAATTGCACTTCCTCATCGCTATTGTTCATTATCACATCCTCGTCCGGCTCGAAAGTTGGGGCTATTTTTCTAAAAAACAATCAATAATATCACAAAGCGAGATCCTTACTTAGGACTCGGCTTTCTAGGCGATTTTGGAGAAGGTCGACGCGGCGATTGATGTGGTTCTGCTGGTGGAAGACGATCTTCACGTGGTGGCAGTCGGGTTTCCCAAAAATGATCCTCAATCACGCGAGCCGTTTCATCCTAAATATCAAAAGTTTAAGGTTATTCCAGAAAATTCTCTCACATGATCATCACCTAAAGCCGATCTCCATCCTTTCTTCCTCTCATCACCGCGTCCATTTTGCATTGACGAGGCATGCTCCGTGTTAATCGTTCGTTTCCTGAAAAACATTTTGTTTAAAACATTTGTCATGTATATGTCGTAGCCGATTATGAATGAAATTTTTTGGTAAATCTTTCTAGTAGAGCAACTCTTTAATGTATGAGGACAATCTTATATCATCCTGTAGTGAATTAAATTCTGCGTCGATTGATACCAAATTTGTGAGTTTAGGTTAAAAATTATCGGCGCTACAACGTTTCATTCAAAATCGGCGGAACCCCCGTAGCCGATTATGAATGAGTGAATCTAGGAGCGTCCAACCATCAATTATTTAGTATCATTCAACGCAGAATCATTAATAATTATGTTAAATTTTTAAAATTAGAAAGATTTGATAAAAAGAAGAAAAAATTAGAGCAAAAAAACTGTTTGTTCAAGAGGAAACTTTGAAGCCCCATAATTTTTTTTCTTTTTATCCAATCTTTCTAATTTCAAAAATTTAACATAATTATTAATGATTCTGCGTTGAATGATACCGAATACTTGATGATTGGACGCGTCCGGACCCGCTCATTCATAATCGGCTACGACATATATTTGTTTAAAACATTTGTCATGTTGATTCATTAGAGCAATCTATCAATTAACACAATAAAATCTTACTTTGGGCTTGTTTTCATAGTCGCTTTTGGTGCAGGTCGAAGGGGTGATTGCTGTGGTGATGCTGCTGCACGTGCTGCACGAGTTTCACGTCGTTGCGGACTCGTTTCTGGTAAATGCTCTTTAGTCACACGAGTGGTCTCATCCTAAAAATATCATAGTTTTAAAAAAAGTAATAGATTGCGAAGCTTTTAAAAGCTAAAATCAACGTTTAACAATCTTCTAAGAAAATGCTAAGCAAAGAAAGCAAAGAAAGCAAAGAAAGCCAAGAAAGCAAAGAAAAACATTGAATAGCTGCATTTTAACACTTTAAAAGCATCGGTGCGTTTGAAATATATTCCTAATTGACTACAAACTATTTATAAGGCAAGGCAAGGCATTCCTCACATCATTCTCATTCTCATCATCATCATCATCATCATCCCAAATCGATTTCTCCCATTCATCATCTCCATTTTGATGCGAAGAGGCATGTTCCGTACGAATTATGCGTTTCCTGAATCAAATTTTGCTTAAAACACAAAAACACCTAATTTACTTGATAATTTTTGTTGGTAGAGTCTTTGCAGGGCCTTGAAGTGATACGGAGAAGCCAATTTGTGAAGAATTGGACTGAAAAAGAGAAGATGAATATTTACTTTTTGATTTTACGTTGCCAACTATGCCCGAAAGTGCTTAAAAAGAGTTTATTCAAAGGATCGGATCAGTGATCGTATAACTCACTCAACGCAAAGAATCTACTTACCGATTCGTCAAAATCGAAAACATCCCGTTCATTTCTTGACGTTTCAAGGGAAGACACGGATTGATCGAGGGGGGCTGCGAATCGGGCACTTCACTTGTGCTCGTTTCTAGCGCATCTAAAGAGAAATTGAGTCTAGAGATCAAGTTTAACAAAGCAAGAGATCTGCAATAGATCTGCAGGAGATCTGCAAGAGATCTGCAAGAGATCTTCAATAGATCTGCAATAGATCTGCAATAGATCTGAAATAGCTCTTCAAGAGATCTTCAATAGATCTTCAAGCAATCTTAAAGTAAGCTTTCTTAAAGCAACAGATCCGTAGAACATTCTTGAAAAAACAACTTCTTTTCTTCTTTCTCGGCGTCTCTTCGCTTTCATCCAGGTCTTCGGCCGGCTTTTTTCGTGGCGATGTATCTAAAAAAGAAACATTTCAACAAATCCCCCGATTTATCATTACCCCGTTTATATTCTTGCAAGAATCCCTTTGTCGAGATCACGAGTTTGTATGGCCAGCGCTTCTCCAGCCTAAAGTAGAGCAACTTTCGTTGAAACTTCTTCAATTTACTCTTAAAAACGATCGTTAAAAGAAAAATAGATAAATTTTCGAAACTAACCATTGCTTATCCTCGGATTTCACCGTTTGCCCCAAATGTTTAATTAAATAGAAGAGCTTCTCGGGTGGGTAATTTAAATAGCAAAATTTTTCGCCCCATACATGTCGTCGAAAGCTGAAAGTCGAAAGGTTTTGATGAATTTTTCAAAAAACAATAACTCAAGAAGAATTTAAGGCAAAACTAGAGGTAAAACTCGATGTTTTTAGGGTAAACAAGCGCCTAAAATAACCAGATTTTTTTTCGGAAACACACTGTGATTGAAGAGATTGAAATGAGCGTTTTGTGTCCGGATTCATCTCCACATAGCGCTTCCACACCCTGTTCCCTCTGTACAATTGCGCGTTTTCCTTTCGAGTCGGATCCCTGCTTCGTAGCTCGCTGAAAATTGAAAGATTAGCATTTTGGCAAAAATTCGACCGCAATAACTGAGCAAAGCTTTTGCAAAAAAAAAAACCTATAAATTTAAGCTTAAAACATGACAAAATTGCATCCAAATAGCTTGAAATCCCTTAACTAACTATAACTTCAGTGGTTGGTCCACAGAAGCAAAAAAGAAAGATGTTTTGAATGATTTGAATGACTTTGAATGATTGGGTTGACAATTTTCCCTTTTTCAAAGTCGCTGAATCGATTGTGAATGATTTTAGTCCAATTCTAGTCAATGATTTAACAATTCTATTCAATGATTTGCCTAGTTTGCTAAGTTTAAAGCTTACAATGAAAAATCAAATGCAGAAACGGCAATTTAGGCTTAAAACCTGTTCAGAATAGTGGGAACGAGTGCGAATCGACTCAGCAACTTTGATTTTTCAAGAAAACTAGTAACATAACGATGCAAAGGAGTGGGTTTGACAATTTTACGCCTAAAGGACTCGAAAAGCGGCTGAAATAACACTCACTTGTATAAAAAATCGAGCAAATCTCGATCCTCGGTGTCTGTCCACTGTTCGCCGGGCATTTCCTGAAAGAAAGAAAAAGATTATATGATTTAAATTTAAGAAAAAAAAGAAAAAAACAATAAAACAATAAAAATAAAATAAAATAAACCCAAAAATTTGTATTAAAATTATTCAAAAACTTTCAAAAACGCAAAAAATCGGGAATGGGACAAATGCGACCTTTTTTTTGCGCACCCGGACATTTGCGCACCTTTTTTCCCGCACTTAGCCCATTAGCGCACCTTTTTCGCGTTTTAAAAAAGCTCTAAAAGCTAAATATTAACCAATTTCTATTGCAAAAGTTGTTCTTCTAGGTAATTTTAGGGAGTAGAATCGAAATTTTGACATATCAGAGCTTGTGGAACCAATATGAAAGACAAACGAAACGGCTAGATCAAATTACAGAAAATTGTTGATTGTTGACATCGAATTGTCGATCTTTCTCTTTGCATAACTCCGTCCCTTCGCTTTCACGAGCTCTGTTATGCTAAAATTTCAATTCTACGCCCTAAAATTACTTAGAAAAACAACTTTTGGAATAGAAATTGGTTAATATTTAGCTTTTAGAGCTTTTAGAGCTTTAGAGCTTTTTTAAAACGCGAAAAAAGGTGCGCGAATGGGCTAAATGCGGAAAAAAAGGTGCGCAAATGTCCAGGTGCGCAAAAAAAAGGTCGCATTTGTCCCACTCCCAAAAAAGGCAAAAAGGGGGTGGGACAAATGCGACTTCCACTTTTTTTGCTGGAAAGGCCTAGGCAAGGCCGAGAGCTCGAGAATATTTCGAAAATGTTTCCACATAGGGGAATCATATGCGTAGATTCCGAATTTCGACAAATTAGAACTCGCTGACACGTCAAATTTGGGCTAAGAGGCAAAAACTACGCAACTTAACGCTTTTCCGCGGTTTTTGCCTTTTAGCCCAAATTTGACGTGTCAGCGAGGTCTGATTTGTCGAAATTCGGAATCTACGCATACGATTCCCTTATATGGAAATATTTTCGAAATATTCTCGAAGCTCTACGGCCTTGCCTAAGGCCTTTTCCAGCAAAAAAAAAGGTGCGCAAATGTCCAGGTGCGCAAAAAAAAGGTCGCATTTGTCCCACCCCCAAAAAAACAATGAAAATCTTTTTTAGCCTTTTCTCTTTTATACTCCCATTCATTTCTAATAGATATTCAGTCAAGGAACTGAAAATTCCACATTTCTCAATTAGTGCGTTTTAGAAAAGACAAAAATGTCGGAGGTAAAATTTTTCAACGAAAAGCACGAGATTTATCGATAAAAATTTCATCAATTAAGATAATTTATTCGTTTTTTTTTTTTGTAAAATTGTTGCCTAGACAATGAGAAAAACGAAAATAATCGAAATAATCGAAAAAATCGAATTTCCCCTTTCGAAAAACCCATAAAAACAATCATTTCACATACAAAATATGCACTGACCGGTAAATTTTTGAATTAAATCGAGTTTTTGAAATTTTCAACAACAAATTTGCTTTAGTTGGAACGCAGGAAAGAAAAGAAATCGAAAAAAATTGGAAATTATCAAATTAAAATTTTTTTTTTTAAATCGCTTTGAGTCACTACAGAAAAATTCGAATTCCTTTTAACAATTGCAATTTTTACAAAAGTAAATTTCAAACTGGAATCCACGAGAAATTTTCGAAACAAAATCGAGATCTTTAGGTTGAGCTGATCGTTGATGGATGCGAGAGGCCGCTGGTCAAGAGGAAAAACGCCGCCGGCACTGGCACCATTGTGACCAATAGGAGTGACCAGCCATCGTCTCTGAAAAGCGAAATGCTCTATCTGGAAGGCACTAGGGAGTTTGAGCGGGAATTTGAGCAGAAAATCATGGCTTTCCAGAAAGTTGGCTGTACCGATTGCTCTAGGGTCATCTATCCTGCTTTATGGCCAACTATCCTATAGCTTTTACCTCAAAAATGTGAATTCTGGAGGTCACTGGAGGTTATGGTTTGTGAATTTGAGGTCCTATTTGCATAAAATAGTATGCTTACCGTAATCCTGATAGAGTACGGTACAAGGGGCGGGTTTTAAATGGTAAACGGTCTGTAACGAACCTCTCCACAGCGAGCGTCACAATCGAGAACGCCAACAGCGCCATGTTGACGATAAGCAGTGTTAGATGATTGCCTGATGTGGCCAATGCGTCAATCATCGATCTGGAATTGCCAGTAGGCTATAGTAGGCTACAGTACGCTATAGCAGGCTACAGTAGGCTAGGTTGGCTATAGCAGGCTACAGTAGGCTACGGTAGGCCATAGAAGGCTACAGTAGGCTATAGCAGGCTACAGTATGCTATAGCAAGCTACAGTAGGCTACGGTAGGCCATAGCAGGCTACAGTAGGCTACAGCAGGCTACAGTAGGCTATAGCAGGCTATAGCAGGCTACAGTAGGCTACGGTAGGCTATAGCAGGCTACGGTAGGCTATAGCAGGCTATAGCAGGCTACAGCAGACTTTAAAAATGACATTAGACTAGCTAATTCTAGCCGAAACTAGTCGAAGAACCCGTTTAAGAGCGGCTTTTTCCGGCCGAGCCCTCCCTTCCCCATGGCGCAGTCGGGAGTGCGATTCTCTACAACCCACACGATCCCGGTTCCACCCCCCCTACTGCCACTGCTCTGATTTTGTTAATATTTCTGTTAAATTTCACAACTACAATATATTCTAAGCTTTTCTAAAGAAATTTTAGCTTTATTGGACAGAACACGGCCGAGAAATAGCCGCATAGACAGACAGACAAACAGACACTACTCTTTTAGATGGAAAACATGAATGGCAAACCTGGACACCCTGTAAGAAATACTGTCACTCACCGCATCGATTTATTCCCCTCAAGTGACAAATGTACTGCATTTGCCGCTACACTCCATAGCATTAACACGAAAGCGAACATGTAGTAAAGGAAACCGGCCTGGAAACGAATTCTGGGAATGAGAAAAGAGTCGGGAGCAATTTCATTCAATTTCGCACAGCAACTTTGCTTGAATTGATTGCCGATCAGCTTTCTGGAGGACACCAAAGAAAATAAACGTCAAAGAACATGAAAGCGGGCACTTTTTAGAAAGCGGATTCCGAGCGATGAAATCAGTCTTAAAATCACAGCCAATTTAGAAAAACGAATTCACCCATTCTAATGCCGTCAACTTGTTTCGTGACATCCAGATTGATGATTCGTAAAATATGGCTACCGTAATCCCTATTGTCATGGGTAACTAGACTAGGAACAGATTACGGTAGTTACCCAACCAATTTAGAAAACCGAATTCACCAATTCTAATGCCGTCAACTTCTTTCGTGACATCCAGATAGATGATTCGTGAAATATGGCTACCGTAATCCCTATTGTCTAGTAGAACTAGACTAGGAACAGATTACGGTAGTTTCTCAGCTACTTTAGAAAAACGAATTCATCCATTCTAATGCCGTCAACTTGTTTCATGACATCCAGATTGATGATTTGTGAAATAGGACTACCGTAATCCCTATTGTCAAGGGTAACTAGACTAGGAACAGATTACGGTAGTTACCCAAACAATTTAGAAAACTGAATTCACCCATTCTAATGCCGTCAACTTCTTTCGTGACATCCAGATAGATGATCTTTAGCCATTACAGTAGCCAGGGGTTACGGTAACCAGAGAAATCGCCACGTTTCACAAAGTGAACTACGGTAGCAAGGGGCAAGTGTTCTGGCTTTGCAATATTCACTTTCCTTTTCATTGAACATTCCCTCACTCACCATTAGCGCCAATCCTAACGCCAATATTGGAATCGCGTACAATGCAGCATAATATGCGTGTCTCGAGCGATCTCTTTTCCGAATTGTCATGTAGAGAATCGAGCGACAAATCAACAAATTCATCAAACAGAAAAGCAAATAGACGAACGGAAGCGAGTATCTGAACAATTTAATCTATAAAAAAACCCCAAAAGTCTAAAGTTTTCAACTTAAAACAGCTCAAGTATTCGAATTTTATTCGTCTTACTCTTGCCGATCGTGTTCATCAAGTTTTATGCTCAAATACTTAATAGAAAGGGATAACTTTTTGCGTAGAGTCAAATCCTGGAACGCACTTTGTTAGTTAGCTCAATTTTTACCCTTATTGTCTACACGATTTCGATTTGGGTTACTGCAGTGGATCGGGTTCATCGAGTTTTATGCCCGAATATGTAATAAAAAGGGATAACTTTTTGCATAGAGATAAATCCTGGAAGTGATTTTGACGATTGGCATCATTTTTACGCTTATTGTCTACAAGTTTTCGATTTGGGTTACTGTAGCCGATCGGGTTCATCAAGTTTTCCAAAAAACCACTCGATAAACCGAAACATTTTCTGCGATCAATGAGTGATCTGGAAGTCACAGAATCCATTTCCCGACAAAAAGAAATACCGTACTCCCTTTTTTTCAACTAGACTAGAGACAGCTGAACGGGTTCATCAAGTTTTCCACAAAACCACTCAATAAACCAAATAATTTTCTGCGATCAATGAGTGTTCTGGAAGGCACAGAACCCATTTTTTACGCTCCCCATTTCCCTCAACTCACAACGGAAAAACGAGCTCATAGGTGCAGGGAAGAGTTCGGCCGAAAGTTTGCGGATTGTGCAGCGCCGGGTACCACTCCTCGATCAGCGTCTTGTGACAACCCTGGAAAAGATTTACGAGTTAAAAATGTGATTAGACGTCTTTCTGGAGCTCATGCTTTTAAAAGGCTAAAGAATTCAGAGCTAAGAAAGAGTTTTCGATAAATGCAAATTTCAATAAATGTAAATCTCAATAAATGCTAATTTCAATAAATTCAAATCTCAATAAATGCAAATTTTAATAAATTCAAATCTCGATAAATGCAAATTTCAATACATGCAAATCTCGATAAATGCAAATTTCAATAAATGCAAATTTTTCGATTTTCTATATTTTTCTTAAATGACTTAATTCCTTTCGATTCAGCTTTCGTGATGTCCAGAATGAAACTCACGTATAAATTCAGCGACCACCGAGGCGGCATGACGAGCAGAGAGGCGACTGCAGCCAGCACACCCTCAACAATGCAACACCCAAGCTCAAGCACCTCGTTGCGACTCAAGCTGAAAACGATTCAGTGACATCCAATTTGAAGATTTCATTTTAAAATTTTCTCTCCTTTTCATTCGTTGGTCGTAAATTTAGCCAAACTCTTTTCGAAAAAAAAAAGGTTTTTCTATTTTCATTTAAAATCGTTATTTAAACATTTTTTTCTATATTGTGATATCCAGAATGGCGAAATATGTGGAAAGTTTCGAGATTGTTTTTTAATTTTCAAAGAGAAACCTCATCCTTTTCGAACTGTAGTAGTGAACGAAGAAACAGTTGATCAAAATCGGCAAAATGGCGACGAAAAGCAGGTACAACCAGTCATAAGCGGGTAGAGGGGAAAGACAAGGCTCACAAATCGATGCACGAGGATCGGAAAGGGTTGAAGGGTGGAGGTGAGTGAGCGGCGGCACACGCCAACCCCAAGGGCAAGCCTGAAGAATCAAAGTCATTGAAGGGATTGGGTCTTTAAGGGGTCTTTAAAGGGTCTTTAAGGGGGCTTTCAAGGGCCTTTAAGGGGCCTTTAAGGGGCCTTTAAGGGGCCTTTAGGGTTCACCTGACAAACGCTTCCATTCGTCGGATCGCTGGGGTTTCGACCGCAAAAACCTGGACATCTCTGGAAAAGAGAATTTTTGAAAATGCGTAAATTTCATTAGCAATTTATCAAAATGCAAAAACTCACCGAATCCTCGTGCATGAAGTCGAATAAACGATCACCGAATCGCCAAATGAAAAGTGGGGAACGTCAAGAAATTCGCATATAACCTAACACCTACGTTGTGCACCTATGGACAACGAAAAATCGAGGGAAATCGAAGCCCGACGAATCCGTTTCCGAGACCGTGCCCCTTTCGCCGGTAAACTACCGTAATACCGTATTCTATACAAATCATTCGTTAATCTGGAGCTCACAAAACATTTCTAGGCAATCATCTCAATGAAAACAACAAAACGCCGTCTCGACGTCATTCCACAGCAACCTCGCCGTGACTCAGAACCCATTCCCGCATCAAAAACAACTCTTCCTTTCCATCTGATTCACCGACCTGGAGCTCACAAAGCATTTCTAGGCGATCATCTCAATGCAAGCACCAAAACGCCGTCTCGACGTCATTCCACAGCAACCTCGCCGTCACTCAAAATCGGTTTCCCCTTAGAAAACAGCTTTTCTTTTTCATTCGATTCATCAATCTGGAACTCACAAAGCATTTCTAAGTGCTTATCTAAACTGCAGCGACAAAACGATCATCCCGGATTATTTCACAGCAACCCAACCGTGCCTCAAAATCCGTTTCCACTTCGAAAACAACTCCTTTTTCTGATCTTATTCATCAATCTGGAGCTCACAAAACATTCCAAAGTCATTTGCAAGATTTCCCTTTCGGATTTGTGTGATGATAGAGAAGAGACACTTTTTAGGAGAATGACGTTTTTTTAAAGGCGAAAAATGCTGCATTCTGCATTTTGCATGAAAGAAAAAAGCGATAAAATTGATAAAATCCCCAAAAAATCGATCTTTAAAATTTCTATAATCACAATTTCTCTAAAAAAAGTGGCAAAAAATATTTACAAAAATGTTGCGGAATTTGAAAAATTTCAAAATAGCAATGGTCTTTTGTACAGAAAAGGTAAATGATTTTTTTGCAAATATCGATCTAGAAGGCGCAATCGATCGATTTGACTAGACGATGAGGAAAATCTGAAAGAAAATTCTACTTTTTTTTTTGATGGGATTTTATAATTTGTCTTTATTACCGTAGCCCGATTATGGGTATTTTTATAGATTTGTTCTTTTCCTTTTTTAATTATTTCTTTCGAAAGTGTGCATTCCAGATAGCATAGGAAATGGTAAAAAGAAAAGGGAATGTTTTTGAGAAGCGAGAAAAAAAAGCTTGAAGAAAAAAAAAGCTTTGATTCTCATCAATCACTCTTAAAATCTCCTTCAATTATCGTTTTGTTGTCTCTAAAATGCTCTTCTATTTTCAGAGCTCTATTTTAAGAGCTCTATTTTAAGAGCTCTATTTTAAGAGCTCTATTTTAAGATCTCTATTTTTAAGAGCTCAATTTTAAGAGCTCAATTTTAAGAGATCGATGAGAAAGACGTCATTTTTATCGAGGATTCCCCTTTATCTTCACTATTTGAAGTTTAAATCTCATAAAACTTGCCTCAAATTTTTGTCGAAAGCTTGTTGAAATGTAGAAAAATTGTCGAAAATGATGAGAGAGAGAGAGAAAAAAAAGTGCGATTATCTCATCGTTGAAAGCGTTTTTTGCAAACCCAAATAAGCGATGAGAGTCTAAAAAAAAAAAGAAATGAGAATTATATTTGCTTTTTCTTTTTTTTAATCTCTGATCTTCAATAAGAAAAGTTATTTTTTATAGAAACTTTTTCAAATTTTTAAATTTTCAAAATTTTTTCTTAAAACTTTTACATTTTGTCTTTTTAAAGACGACAATAAAGAGATAATCACAAAAAAAAAAAAAATTTAAAAAAAACGTTTATAAACCGTGAAAGTTTTTTTGAATAAAATTCTTTAAACTTTTCAAATTTTTGAGCTTAAAAAGAGCTTAAAACTGACCGTAAAATAAATGAAAAAAGCCGAGGTTGAGATGAGAATCGATGAAGTGAGCGGCCACGAGGCAAGGAAATGACGGATGAGACCGAAATTCGCACGAATTAACATCAAACCATTTTCGACCTGAAAAAAAAAAAAAGAAAAAGAATTTTCTCGAAAAATCATTTCTAACAAATTCAAAAGAGAATTTATATCTTTTTTTTTTTTTTTTTTTATTTTCATAAATCAACTTTTAAAAAGCGCAAAAATGAAAAGTACTCGCGCGTAGTCAAAGCATTACATTGCAATAAATTAGATTGCAATAAATTAGATTGCAATAAATTAGATTGCAATAAATTAGATTGCAATAAATTAGATTGTAATAAATTAGATTCCAATAAATTACATTACTATAAACTAGACTTCAGAAAACAAAACTTAACCAAAACCAAAATCACCAAAACCATAACAAAACCATAACAAAACCAAAACCAAACCAAACCAAAACTCGCCAATATCTCGTGATTGGGAGGAGCTAGCGAAAATCTGTTTGCAGATTTGAAATCAGCGTCCAAAAATCTATCCCATAGGCTATTTTTTGTTTCGAAATTTCGAGGTCGTGTTTTGGTCCTTTTTTTCGGCCGCCAGATTTTGGGGAGTGAGAAAAAGTGAAAGGCAAATTTGCATTTTACAATTTTAAATTTACATCTTAATTTATATACAAATTGAGTTTTCGTTTGTTTTGGTGTTTTGGTGTTTTGGTTTTGGTCTGTTTTGTTTTTGGTTTTGTTTGCCGAACTCTACTATAAACCATTACATTACCATTACTATAAACCACTATAAATTTCTTTATGATTTCTATTTTGCCCTTCCCGACAAGTTGCATTTGATCGCCACCATTTCTGATTTAAAAAGGGCTATTTCATTGCACATTTTAAGTGACTTTTTGATCTTTTAACTGGTACATTTTTCATTTCTTTCTTTTTCGCACTTTATTTCTTTCTAAATAAAGTATTTATATACTTTTTTTGATTTGCTTTTTTTTCTTTTCCTTATTTAAAAGCTCTTTAGATTCTCGATTTTTTTTTTCAGCTATATATCACTTCCAAAATCGCATCTGGACCTTCCAGCAAGATGGTGCTCCCGCTCACAAAGCCAAGATTGTTCAGGATTTCTGCAAAGCGACTTTTCCCCGACTTCATTGCATTCAACGAGTGGCCCCCAAGCTCCCCAGACCTCAATCCATTGGATTTCTCGGTCTGGTCTGTTCTTGAAGCCGAAGCCTGTCAGAAACCTCACAAAAACCTCGAAAGTTTGAAGAAATCTCTCTTGAAAGCCTGGGAGGGTCTGGCCGCCGCCTACTTGGTCGCCACGGTCGACGCCTTTCCCAAGCGACTCAAGTCTTGCATCGACGCCAAAGGAGGAAGATTCGAATATGATCAATAAAAGTTGTTAATTTAAGTTCAATAAATATGTTAAAACTGTTTTTGTGGCAAATTTTTCGTTTTTTGGTCATATTCCAATGGAACTTCTCTGCACCTATAATTCTGCCGCACCCTGTATGTCGTAGCCGATTATGAATGAGTGGGTCTAGGAGCGTCCTACCATCAAACCATCAATTATTTGGTATCATTCAACGCAGAATCATTGATAATTATGTTAAATTTTTGAAATTAGAAAGATTTAATAAAAAGAAAAAAAATTATGGGGCCTCAAAGTTTCCTGTTGAACAAACAGTTTTTTTTACTCTAATTTTTTTTCTTTTTATTAAATCTTTCTAATTTTAAAAATCTAACATAATTATTAATGATTCTGCGTTGAATGATACCAAATAATTGATGATTGGACGCTCCTAGACCCACTCATTCATAATCGTCTACGGGGGTCCCGCCGATTTTGAATGAAACGTTGTAGCGCCGGTAATTTTTAACATAAACTCACAAATTTGGTACCAATCGACGCAGAATTGAATTCGCTACAAAATGATATAAAAAAAACCCCCCAAAAACACGAGTCTAGTAAATTAAAGTCAAAAACAAAAAAACCCACTAGCACGTATTTGCTTTGAAATTGCACACGCACCTCAGCAGACGGTTCACCCAGCTCAACATGACCTTAAAAAAAGAGAAAATTCTCTATCAAATTATCAAATTAGCAAATTAGCAAGCTTTATATCACTTTTAAAAGCTAAAAATCACATTGATTTAAAGCTTTCAAATGGTTTAGTTTTGAAATTTCCCTAAAAAAAACCCACTTATCGTGATCGGCACATCGTAATGCGCGGCATCGCCAAAGAAACCGAGCAAATAGAGCGGGAAAAAGACAAGCTTTAACGCCTAAAAAAAAAGGCTAAATTTGATGAAAATTTAGTCAAAATTTGTTTTTGACTAAAATTTCGGCTCAACAGCTCTATTGCATAAAAAATAACTATCATAAACACTAATAGAAGGTTTCTATAGAAGCGTCGCGTAGTCGAAGTTTACTCTCAAAGAAACGCTCATATCTCGACACTAGTACGTTTGTTTCTACTCGTTTAGGTATCAAATTAAAGTAGAAAGAATGGCTGTTTTTTTAAGATATAAAACTTGTTCTTAACATTAACCAATGCTTAGAAAAAAAATGATTGAAAAGTGACAAAAAAGAGAAAAAAGAGCGAATTTTCGTCGATTTTCAATCATTTTTTCTAAGCATTGGCTAATGTTAAGAATATGTTTTATATCTTAAAAAAAACAGCCATTCTTTCTACTTTAATTTGATACCTAAACGAGTAGAAACAAACGTACTAGTGTCGAGATATGAGCGTTTCTTTGAGAGTAAACTTCGACTACGCGACGCTTCTATAGGAGGGTCGTTCTATTAGTTTTTAAGTGTTTAAAAAGTGTATAAATTAACAAACTTTCATCAAAAATCCATCGGCTTTCCTCGGGTAAATGATTTTCGCATATTCGCTAAGCTTTTTTCCATCTTCTGCAAAAAAATTGACGACAATCTAAAAGAAAAAAAAAAGGCGATTAATAATATTTGAAATTGAAATTTTTGAATGTTTCTTTTTATTTTAACTAAATAAATGTCTTTTAGATGGTTAAATTTTCATAAAATAATTGTCAAAGACGGCAATTTCAGTTAATTTCGGCCAATTTCGGTCAATTTCGATCAATTTCCGTTAATTGCAATTTAGTCAAAGTCAATTATTCAAATTTAGTCAAATTAGCAATTTAGCCAATTTTAGTTAATTTTATCAGATTTTATTCAATTTTAGTCAATTTTATTCAATTTTAGTCAATTTTAGTCAATTTTAGTCAATTTTATTCAATTTTAGCCAATTTTAGCCAATTTTAGTCAATTTTATTCAATTTTAGTCAATTTTAGTTAATTTTAGTTAATTTTAGTTAATTTTATTCAATTTTTCATCAAATTTCGTTTCGAAATTTAATTGAAACAATCAAAAAAGCGATATTTTACGTTTTATATTGAAAATCAATAATATAATAGGAAATCAAGGTTTAAAAACACATTTTTATAGCACTCCAGTCGTTAAACCTATTACCCTAAATGTTTTGAAAGAAAAAAGAAACATTTCTTTTTTATCTTGACAGCGCAATTGAACCCGCGACGTTCCGCTTAAAAGAGAGAGTCCAATAATCGGTCGGTTATTTGGTATTAGCTATTAGATCAAAAAAAGAACCGTATTGGAACCGTATTGGAAGCGTATTTGAAGAAGCGTATTGGAACCGTATTTGAACCGTATTGGAACCGTATTGTAACCGTATTGGAACCTTAAAAAGAACCGTATTGGAACCGTATTGGAACCGTATTGGAACCTTAAAAAGAACCGTATTGGAACCGTATTGTAACCGTATTGGAAGCGTATTTGAAGAAGCGTATTGGAACCGTATTGAAACCGTATTGAAACCGTATTGAAACCGTATTGAAACCGTATTGAAACCGTATTGAAACCGTATTGGAAGCGTATTGGAACCGTATTTGTTCAGATTATCATATAAAATGTATTTCAAATGACGACTAGAATTTCAAAATGTCAATTTTGATAAAGTTTAAATACAAAAAAACTGATTTTACTTGAAAATTTGCAAAATATCAAAAATTCACCTGAAAAACCCCAGCATTTTCCAATTTTCGCACATCCTGAAGCACCAAAGTAAGCCAAATCTCGTAGTTGATCCCGTCAGAGAAGAGAGATTCCTTAGAAATAAGAAAATTTAAAATAATCTTTGTTAAAAGCTAAAAAAATTTATTTTTCTTTAGGAAAATCGTTGAAATTTTTACTTTTCTTTTGTCAAAACGTTAATTTCACTTTTTTTTTAAAGTTGATTGGGCTAAAAGTTTGCAATCAACGATTTTCGAGGGCAAGGGAGTCGAATACGTTATTAGTTTTTAAAGAAAAGTGCTGTTTGAACTGCTGTTTGAACTGCTTTTTTCGAATATTTCATCACGTTTAATTACCCAGCATTTAGCGCGTTTAAAGTGCAACAAAATGAACTCAATAAAGGCAACAAAATGAAACAAACGTAAACTTTCGAGGTAGACTAATTTCCACAACAGGACCATTTGCGTAATTTGCCATAACTTTCTTCTAAGTCGGTCAATCTTTATGATTTTGGTTTCATTTTGTAGATCTCAATAAGTGCAACAAAATGAAACCAACGTCATAGAGATTAGCCGACTTAGAAGAAAGTTATGACGAGTTACGCAAATGGCCCTGTTGCGCAAATGGCCCTGTTCTGCAAATGAGCCTGTTGCACAAAAAAAATTACGGAAATTAGCCTACCAAAAACTTTCATTTTTACGTAACGACTTTTTCTACAACGGTTTTTAGGAAGAAAATATAAAAATCAACTTTTGTTTAATATTTAAATTCTTAGAGTTTTGTGATGATTGCTTGAAAATTAAAGTTTCTTAAAAACTAATAATAGATTGAAATTCTCTATCCCAGAATGCTTGTGGTTGCAAATTTTCTACAGCTACAGTTTCTACAGCAACAGTTTCTACAGCAACAGTCCCTACAGCAACAGTCCCTACAGCTACAGTCCCTACAGCTACAGTCCCTACAGCTACAATCTCTACAGCTACAGTCCCTACAGCTACAGCTTCTACAGCTACAGCTTCTACAGCAACAGTTGTCTTTCAAAACGTTAGCCAAGATAAAAATGGTGAATCTTTACGGTTAACGGTGGAGACGGTTAACGTTTTTAAGTAAAAGCTTTAATTAAAAGCTTTAATTTAAAGCTTTAAGTTAAAGCCTTAAGTAAAAGCTTTTACTTAAAGCACTCACCGGCTCATATCGATGCACAGCTAGGGGAAAAGAACAAACGCCATGTAGCTCATCAGTGCAAGTCGTGAAATGAATGTCAAGTGGAAGATGATCACCGAGAGAGTTTGGAAGAGAACACCATCTAAAAAGAAGAAGTAATTTGATGTAAACGATTTTCTAAAGCTAAGCCACAATCAAAAAAAAGCTTTAGCTAACTTAGCTAGTTTAGCCAACTTAGCTAACTTAGCCAACTTAGCTAGCCTAGCCAGCTTAGCCAACTTAGCTAACTTAGCTAGCTTAGCCAACTCAGCTAACTTAGCTAACTTAGCCAACTTAGCCAGCTTAGCTAGCCTAGCCAACTTAGCCAGCTTAGCCAACTTAGCTAAGCAACTCAGCCAACTCAACTAGATTCAGCTTTTATCTTTTTTAAGCCTTCAAATCAAAGCCTATATTGCTAATTTCAAAAAGAAAATAAGCTTTTCGACGTTTTTTTCCTTAAAATGATCAAATCTTAACTTAAAAAAAACCAAAATTTTCGGGTAATTTTGGGTAATTTATTGTCGTAAAAGTTGGAAAATGCGTTTTTTCAAAAATTCGTGAAAATAGGCTTTAAAAGATTCATCTAATATAGGAAAACTTTGAAATAAACGATTCAAAACTTCTCACCTGAAAAGAAACGGCGCAAAAAACGCGAGCGTGCCCGCGATCCACAAATGGAGCAACGCTTTGACGAGCACTCGAATCGAGAGCGATGAGAGGGAGAAACGCGCGACGGTCACCTCATCCACCATCACACATACCTCAAATCTGAATTGAATCAAAAACACCGGCAAATCAAAGCAAAAATCAAAGCTGTGCGCTCCAGAAGAAAAGAAAAACAAAGAAATGAGCAGGGAAAATGGGGAAATTTTGTCGAAAAACGGTCAAAGTCGATTGAGCGCCTTAGTCAAAATTCGCGATTAGCTCGAGTTTTTAAAATTTAGCCTTTGAAATCTGATGTGCGTTCCAGGATTTACAAAAACGTCAAAATTTTCTTGGGAAACCATTTTTCACGCGATGAAATTCGATAGAAAAGCGACCGACTACAGACTACAACACTACAAAAAAAGTGCAAAAGATGGAAAAGAACGGCTTTTTTGAGGAGCATGCGTGCCAGATTACCCGAAAAATAAAAATATAGGCAATGAGTGAGAGAAATTTGTGCAAAAAAACGGTGTGGCAAAGGTAACTGCTTTCTAAAAGATGGGAAATTGAAAAAGCCACCGTACTACGGTAGTTTCTCATCTACTTAAAAAAACCGAATTCACCCATTCTAATGCCGTCAACTTCTTTCGTGACATCCAGATAGATGATTCGTGAAATAGGACTACCGTAATCCCTATTGTCAAGTAGAACTAGACTAGGGATAGATTACGGTAGTTTCCGAATTACTTTAGAAAACTGAATTCACCCATTCTAATGTCGTCAACTTCTTTCGTGACATCCAGATAGATGATTCGTGAATTAGGATTACCGTAATCCCTATTGTCTAGTAGAACTAGACTAGGGATAGATTACGGTAGTTTCTCAGCTACTTTTAAAAACCGAATTCACCCATTCTAATGCCGTCAGCTTCTTTCGTGACATCCAGATCGATGAACCGCGAAATAGGATTACCGTAATCCCTATTGTCTAGTAGAACTAGACTAGGGATAGATTACGGTAGTTTCTCAGCTACTTTTAAAAACCGAATTCACCCATTCTAATGCCGTCAGCTTCTTTCGTGACATCCAGATAGATGATCCGTGAAATAGGACTACCGTAATCCCTATTGTCAGGTAGAACTAGACTAGGGATAGATTACGGTAGTTTTCCAATTACTTTAGAAAACTGAATTCACTAATTCTAATGTCGTCAACTTCTTTCGTGACATCCAGATAGATGATTCGTGAAATCTTTTTTTGATCTGAATTTGGGAAGAGCACTTTCGGCAGGGGCCTACCGAAATCCCGAAAGTAAAAGATATTCAGCCAACGAAAAGATGCATTTCACATTTCTCGAATTCAACTTGGCAAATAAACTTTTACTGATATCACCAACGAGATGAATATTCACTTTTCGGGAAAAGAAAAGAGATGTGAATCAACGCACAAAGTCAAGAATTGCAGGAGGAGATAAGAATAAAATGCGAGTGGTTTCTTCCGTTCACCGCAATCGATTCGTTCGCCGGCTTGAAACAATGCCATTTTTGGAGCTTTTCAAACTTTTTCTCGACTTTTCATTCGTTCTGGAATGCACTTTTGTTAGTTAGCTCAATTTTTACCCTTATTGTCTATAGGATTTCGATTTGGGTTACTGTAGCCGATGGTGTTCATCGAGTTTTATGCTCGAATATGTAATAAAAAGGGATAACTTTTTGTGTAGAAGTAAATCCTGGAAGTCATTTTGTCGATTGGCATCATTTTTAGGCTTATTGTCTACAAGATTTCGATTTGGGTTACTGTAGTGGATCGGGTTCATCAAGTTTTCCAAAAAACCACTCAATAAACCAAATAATTTTCTGCGATCAATGAGTGATCTGGAAGTCACAGAATCCATTCCCAACAAAAAGAAATACTCTAATCCCTATTTCCAACTAGACTAGAAACAGCTGAGCAGGTTCATCAAGTTTTCTAAAAAACCATTCGATAAATGAAATAATTTTCTGAAATAAATGAATGTTCTGGAAGTCACAGAGCTTATTTTTACGCTTACTTTTCGAGAGTAAAAGGAAATAATTATTGAGGTGTAACTTTGAACAAGGGAAGGCATGGCAACGGACAGAACGAGTCTATTTCTTCCCTGGATAGTCTTTTTCTTCCCTACTCTATTTCTTCCCTATCAAAGAGAAAAAGCTTTGCCTTTCTGCTCATTTGGCTTTCAGAAATGTGACATTTAATTTGAATTGCATTAAAATGCATTTTAAAAAAAAGCTGAATTCCAGGTATTCTTCTTCAGCGGCTTCCACATCCGATTTGATGATTACAGGATGGAAAAATAGCAGGTAATTGGCCGAAAGCATGGTTTATTTCCGCTAATGCCATTCTTAGCATACCATTCTCAGCATCCCATTCTCAGCATCCCATTCTCAGCATCCCATTCTCAGCATCCCATTCTAAGCATCCCATTCTTAGCATCCCATTCTCATCATCCCATTCTCATCATCCCATTCTCAGCATTCCCCTTTCACTCCCCATTTTCAGACATCCAATCCCCACGTTCACTCCGCGTCTCCCTCCGCGTCATTGTTGCGGACTGGCGCTCGTGGTGGCTCTATTTTGCCTATTCTACCTCTTCTTCACACAAAATGATTCAACTGAAACGGAAAATAGTCAGCCGTGAGTTTTCTAGAGATTCTAGAGATTCTAGAGATTCTAGAACAATAGAGAGAAATCGCTTCGACCCGATTTGTCAAGTTAAACAAAAATTGCAGAATTGCTTGCTTTTTTTTGACCCATATCCTTTTGTGACCTCCAGCTTGTCGATATTTTTAGATATCATCTGCCTCCGAGGCTTCCCGTTCTGCGAGAGGTGTTGAAAAGTGACGAATGGGAGAGCGACGAGGGGGAGTCTGGTTAGTTGGATTCTGTTGCCTAAATCGATCAAAAATGTTTAGTTTTCAAGAAGAATGAGACAAAAGACGTGGAAGTTGAAGCCAAGAAGCTTTTAACGAGTTTTGCAAAGACGAAGCTTACGAAAAGCACGCCGATGTCAGGGCCGATGTCAGGGCTGAAGTCAGAAAGTGAAGGTTGGGAAAAACCCTGAATCTTTTCGCTTTATTGGCTTTCGTGCGCTCCAGGATTCGTGAATTTTCAGCGAATTGCTCGCTGAAGTTTCTGTTCGCCGATTTTCACGCGTCAAAATACGGCGGAGGGGTGGGTTTTGATGATTTGAATAGAAAAATTTCACAAATTTCACAAATTCTAAAAACTTTTCTAAAAAGTTCGTTTATTAACTGAATATCTTTTTTTATTTCTCTTTTAGGTCGGAAATTTCATGTTTGAATGGATTTCGTTTCTAGGAATCGCAAAAACAGTGAATCGGTGAGTTTCCTAAAAAATGCTCTTTTCTACCGTAATCTGTGTCTAGTCTAGTTGAAAACAGGGATTACGGTATTTCTCTTGTCGGGAATGGATTCTGTGACTTCCAGATCACTCATTTATTTCAGAAAATTATTTGGTTTATTGAGTGGTTTTGTGGAAAAGTTGATGAACCTGATCAGCTGTCTCTAGTCTAGTTGAAAGAAGGGATTACGGTATTTCTTTTTGTCGGGAATGGATTCTGTGACTTCCAGATCACTCATTTATCTCAGAAAATTATTTCATTTATCGAGTGGTTTTTTGGAAAACTTGATGAACCCGATCCACTACAGTAACCCAAATCGAAATCTTGTAGACAATAAGCCTAAAAATGATGTCAATCGACAAAATGACTTCCAGGATTTACTTCTACACAAAAAGTTATCCCTTTTTATTACATATTCGAGCATAAAACTCGATGAACACGAACGGCTACAGTAACCCAAATCGAAATCCTATAGATAATAAGGGTAAAAATTGAGCTAACTAACAAAAGTGCAATCCAATTAGACGATCTACAGTAGTACAGATCTACAGACGATTTTAGTTTACGCACAAATCTTAGGAAACGGATTACGGTAATTTTTTCAGAATCCCCGCGCTACACGTGCGAAACGATATGGTGGCGTTGATGTTGAAATGGCAAAAGAGATTCCCGAACATTCTCGACACCACCTCGATCAAGCTTTTGGTGAGTCCTCTACGCGATCGGAGTGTAAACGCCGGCCACCTAGCACACCTGGAACAGTATAGCAAAAAAGTCCATAATATTCTCTGAAATCAATCTCAAACGCCGACGTGACTTCCATAATTCCCGAAAATCAACTCGAGATCGCTTGAAAAGCTTTCAAGAGCGCGTAAACGCTTCCGATCTAGCACACGGTGGTTATGAGATTGCCTGATTGTTTAATTTGCTTAAAAAAAAAAGCTTTAAAATTATGTGGATTGATTTTTAAGCAATAAAAAGCAAGAAAGCCTTTTATTAGCAATGAATTTTGTTTAGAGATCGGAAGTCGACGTGGAGTTTCCATATTCGGGTTGTTGCCGGTACAAGTCGCCGAAAAAGATTTACAAAAAGTATGCGAATGCGACAAATGTCTTTTCGAGAATGGTCTATATGCAGGTTGACTTTAAAATCTTATAGAAATGCTACCCTAAAGTCGCGAGTATAAGTTCTGTTTGGGGTTTTCGTATGCAAATTGACGGCTTTGTCTGCAAATTGTCTCCGGTGCGGTGTGTCGAGGGTTCGAAGCCCGCTGCAGCATAACTTTTTTGGGCTTTTTGAAGAACAATAATAGAAGTCAATTTATTGAGGTTTAATAGCAATTTGTTGTTGTTTGTTGTTGTTATTTGTTTGTTGCTCTGGGCGTGGCTCGGCCCTAGCCCTGGCCGTGGCCCTGCTCCTCTCCGGTGCTCAGTCTTATGGATCCCTCCCTGGCCTCTTCATCTGTCCCTGGTCTCTTCATCCGGCCAAAGTCCACGTCGACGGATAGGGTTTTAGGCTGATTTGTTTGCAGAAAAATGATTTGAATTGCACTTTTGCATAATTGCACTTTTGACCGAGTAGCTAGCATCGCTGGGGCGAATGACGAGAATTTCCGAGGCGAATGACCCGGGTTCGAGTCCGGTCAGAGCTATTTTTGCTTTGCTTACATTTCTGCTTATAAATCCTCTTTTAGAGCTATTTCTATTTTAACACGGCTTTCACGCGGGACGAACTCGTCGACTTATTGCGCTTTCACGATGACGACAAAAAAGTGGCACGATTGGAGCTGGTTGAGGCCAAGTACAACATCAACAGCACGCACAAGTTTGTGAAAATCATTGAGGGATGGGGTTGGGTGCGTTCCAGGACGGGAAAAAATGTAGGATTCAAGTAAAATCGGGGTACTGTAGCAGGAGAGAGGGTGTGGTGACGATTTGGGTTACTGTAGTGGTGTTGTATTTTAGGGGTTAAGCTATAGAACAAGTTTGAGCAATTGGGTGCGTTCCAGGAAAGGGAAAAATCTAGGATTCAAGTGAAATGGGGTACTGTAAGTAAGAGAGAGGCCGTGGTGACTGTAGTGATCGGAAACTGTTGCGTTGCTTTGCTAAATCTCTACTCCATCTAGCGAATTGCAGTGTCTGTGTGCACATTCGTCGCGGGGATTTCGTCCGATCGACTCTCCATCAACACTCGACCGAGGAGTTCACCGCCGAGTCGATCCGTTTCGGGGTGGAGTACGGTAGAGGTTTTCAAGAATCAAGCCATGTAGGCCAGAGCCAGGGCCAGAGTCAGAGACAGGGCCAGAGACAGGGCCAGGGTCAGGGCCAGAGCCAGAGACAGGGTCAGGGCCAGGGTCAGGGCCAAGGTAGGCCAGACCTCCAGCAGTCAAGTCAAGCAACCTATGCATTTCCAGCAAAAACCCAAACGAATCGCACAGTGACCGCGGTGCTTCTCGGCAACGATTTACCCTGGGAGAAGAAACTTATCCAAACGGTGAGTGCAAAAATTAGAGATCTGGACCTCACAGAACATTTAGCAATCAAAAAAATTACTAAAATTACTAAAATTACCAAAATTCAAAATTTCAGCTCGGCGACCTACCGTACCCTGTGCTGGCGGCGAAACAAAATCCGGCAAGTTTCAAGAAAATAGACGACGCTCAGGCTACCGTATCTCGAATTTACTCAATTTTTGAGCTTTCCAGGACCACTGGCCGCCGCACATCGATTGGATTTTCGCGCAAATCTACTGTGACACCGTGATTCTGACGGGTGAGTGCGCGAACAGACTGCTCGCTTTTTTCTCGACATTTTTACGCAAACTAGCAAATTCTTTCGCTTTCACAGCTCAATCTGGAGTGCATGTAGGCTACTGAAAAAGTTTCAAAGTGAAAACACCGAAGTTTCAACAAGTCGATATTTCAAAAATTCAAAAATGTCGTAACGCTTTGGAAACGCTCAGGAACGCTTCTGATCATCCTGGTGACATCCAGGATGATCAGAAATAGCAAAAAATTCACATATTCTCTTGGCGGAAATCGAGTTTTCCGAGCCGGTTTAGTTACCCAAGTCGGAGCGTCGCCGGTTTTTCGGGAAAACCCCTGAACGACTGCTCAATGCTCAACTGTCCCATTTTCAGCTTCCGCTTCAACATACGGCTGGTGGTTGGGCTATCTCTCGAGAGGCGATCAAGTGCTCTACAACGCGATTTACTCAAAGAAAAATGGGGTTCGAAAATTTTGTGATTTTTTTCAAATTTTTCGATTTCAAAATCTCGCGTGACATCCAGGAAGCCGAAAAAAAATAATTGTTAAACGCCGAAATTCTCAGGTGGAGCGCGAGATGGACGAGGAGAAATTCTGGCCGAAACATTGGCAAAAGATTCATCAAGATGCGCAAACGAAAAAGATCTCAATTGTCAAGACGACGACGATGAGGACGATGAGGACGACGACAACGACGACGACAACGACAAAGCCAAAGCCAAAGCCAAAGAAAAGGGCTTAAAAAGGAAATGGGTTATTCAATGGGGGATTCTCGAGTTTTTTTTTTCTTTTTCGATTTTCTCATTTAGGATAGTTAGTGTTGAAGAAATGGTTATTCAAAAAAAGAGTTTTCAAAATTAAATTCGGAGCTGATCTAGCAATTTGTTGTTGCTTTTGTTGGATGCTCGCGAATGCAGAGTTTTATTGGGTTGGTGAATTGAAAAGTCAAAAATTCAAATTTCGATGAACCCCCTATATTTCGGGTTATTTTCTCAAACTGTGATTGCCTTTTGTTATTGTTTTTATATTGTATTTTTGTCATTTCAATATCGGGTCGAATTTTGTTCAATTTTTCGAGATTCTAATAAAAGAGAAAAAAACGCCCAAAAAATTTCCTGTTCAGACGAAAGAAATGAAGAAACGAAAAAATTTCCAAAAAAGAAAAGACAGAGCAATGAAAAGCGCACGAGCAATGAACAGACAGAGCAATGAAAAACGCACGAAAGTTCAAAGCTTCAAAGCTTCAAAGCAAGCTTCAAAAGCGGATCTAGCAATTTGTTGGATGCTCGCGAATGCAGTTTTATTGGGCGAGACCGGCTTCAACATAGCTGTACCTGGCGGTTTAGCGGGTTGAGCAGCCGACGTCGTCATCGGGAAACGATAAATGGATGGCGAACAATTGAGGGAAAGTTATTTCAAGACCAGAAAAAAGACAATTATGCTTTTTAAATGTTAATTTTGATGGTTTCGTCAATGTGTGCTTGACTAAATTGTACGGTTTTCAATGGTAACTAATTTTTCGGCGGCTTCTCGTGGCTCAAATTCAGGCGATTGACGCGATTGCGATCGACCATGCCTTTATTACCAAAATGCATAAGAGCTCATTTTCTCGGCATGCAATTTTATAAATACATCGATTTACTTGGGAGTGAAAATCGAAAAAGCACACCTGTATCACAAGATCGCGTTTAAATTTCATGAATCACCGGATATCAAATGGAACCGGATATCGAATAAAACCGGATATCAAATGGGCAATAATTTACAGGATTGTAACTAGGAAAAAAAATTTGAAATGAATGAGCAAATAAAAAAGATGAACGGCGCCCCTTAAGAGACCAAATACTGGAATAAAAAAGAATGACTTTTAGAATGACGGCTGTGGTGGATTTGGTGGAGATGGATTGGCTTCGGCGGCTTCTCGTGGCTCACCTTCGGGCGATTGACCATGCGGTGGTTGCTGATGAGAAGATGATTGTTGACGAGTGGAAAACCCGGGACTGCTTCGACCACCATTAACCGGCTCCATCGTCGAGTGGAGATCTAGATTGAGAAATTGTAATGAGCATAGTTTAAAATTAAACATTTAAAACCATATACCAGAATAGTACAAGGACTATGTTAGCTGAATACTTTCCAAGTTTTGAGAATTTGAAGACAACTGATCTAGGTAGCCCAATGTAGACTTTGGCTGTCTGCCCTAGAATTTAAGTGCACTTCCAACAAATTTGCATGCAAGCCAAAGTCGGGCCGGCTTTTAAGATCACCAAAAAGTTACCTTGGGAAGGCAAACAGCATAAAGACCGAAAGAGTTCGTTACCGAAGTGATCTTGAGGATCAGGTCGAGCGAAAGCACCACGAAGACGTCGCACCGCTCGTCCGCCAAAGCCCATTTGTGAGACGGGCTCATCCTCGTGATCTGGCTCCATTCGATACAATCCCGTCGTTTTTCTCTTTCCCCGCGACTCGTGCTGCACATAGACTCGAGCCTAAAATAAACTTTGATAATAGATCTGAACAATGAGCTTGTAACGAGTACTAACACCAATGTTTGCCGTAATTGGATCTAAATGTAGAATACTTTTCCGTCAAAATTAGTGTAAAAGTGCACATGTAACGTTTAAGCACGTTGGTCTAGTCCAGTTTCCATCGCTAGATGTAATCAAGATACGTTAACCGTGTACCAATGCTAATAATCAAAACGATTTATACCTGTCCAAGAAGTGCCTTGAAAATAGTGTCATTCGATCGATCGATGATCTGCTGAGTCACCTCGAGAACCCGTTCATATGCTGCTTGTCGCTCATCGCGTGGCTGAATCTCGGCAATTCCCCGGATTGCATCAATTCGCGGTGAGATCACCCCTTTATCCGACAACTCGATCAACGCATCTTCTATCTAAATAAAAAATTAGTTTTACGTTTATCAATTGATAATTGATCATTGATCGTTTATATTGGTTTGACGTTCTTAAGCATCACGGGGCTCTTAAAAGTTCTCACTCGATTAGCTTTATCGTAAATTTGACAAAATTTTAGCATCGACTATGAGGTCCTTAAGCGACTTTTCATTCGTAATTTAATCTAAACCCACCGTTGACATATCACAACGAAAAGTAGCAGCTGTTTTTTTAATGTCGATGGTGTGAAATGGAACCAAGTGCAGAATAAGCCCCCGTTCACGAATTGCAGAGAAGAGCTGAGAGACGTGCGACGAAACGAACGGGTCGAGCAGCAGTCGCCCTTTCATTTCCTCCAATCCGTCCAACACGACTCCCCAATCGCTTCGCACCCATGAACCCAACAAGCGCACCAAGTCGGGTTCCGTCTCGAGGAAGCGCCTAAAAAAAGATTGTAAAGGAAAGTTTAGCTTTTTTCCATATTACACGGGCAAACCCCTTACTTAAACTGGTTATCTCCCGTTCCAGCGTGGAGACTCTTCAGATCCTTGCGATCAAACGTTGCCAATGCACAAAGGGTCCCATAAGTTGCGATGTCCCTGTGCGAAACGATCCAAGGCACTGGAACCTCATCGGGACACGACTAAACAGAATAATTAGATTAACAAATAAACGAATTTGAATCACCTGAATGAATTTCTCAGCAGCTTCTTTGAATTGTTTACTATTGATCCTTGAGAGTCCATGAATCACATCCATTTTAGCCTAAAGAAATCTTATGTTAAGATGAAAAGTTCATCGTAATACCCTGGCCGATTTAATGATAGTCTTATTCGACTTTGCATTCGTCATTTGAGTGCTTCCCCGGACACGCATTTGCTGAGCGCTTGAAGCTTGAGTATTCTAAAATAAGCATTTTAAGCCAGCCTAACTGCTCAAGAGCTTGCAAAGAAGAACCGTAAAGCTGACTAATAATCTGTGAAGTTTGATTCAAATTTGGCGTCAAACATGTAAGTAGCTTAGTCACAATAAGGACCCATATTCGCCTAATATCCCAACAACAAACCTGTTCTGTATCTTGGGCATCATTGATAGCCCGTTCAGCTTGCGAGAGTAGCGAATTCATACGCGACCATTCACCCTCTTCCACCGCGCACTCCAACCATTGTACGTACATCTATAAATAAAAGTTAACCGAGCCAAATTTGAAACAACTTACCGACATAACGTGTCGAAACTGGCTACAATAATCGCGCATTCCCTTGTTGTAGAGACGGAGAGCGTCCGAATGAAGACCGAGATCGAGGTAATGAAGGAACAGCTCCTCCATAGCTCGACGAGTCGACTCCTGAACAAAATGAACGATTTAGGCTTAAAGTCAATCTAAAACCTGTTACTTTCACTACATAGACCTGCTTAACGATTGCTTTACCGCGAAGCAAGTTGTTTAAACCTACGACACGGTTAACACATTTTTATTGTTTTCAAAAGTAAGGAAGGACTATGGGTTTAGAAGCAAGGCAAGGCAAGCTTGTCTAAAGACAAAGTTTGGCAAGCGTAAAATGGCAAGCTTGTCTAGTATTACGTCAAATTGATCTAACCGAACAATGCCGGCGGGAATCTGATCAAACAATGTCGTTTCAAACTTAAATCCTTTTAACAGTCTTCTCGCACCTTAACTCCCTCGTCCTTTTGCTTTTTGAACTCAGCCAGTAAGTGATCGGTTCGCGCATAAGCGGCTTGCTGTGTAGAAGAGGCCCATCTAAAAAAAAACCTATAATCAAAGGAAGAAATAACAAAGATTACCCATTATCAACAAGATTCGTAGCGGCTCCAATTGCTTCCAAGCGTCCACACACTTGCAAGTAGCGACTGGCGCTTTTGGTGTGCTAAAATGAGTTAAGTGATAAGTTAAGTGATTTTACTAAGCAAGTACCTTCTTCAAGATGTCAACCATAGTTAACATCGCTTCTCGTTGAAGTGGTGGGCATCGATCGGCAATGAATTGCAGCCGGTTAATCAGTGAGAATGGCTAAAATATAGAATTGGTATCAAAAACATTCAGCTACCGCTTGATCTTGAAACAAGCTAAGTAAAACTTACCGTGTAAAGAGGCACAAGAGTGTCCAAGTTGATCACCGCTTTGTCGACAAGAGCCTTAATCACTCCATCATTCGCAGAAGTGATTGATTCTAAATGAAAACATAATAGTGGCTATTAATCTAAAAGCTTACTGGCATTGTTTGTTGGCGGATTCGGCGCATTCACGTCAACCTCATCATTCCAATCCTCCATTTGCTCGTTTCCGTTGCCGCTCTAAAGTGCAAAAGTTAAAAAAAAACAATAACACTCAAAAAGAACAAAAGACAATAGAAGTCCGGTTAATAATTCTAAGTCAAGCTTGTTCCAAGTTCCAAAATTCACCTCTTCCATTGGTTCATTCACAGGCACTGCGTCGCATTCGACCATCAGCTCGTCGTGCGATGGCAGACTACCCGACATTTTCTGAAAAATTGCAAAATTAGATATCACCAGCTTTCAAAGCATTATCGAAACAAAGCAATTTCTAAATGAAAAAGAGAAAATCTGTTGAAAAAGATGAATTATTCATCTTTTTCGCGATTTCTTTTAAACTTTGCTATTATGAAAAAGAAATCGAATTGTGCTTCAGCGTAGAGCAAACTCGGTACTAATAAACTTCCACCTTGATCCGACTTGGTCTTGGTCAGACCCTGATTCTAGGCGTGTTTTTTCTAGGCTCAGGCTTTTCTAGACTTTTGTATTTTCTGGGTTAATCAAATACGCTTAATCGATTGACGATCTTTTTAGAATATTTTGAACAAGTTAACACTTTGTATTTTGCCCCTCTTCATTGTTAAGCTTAGCAACACAGCAGAGTGCAACACTGCAACACTGCAAAACTCCAGCTACCTTATCAAAATATCAATAAAAATTGTTCAGAACTTTCTAGAAATATTATTGATAGATTCATCATGCTTGATTAACCCAGAAAAAGTAAAATAACGTTGATAAAACAGTCAAAAAATCCAATTTGACCAAATCGGGTCAAAGACCGAAGTTTATTAGTCCTGCAAACTCTAGTGATTTTAGAAATCATTTAAAGTTAAACAAAATAGATTTCGATTTTAGAAATTATTAAACAAAGCCAGAAAAACCCGCCAGAAACATCCAAACATCCAGCCAGAAAAACCCACCTAAGCGGGGTTTTCTGGTTGGGCGTTTTGGGACTAACACGGGAGATCAAACAAAGTTGTCCGCTTGAAAACATTAAAAGCAAAAAGTCTGGAGTGAACAGGAATCGAACCCAGCACCCCCCATATAGTTAGGGTGATGTTAACCTTATAGTTAGGATGTTAACCACCTTGGCGCTAACCCTCCCTCCCATAGGCGATGTTAACCTTATAGTTAGGAGGTTAACCACCTCGGCGCTAACCCTCCCTCCCATAGGCGATGTTAACGTTATAGTTAGGATGACTAGCCCACCTTGGCGCTAACCCTCCCTTCCATAGACCACCGAGGCAAAAAAAAACGGGCGTAGTTTAGCGGTTTTTTAACTTTTAAAAAAGCAGACGATGAAATTTTCGAATTTTTTTGCAGGCGTCAGCATGATATTACCAATTTAAGAAAAAAAAAGCGCAAAAAAGCATCCCGAAATTCAATCTAGGCGCCGAGAAAACCGCGAGTGACGGAGAGAGAAACTTTGGTTTTATATATAGTAGATGACAAAAAAGATATTCTATCAATTAATTGAAAGAGAAAGAGAAATTTATGGCAAAAATACGAAAGTTCGTCTTTTGCATCCATGGCGCAGTGGGTAGCGCGTTCGTCTCTCGCCCACACAACCCGAGTTCGACCCCCCTAGGTACACCCCGATTGTTGCTTTTAAAAAAATTTTCAGATAGTTTTTTCGAAAACAGCGAAACAGAAAAACACATACACTCTCGCTTATAAAAAGTAGGATTTTTAAATTTCCTTTTCTTCCAAACGATCTTAATTGATGTCAAAAACGATGTCAATTGATGAGAATTGGATTCAAAAAATCGCTCTGCATTCCCCCCGAAGGTGAGCCATTTCAACCCCTTTTCGCTTTGTAATCGCAGAGAGCTTGTTCATTGGGTTTCCTTGTAGCCTTCAGCGCTCTCTACATCACTAAATAGCCCCCTCACGCATAGCGTTACGATTGCGAAAACGAACCCCTTTTTTTTCTTTTTTTCTTTTTTTCTTTGGACATGATCCAGTTTTCCTGTTTATTTTAGCTTTTTTAAAGTACTTAATCGATTTTATTAAACCTTAAATGTTGTTTACGGGCAATGATAGTAGATTTTGCGTATTTTGTTTACTTTAAAGCTTATCGTGTTGCGAATTTGCTTTGTTTACTTCAAAATATCAATCATTTTATGGTTTTTCTTTTATAGGATGTCGGCTCAAATCAACTCGCGACCGTCCTCATCGAATTCGGGAACGAATGAAGAGTTGGCGAAGCCCGAGCTGCTTGCAAAGTTGGACGATCACGTAGCGAGGGTCACAGATGGATGGGTGCTTGCGAATGAGGACGGATTGTGGACGGCTAGCGAGGATAAATCGGTAAGCTGGAACTGATTTTGATACGTTTGACTAGCTCTAGCTCGTTACGTTAGCTCGTTAGCTCGTTACGCTAGCTCGTTAGCTCGTTACGCTGGCTCGTTAGCTCGTTACGCTAGCTCGTTAGCTCGTTACGCTGGCTCGTTAGCTCGTTACGCTGGCTCGTTAGCTCGTTACGATCACTTTGACATTGAAACAAAATGTTTGAAACTGTTCGTTAAGAATGTTTTAAACTCTGTTTAACGTCAAGCGCCAAGTGATTCTTTTTGCTTCATTAGTTTGGTTATAAATTAGGTCATAAGTTAACGTTGAAACTTAACAACTCAAGCAATTCCAGGCTCAGTTTTGTACAAAGTTTTGAGACTCGTAGATCGTAAGGGCAAAGAACATTTAATCACCTTTGGTTTTATTCATAAACAAACTTTTTTAGGTGCGCCTCTACCTGCGCCGTGACAACGACCAATACTGGCCTTCGATCAATCATTTCATGCCCGTCCAACCGACCTGCCTTTTCTATTGTGAAGAGGTTCACCGCCTCCTTGTCGGCCTTCTCAATGGACACGTTTTCGTCTACGATGTTGCCGATGATTGCAATAGTTTGCGACAACGTCAACATTTCACTCTTCACGCCGGCCCAATCTCTGGTCTCTACCTGTCGATCACCTCCGAACTTATCTTTTCTTCGTCGCGCGACAAAACGGTGCTCTGGCATTGCTCGGAGAATGGCACCAGGCAAGGCGGTGCTTCGATCGACTCATCGTGTGTTTGTATGGTCGTCGCGCAACCGTTCATCTTCATCGGCGATTACGGCGGAAATGTGCATGTCTTGCGAATTGATGGCTCGGTGGCCCAACACTTGCACAAATTATCCGCACACACTGGTACCGTCACAAGCCTCGCCTGGGACAACGACAGACAATGGCTTTTTAGCGGAAGTGCTGATAATTTGGTAATTATCTGGGACATTGGTGGACGCAAGGGGGAAGCTTACGAGTTAACCGGGCATAAATCTCGAATCACCAAGTTATACTATGGTGCAGGGAAGAAGCAGCTCTTTTCAGCCGACGAATCGGGAAAGCTAATGATTTGGGACATGTCAGCGGCAAGAATCGTCACTCCAGCGTGGGCCACTTCGGACACATGCCAACTTTGTGAGGCGCCATTTTTCTGGAACCTACAAGCGATGTGGCAGAAGAAAGTGGTCGGACAACGGCAACACCATTGTCGAATCTGCGGGAGAGCCGTTTGCGGATCGTGCTGCTCGGCGAGGACTACCTATCCGCCAATGGGTTTCGAGATACCAGTGCGAATTTGCAAGTCTTGTGACGAGAACATGAAGAACCACTCGGAAAGGTACAATTTGACGCCACTGGCGGTTGGACACGATATCAGGACCGGGGTTGTTGGGCTGCACGTGCAAGAGTTGAACGGAAGAATGGTGATCGTCGGACAGAATCGATCGATTTTACTCTATAATATCAAGAATCAATAAGTCATTACCCATTTACCCATTTTGAATCTTATCCTCCGTGTATTTATTTGCGACCAGTGATTTTTGAGCACTTTTTTTAGGGTCTTGTTTTGTCGACAGGCCAGCTTGAACGTTTTGATGGCTCTGATTGGGTTTGCAAGCGGAAAATTGAAATTTTGCAGGTTTTGGCTTTGGCTACTAAAAGTTCGTTAAGAAATTTTAAAACTTTGGATCTTGAGAACTTGAGATGTTGAGATGAAAACATCTTGACAAATTCCATTTTTCGCAAAAAAACCTAGATCAGATAAAAGTTTCTTCAACTATCGACCAAGCACGACTCGCCTTTTTGTAAATTTTTGTCTTGTGATAGTCCGTGCGCACGTTGATCGTTTCTCTTGTGATTTTCTTTTCAGATATTCTGTGCTATTATCTTTTGTGTGAATCCTTTTTGTACGATGTATGCGGTTCCAGTTTTGGCTCTTGCATTGCCCACGATTTTTTTTCGAGTTCTTGTTTTTTGCAAGTTTACTTTAAGCAATAATAAACATGTTATTTTTCAGAGATCAAAAGGATGGCGGCCAGCTCGATCGAGGCACTCATCGAGAAGCTCACGGCGGAATCCGTTTTTGAAGTGAGTAAAGGAATTGTATTGGATGCTGCTGTGGGCTACTTTCTTAAGAAAGTGATTACTTTCTTTTGCAGTTTTTGTTATAGATTGTTTGATTTTAAGAATTTTCAAGATTTTAAAAGACCCTTAAACAATCTTGCAACAAAATTGCATTCTTTTCTTGCCTTTCAGCCGTTATAATTCTTTAGCACTCAGTAGTTTTGAAATTTAGCAATGAAATCGCAAGCTACTTGATTTGCCTTCTTTTCAGATCAATTGGGACGGTTTTGTCGAGCTCTCGGATCGACTCAAGAAAGCGCCCGGTGTGCACAAGGATGCGATCAACACACTGAAGAAACGATTGAATAGCCGGTAAAACGATCTCTCGGGGTTTCCGCTTGCAAACGAATTCTTTAGTGACCCACATATTGTGCAGAATGCGATCGAATTGCTCGACTTTTTGTGGAAGAACGTGACGGTGAGTCTAATTTTAACATTCAGCATCATAAGTTATTTGTAGGCCGAGTTCCGTCAAGAAATCAGCTCAAAGAAGACGATTGCCGAATTGCAAGCAAAAGCCACCTCGGTAAGAACCTTAACCATTTAACCATTAAAAGTCTATTTTACAGGCGGAAGCACAAACAGCGCGCAAAATGCGTGAAAAGATTAAGCAATGGGCAGAAGAAGAGTGCAAGAAGGTTTCTTTCAAGTATTGTAACGATTTAAAGTTTGTTTTAGGACCCGTCACTTTCGCTGATCGAATCACTCTACCGTGAGTTGGCCAAGAGTGGATACGACTTCGGCTCAAAGGATCCATCAGCGGCGGTGGCTGAGAAGAAACGGAAAGAGGTTGGTTGTTTTGCGTTACAATGAGAGCCTAAATCGATGTCTAGGCTTTGCTGAAAGAGGAGGAGGAACGACAATTGATGGAAGCCATTCAACAATCATTGAAAGTCTCATCAACTTCAGCTGCAACAACGAAACGATCGACTGCATCAACACCGGCACCGGCGGCCCCTCAAACGGCAAAGTAAGTGAATGAAGTGGACTACAGTTAAAGCCAGAGTTGTTTCGGAAAAAATACGCTTCAGACAATCCTGCAACCATAACACGAAGCTCTTGTTTTTAGGCTCGAGAAACAAGTGCGTGCCGTTTATGATTTCCCAGCCGCAGAGGACAATGAGATGTCGTTTAATACCGGAGATGTGATCACCGTTTTGGATGATAGGCAAGTTTAAAGATGGAGATCTAGGAATCTTTACTTTTCTAGCAATCCTCATTGGTGGAAAGCACGACTGAATGGACGCGAGGGACTAATCCCAGCACAATTCGTGGAGGATATTACTGCTGCTACTGTTAAGGTAAGGCGTTGGTTTTGTTAAAAATGCTCAAGGTTCTCATTTAGAAGGAGAACAACCCTGTCGCGGTCGAGCCGGTGAAGGTGGAGATTCGAGCGCAGATCGATGAGGATGTTTTGCTGAGGACGATCGATGTGCTCCAACAATGTGATCCGTCAGGGCTTCGACCCGATCCCGAAGGACTTGATGAGGTTGTTGAGGAGTGGAATGCATAGAAATGCGACGAATAGCGATTCGCACGAAATTTGAGTGCAACTTTGTAGATTTTTAGTGATTGGGTTCTTTTTAGCTTGAAGCCGCCTCTCTTGCACAGGCTCCACTTATCAACGAGCAACTCTCGCAGATCGATCGACTCACAAATATGCTGACAAAGGTACAGTTTTATTGTCAACTTTAGATGCAAAAACAAGCTGTTGCGCAAAATTATTGTTTTAATTCCAGGTGGACATGTCAATCCGAAACGCTCTTGCCGAATATGACAACGCAGTACAAAACTCAGCCATTTATCAAGTATGATTGTTCTTTTTTTGTTGGAAATGTTTTTTTACAGGTTCCAACATCAACAATGGCCTATCCACAGCAACATCCAATGCCACCAAATATGCCGATGCAACAACAACAGATGCATCAAGTTCAGCAACATCAACAGCATCAGGTTTGAAAGCAACGGGAAGCTTAACTATTTCAATGATTAGATGCCTCAACAGCAACAATGGAACAGCGCCGGACAAGTGCCCCAAGGAATGATGCAGCAGCCTCAACAGAGGTGAGTCTTGTTGATTGTCTAATAGATGGATTAAGATACTAGTCTACTAATAAATCTAGTAGTATCGTGCAGAACGTTCTAAAAAAAGCTTGTGCCCAAACGGGTAATGCTCGGTGTTCCTCTTTATTCCCTTCACAATATTTTGTTTTCAGTGTGTCGCTGATGGGTGGTCCTATCACATCTCAACAGCAACAACCACCACAGCCACTGCATCATCCACAACAAGTTCCCCCATCTCTTCACTACACGATGGCTCAACAACCACCCGCACAGCCCATTCAATCGCTCACTTCTCAACCTTATTCAACAGGCTATTAGATTTATTTCCTTGATGGAATTTCTCATGACTGTAAGGCTTAGAGTTCCTTTGTGATTATCGTTATCCAACATATTTTGTGTGTCTTGATGAAAATTTTTTCTTGTTTTGGCCATGTTCTTCTCTTTTTTTCGTCATCAAAACGCGGTTCTCTTTACTTAAATGCTTTGTCCATCAATTTTTTTTAGTTAATTCATTCGATTCATCACCTTTCCATACAATATGTACAGTAAACTTCCTAATTTATTCGCTTACGGTGATTGGTTTTTGTCTTCTCTGAGAGTTCCTTTGGCTTCTTTTCCCTTGTGAAGCACTGTGATAATACTTTCGGAGAGATTTTGGTCTTCCCATTTTTCCTTGTGGTGCGTATAAAATAAAAGATTTGTTTAGTGAACGAGTCTGAGGATTTTCTGTTGACAATTGTCTCAAATTACTTGTACACGAGCAAATTTTTAAAAAAAAACAGGTATACTTTCGATATTGATAAGCTCTCGATGGTCAATTCTAATGCCTTTGTGTGAATGGACCGAGAACGGAGCTGGGAATTGTGTATCGCATTCGCTTTTAACTTTCTTATTTTTGCATAAGTCATGGATCGTGTCCCTTTCCCTGGCTACCGTAATCCGTCTCTATCCTAGTTACTAATCGACAATAAGGACTACTTTTTTTTGCTGGGCCCACCTTTTAGAAAGCATACAATTGGGCAATGTACAATGTCCAGTTACAGTAATGGACGGGTTATTGTTGGATTCGAGAGGGTGCTGTAGTTTTTTGAGCGATGAGTTTTCATCACTCGGAATCCGTTTCCTAAAACGTGCCTTCTTTCCGAAACTACCGTAATCTTGTATCGATTTTTCATCCATTCTATTCACTTTTTGATCTTTACGATATCCTTTGTGAAACCCCACAGAAACAGGCGAAAAGAAAAGATAGATTGGTTGAGAGATGAGTCAAGATTACGGTCACTTTGTCACGTTTTAGACGAAACAAGTAAGAAGAAGTTTAAAAGCCAAAGAAAAGAAACGATCATTTCCCTATTCAGCAGCACATTAATCTACAATAACTTATCAGATAGTTTTGTCACATTTTCAGGTACATGGATGAGTTGGATGCCGCGCTGGAGACCAAGCCGATGGTTGCCGTTCATTCTCGTCGTGCTCTTCTTAGCCCGAAAAGCTTGCGGTTCGATCGGTGATAGTCAGGTGAGATTTCAGAGAAATTGTGAGATTTAGCTAGGTAGCTATATTTAAATCTAGCTAGATTTAGCTAGATTTAAATTGTGATATTAAGCTTGCTTGCGTAATTTTTTTTTTGAATCAGTGACTTTTTAGTGTTATAAAGACGGCAAAAAGCTGTTAAAATAGACAAAAGTATCAAATTATTGAAGCAGAAAAAGAAAACAAGTAAAAAGGTTGATGTAGATTTGATGAATTCGATTCGATAAATGCTTTTTTTTGTTTTTAGCAAGAAGAACTTTGACTTGAATTTGTCTACAAAAGTAAGCTAATCAGAATTAAACCAAACAAAATGTTCGATTGAAATTGATGGGAAAAAAAACGGTATAAACTTAGGATATGTTTAAAAAATATTATTTGGTTGATAGTTTTGTTACTTTTGCTTGTTTAGGAAACGTATTTCGAGTGTACAAAGCGTTGCCGGGATTTACTCGAATGTCGTGGTCGTTTCGATACTTTCACTTGGGGCAGGCAGCCGTGTTTCCGGTGGGTTTCATTTTTTTTAAGGTTTATGCGTTTTACCGTTCTAGGTGCAAATACGAGTGTATGTGGGCGACGGAAGAGGATTTTCGCACGCGATACGGCTACACACCTCAATTTCACGGAAAATGGCCATTTGTGGCACTTCAAATTGGACCAATAGTTGTGCAGGTGAGCTGAAAAATGCTCGACAAAATTTCGAGTGCTTTAAGCGATTTAGAATTGTTGATTTTTGTGAATCATTTTTTTGATTATAAAAGTTTAAAAAAACAACTCAATTCGAATGTTTTAGGAACCCGCTTCGGCTCTCTTCTCTATTCTAAACCTCTTCACCACATGGCTTTTCTGGGTTCGTCTTGGCGCTTATTCGAAACTTCCCGATAAACACGTTTGGCGAGGGTACAGCGTTGTTGGAATGGCAACTTGGTGAGGGTTTTTTTTTTATTTTTTGATGAAATCTTAAGTCTTTTGTCTTTCATCATGAATCTTTCAGGATCTCATCGTTTGCTTTTCACTGTGTCGATTGTTGGATCACGGAATGGATGGATTACTTTTCGGGTAAAATTTTGAAAATTTTATTTACCTTATCTAGTGAATAAACAAGTCTAACCGTCAATTTAGCTGGCGCGTTCATTTTTGCAAGTTGCGCTGTCTCGTCGATCATCGCGTTGCCCGAGTTGTCAAACGGACGAAATGCAAGAATATGGTGGGGAGGGTTTTTTGATTTTGAGGGAATTGACCGTAAAATGATGTTAGATTAAAGAGAAACCAATTTCAATGCATCAAATTTCCGTTCTTTTAGGCGATTGGCTTCACCGACGATTGCGCTTATTGTCTGGATCCGACACATCACTGGAATGATGGTCCGTTTTAGGTTCTTGTCTCAATTTTAGTAATTTTAGTGAATCTGTTGTCATTTCGTCATTTCGTCATTTCTAGTGTTGTCATTTCACTTTTAGACACATTTCGACTACGGCTACAACATGAGGGTTTGCCTATTTGCATCGTTGTTCTCGTCGCTACTTTATGGACGTTTTATTTTCAAGCGATGGCAGACGAATAAAAGGTTTGCTTTTTTTGGGGGGGATTTTCTTATTAGGAAAACTTGTGCTTAACGAAATACATCAATTTTTGCAATTTTAGACTCTCCACCGGCGACTGGCTGCTGATTCGAGCGCTCATTTTACTGAAGGGAAGCGTCATCTTCGAGTTGTACGACTTTCCGCCAATTTGGTGAGTTACTTTACGTTTAAAAGCTCTTGTAATCTGTTTTTTTTTTATTGATTTTAATCACATAAACGTCACTAATATAAGGCATGAAAAATCAATGATGATTTCTAGTTCTGTGTAATATTCTATTTGTAATTCAAATACTCATCAAAATGCAACGTTTCATCTTTAATCTTTAATTTTCTTTCTTTTTAATCTTTTCTTTTTTAATCTTTTCTTTAATTTAATCCTCTTTTTTCAGGTGGCTCATCGATGGACATTCTCTATTTCATCTAGTAACAATTCCTGTGCCTCTACTACTTCACTCGGCTCTTCTCAAATATAATGCTGAAATCTTTGACGTAAAATCTGTTTGATTATCTGATTTTTTTTTCATTTCATTTGCAATATATGTCTCTTTTTATTAGTTCTTTTTCTTAGTTCTTTTTCGAATTCGGGTCAAATCTAATTTTTTTTAATGCATTTTTGATGCCTTGCTTTCTGCTTTTTTTATAGTGTTCAAAAATGTCTGTGATTGTTTTTGTTTTTCGTTTCTTTACGCATTTCTACTTAATAATTACATGAGGTGTTAATAAATATTCAAGCTTTAAGAGATTCTCAGCGCGATTTCAGCTTTTGACGCAAGAAAAGACGGACATGATATCTGGATTTGGGAAACTTTTGGCGAATTGCGATATTCAGTTAATTTGGGAACACGTAACTTGTCACTGAAACAATGAAAATGAACAAATAATCAACCAGGGACGATCCATTCACACTGAAACGTCGTGCTTGTTATTGTTATGGGTTATGAGAGCACCAAACTTAATACATTAAGCGAAGCGATGCTTGACGGTAAATGCCCATTTGGAATCTCATGAAAAATGAGCGAAACCCGAACACCCTTCCAAGATTCCCCAAATAATTTGAGAGTTCATTCGAAAGCTTAAAATTTCACCTAATGGGGAATCAAGAACCAAAGTTCTCATGGAAATGTGTGCTGAGATATTTGATCGCGATTGACTAATGAATTGAGGAGCATCGCCAACTGGATCTCGTCAAAGAGCTGTACAGCGAACTTCAATGTTTATCGACTTGGGAAAGCTTAAGCAGTGTTAGACGAATGAAATCGTAAATAAATCTGGTAACAATTCGATCTAGATTAACATCTTGCAAAGTGATCGTCGCTTTCACAATTGTTGGTGACCAGATCTTTTATTGCCGACAACCTCCAAGCGGCTAAAAGATTTTCTTTCATTTGCCGTTGATCCCTTTGCTGATCCGCATTTGCTACCATTCTTTTGATGAGTTGGATGATGTGTGTTGATGTGTTGATTCCAGCTTCCCAGCTTGATCTTTGATTTCCGTTGAAAAGGAAGCCACGTGCCACCAGTCTACATCAAGAAGAACACCAGCGAGGTCACGCTTTCATCTTCGTTTCCCTTGCGAATTGGGTGTTGATGTTCATCGTTGACTTGACCAGCTCCATCATTTGACACACTTGCTCTATCTGGCTCCATGATTTGACGCATTTGATCCATCTGGCTCCATCATTTGACGCATTTAATCCATTAAAGTCCATCACCACATCATGCAAAACTTGGAAACAAGTGTTTCTTTGTACATTATCCAGAAAGTAAAAGCTTAAGCGAAAGCAAAAGCGAAAGCTTAAGCTAAGCCAAGCCAAGCCAAGCTAAGTCTAAGCCTAAGTTAAGCCTAAGCCTAAGCTAAGCCTAAGCTAAGCCTAAGCCTAAGCTAAGCCTAAGTTAAGCCTAAGCCAAGCTAAACCAAGCCAAGCTAAGCCTACCCTAAGCTAAGTCTAAGCCTAAGGCCTTTTTTTCAAATCCTGGATGTCAATTTAGCGGCCAAGTTAATGTCGATCCCCCAATCGAAATGCAAAGTAGAGAGACTGCAAAAAATGATGAGAGAAATATCGCGAAAAAGCAAAGAGGCTTTCAGTCATCCAAAGCTTTCAGTCTTTCAGTCTTCTCTGATCTTCTCTGAGCTTTTCTGAACTTTTCTGTCTTCTCCGTCTTTTCCGTCTTTCGAATCTTCTTTCCTTTCCCCCTCCATGCACACAACCCACGCGAATTCTCGAGTACCCAGAGACCCTAGTGGATTTGAGACACCTCAACAAATTTCTCACTCATCCCCACATTTCCATCGAGTTTTTTAACATCCAGCTTTAGCAAATTTTTTAAAACATCCAACTTTAGCAAATCAAATCGATTTTCCCCTTTTTTCCAAGCAATAAACTCGATTTTTGCTCATAATCTCTGTTTTTCCTTGTCCACTTCGTTTAGCTTCTTTATTTTTCCGAGATTTTAAAGTTTTTGCATTTTTTGATTGATCTGGAATGCATACTGTAAAATAAAGCTGTAAAATAAAGGGTTTTCTTTGAGAATTTGACCTCGACATTTTGCTCGTGTTCAAGTCCTACTAGGAAAATGAAACCGAAAACGGTTTTTTGACGAAATCTCTAAAATAAATCTTCTTTCTGGAGGGCACACCGTAATCCGAGAAACTTATTTCGAGTGTTTTTTTGATTTTTCGAAAAACGCAAAAATCGATGCTTCGGGACTGATCGATTTTCTCGACACTCCGCAATTTTCTCCAAAATCCACCCACACATTTGGCGATGCTGGAGCGCAGGGTAGCCGAAGAAAAGATTTGGATATGTGTAGGGGTCGTTTCTGGAAGCTGGAGGGAGAAGGGGGGCGCCCCACCCCAACCGATGGCAAATAGAGATTCTTCCCCTCGGTCCTCACCTCTCGTGCACTCCAGCTTCACCGAAAATCCACTCCAGTCTGCCCAGTCCTTCATTACAGCAGCGCTGGATAGGTCTTTTCCTTTTCTTTACTCTGCACACATCCCCCTTTCCCCCCTTCGCCACCCCCATTTTCTCTTTTTACTCAAAGACTCTCAAAGCTTACTTCTCAAAATACAGTACCACTTTTTGGGTTTTAATTTGGATTATCGTAGAGCTACGAATCGATTTCAAAAGATAAAGTAATAATAAAAATCATATTGTTTCTGACTATTTGGACATGGAAAATTGATGAATCTTGTACTGAGACTTTTCTTTGCCATTTGGTGTGACCCTGAATCATCAATGATCATCAATGATTCAGGGTCACACCAAATGGCAGAGAAAAGCTAATTAAAAATATGCTAAAACGTTTCTTCAATGATAATTTCGTTTTTCTCAAATTGAATCTCTGCCATTTCTCTGTGCTATTTCTTTGCATTTACTTTTATTTTTCTGTTTCAGGGTCACACCAAAGCCATGTCCGACGCCGAAGAGTCCTAGTGAGTTTTGAAGATTTGAATTTGAAATTGAAATTGGTTTTGGATTTGGATTTGGGTTTGGGTTTGGATTTGGGTTTTAATTTGGATTCGAATTTGGATTCGAATTTGAATTTGAATTTGAATTTGAAATTGAAATTGAAATTGGAATTGAAATTGGAATTGAAATTAGAAAATCTAGGATTTAGAGTGAGAATGAAGAAATTTCGCACAAAACATTGCTCATCAATTTTTCAATTTTTCTTGGCCATTGAATTGGTTACTTTTTTTCAATTTGAACCAAAGAAACAGGAAAAATGAGAACCATTCATTTCACTAGAACCCAGGTGTACAAAGGACATTTGCAGAGGTCTAGAAAGTCTAGCTTAGAGATTTTAGATGCTAGGGCTAAGCTAAGCTAAGCTAGGGCTAAGCTTAGACAAGCCAGGCCAGGCCAGGCCAAGCCAAACCAAACCAAGCCAAGCCTAGCCTAGCTTAGCCAAGCCTAGCCAAGCCAAGCCTAGCCTAGCCTAGCCTAGCCTAGCTTAGCCAAGCCTAGCCAAGCCAAACCAAACCGAGCCCAGCCTAGCCAAGCCTAGCTAAGGCTAATCAAGAATGGACTTATTTTTGTCTCAGGCGATTCTATCAGAAACAAAACAGCGAGTTTGGTCCCAATTTGATTTGGCCAGCTTTCGACTAAATCTATTGGGTTGGGGAGAATGAGTCGGCGCCGAAAATGAAAAAAATGTCTAAAACTTCAATTCGACTTCGTGAAATAATATGCGTTTGATATGAGTAGAATGGTTAACGAATTCTCTACAAAATGACATTTAAAAGAAAATTCAAACAGCGCCTCCGCTCAAGAAAAAGCCATTTTTTCACAAAAACTACAAACTGTCATCTAGAAAAAAACCATTGGTGGGATCTTCCTGCAAATTTGGCAACTTAAGTAATTGAATGTGCTCTATCTTTTTTATATAAACACCAAAGAAGGTTTATGTGAAAGAAACTGTTCAAATGATGAGTCGGACTCTTTGCCATTTTAACCAGCTGCGTTTCGAAGTTCATAAACTCCACGAAAGAAAAGCTTTGTGGAATCTCTCAAAAGTGATTTTGTAGAGAAATAGTGGATCCTTTTGATGAAACCAAACGTATGTTTAAAAGAAGGCTTTATGTGTGCAAAAAGTCCCTTTAAAGTTTGGCGCCGACTCATTCTCCCCAACCCAATAGCTTGTCGTTGAGTTGACAAAAAAGGTCAAAAACTCGTCGGGGATTCGAACCCGCGACCCACCGACCGACCTACCGCTTCCCAGGCAAATCCGTTAACCATTACACCAAAAGGCAACTGATCGCCTTTCCTCTAGAGGGAGTTAAGTTTTGAGGGAGAAGCCTTTGTTAGCTCAGATTTTGCTTGAAATCAAGCTCAACAGTCGAACATCGACCCTAAAAAGGTGCCTCAAATTCTCTGCGTAACTGCCCAGAGCGGCCACTGTTTGCATTGGGGTTGGGGGAGCTACGCAAAAATTTTCAAAAATTTTTTTTTAATTTTAGAATTTTAAATTTTTTATATCAAAATTTAAGAAAATTTAAGAAAATTAAGGAAATTTTTTTTTAGTTTTTACTTTTTTTAAAAAACATTTTTATTAAAAAAATAATAAACCACTAATAAAATTTCTATTTAAATTATAGAAAAGCTTGATGATTTCTCTATAAAATCGCTTTTTAGAACCTCTAGAAGCCATTCTAGAGCCTTTTTTTGAACGATTTTTTAAAGATCGATCACCAAAAAAACCGAAAGTCTTAAATTTTAGCTTTTTTTTTTTTTTGAAACAAATTTTTTTTTTTTTTTTCGCTTCAATTTAAATATAAAAAGATAGAGTTTATTTGAATTAAAAAAGGCTTTAAAATTCGATTGAAATTGAAATCAATTCGATCAACCAAGCTAGAAAAATTCCAAAAAAAAAAAACAAAATTTTTGAACGATTTTTTTTCGTTCAACTTGAGCTGACTTTTTTCCATCTTTAAAGAACAAAATTGTAAAGATCTCTGTGCTTAAAATCCTCTTTACAGCGAAGAGGAGGAGTACGAGGAGGAGGAAGTCGAAGAGGAAGTCGACGAGACACCAACAGCCGTTGAAGAGGAGAGACAAGCGTAATCATTTTTTTTTGTTTTTTTCGTCTTTTCTTTTCACCGAAACTATTCCGTTTTGTCGTGTGACCTCCAGAACGACGGAAAAACGGAAATTAGCCTTAAATTCTCGACAAAAACCGTGAAAATCGTTGAGAACTTGAAATCACCAAATTTCACACTAAATCTCTGATAAAATTCCACGAAAAAACAAGCACATATTGCACAATTAAAATTCTTTAAGCTTTCCACGACTTTCCTAAATCTAGCCTAGACGTCTAGATGTTCTAGAAGTCGTCTAGACGTTCTAGAGGTCGTCTAGAGGCTCTAGAAGCCATCTAGCCGTTCTAGAAGTCGTCTAGAGGTTCTAGAAGTCGTCTAGACGTTCTAGAAGGTCGTCTAGCGGTTCTAGAAGTCGTCTAGAGGCTCTAGAAGCCATCTAGCCGTTCTAGAAGTCGTCTAGAGGTTCTAGAAGTCGTCTAGAGGTTCTAGAAGCCGTCTAGAGGTTCTAGAAGTCGTCTAGACGTTCTAGAAGCCAGCTAGCTGTTCTAGAAGCCGTTTAGAGGTTCTAGAAGCCGTCTAGCCGTTCTAGAAGCCGGCTAGCTGTTCTAGAAGTCGTCTAGACGTTCTAGTAGTCGTCTAGAGGCTCTAGAAGCCGTCTAGACGTTCTAGAAGCCATCTAGCCGTTCTAGAAGCCGTCTAGCCGTTTTAGAAGCCGTCTGTTCTATTGTTCTAGCCACTTTCAGCACTTTCTTTCGAGTTCACCTCAATTTTTATGCCTTTTCAGCGTTACCCGGTACGTTGGAAAGCATTTTCGGGCCTCATGGCACGCACCAGGGAGTTTAAAACCCCCGCCAACATGCAACCAAATCGCTAAATGAATGACCGCCCCCCAGCTTCGACCAGATTCCTAACGCTGCTTTGCCTGGCTGCCCACTGCTCACTGCTCACTGCCCACTGCCCACTAACCACCCCCGCTTTTTGCCTCAAAATCCCTTGTGACTTCCAGATTGGCGAAAAAGAGCGAAAATTTTAGCCCAAAAGTCAACTACGATGATGGGGACCCGAGTTTGACCGAGGCCGAGAAAGCGATGCTGGTCGGTTTTTGAGTTTTTCGAGATTTTCTTGTGCTATTCTTTCTTGTGACCTCCAGATCGAAGGTTAGACTTAAAATTTCTAGGCTGCGAAGAAGCGCCACGAAGAGGACGACATGGCAAAGTTGCACGACTATGAGAGTAGGGATTTTTGAGTTTTTAGCAATTTTTTATATTAAAACTAGCAAGATTTGAATGTAATGAATATGAGAAAATTAAAATTTACAGGCAAACGCAAAAGCGAGCGCGAAAAAGAGGAGGAAGAGTTGAGGTGAGTTTTTTTGGAGATTATCCATTTTTTAGAAAACGCTCAAGTTGGGTTACGGTAGTTTAAGTGCATAGAAACAAGGAGAATTTCCTTTTTTTCCAGGAGAATGAAAGAAAAACAAGAGGAACGTCGAATGAAACGCGAGCAAGAAGAGCGCGAAGCCGAGGAAAAGCGTCGAGCAGCCGAGGAACGCCAAAAGGCCGAGGAGCAAGAGCGCCGTTCGAGAATGGAGGCCGAACGCCAGAAAAAGGTCGGTAAACGTTGGAATAGGAAACGAGGCTAGCTATTCTGGAAGTCACCCTAGTGAATGAAGTTTTAAGTTTTTGGATTACGTGAAGAAATAGAGCTCAGATTTTTTGGAGTGTCAGAATTTTGACTGAAATTTTTTTTCAAATTTTAACTCAAATTTTGAGTAATAAATTTTTCTCATATTGAATAAAATCATTTTTTTAATGCTTGCCTAGCTAGTGTGACTTCCAGAATGTAGAAATAAATTGAATTTGAACTCGATATTTCAGGAGGATGAGAAGAAAAAGAAGGCGGCCGCTTTGATGGGTGGCTCCTTCCAAACGCAAGGTGAAGGCGGACGGTCGGTTTTTTGAATTTAGCGTCAAGCCTGCCTTCCAGATAGGCTTTTCCAAAAAGTTTATAAGCGAAAAGAGCAAATGCTGGCGCTAGAATTAGCTTGATTAGGGAGGATTTGAGTTTTTCAAATGTTTCAAGCGTTTCAAAGTGTTTAAAGCATTCGATTTCAGAAACTTTGTCATCCCGAAGAAAGCTTCAACCGATGACAAGTTTGGAAACATTGTGCAAGCGAAACAAGAAATGGGAATGACGAAAGATCAGCAAGAAGACGCGAAAAAGGTTCAAAGAGTTGACAAATTGGCGAATCGGCAAATTAACGAATTAGCGAATTGGCAGATTGTCAAATCGGGAAATTGACGAATTGGCAGATTGCCAAATCGTTAAATTGGCGAATTGGCAGATTGCCAAATCGTCAAATTGACAAATTAGGAAATTGGCAATGTGCCAAATCGTCATATCGTCAAATTAGCGAATTGGCAGATTGCCAAATCATCAAATCGTCAAATTGTTCATCATCAAATCGCATCTTTCCCCATTTAAACAACTCCAATCCATTGCGTGACCTCCAGATTGAAAACGAAAAAGCAAAAAACCCGTTTTCCAGAATTTCCTGCGCTACCAACGCGCCGAGATCGAAGCGATGCCTGGTGACAAGAAAGAGACGATCAAGGTTTTCGAAGATTTCCCATTCTTTTCCTATTTCGTGACTTCCAGATTTTACATCAACGCATTTGCAAGCTCGAAGCTGACAAATTCGATCTAGAAAAGCGTCACGAGAGGCAAGAGTATGACGTAAGTAAAGAAAAATATTTTTTTTTTGCGAAATTTCGATTTTTTTTCTTTAACCAAACGATTACGTGACATCCAGGATAAACAAAAAAAAAGAAATCTCCGCATTTCCACTCGTACTTTTCAGCTGAAAGAGTTGAACGAGCGTCAACGACAAGAGCAGCGCAAATTGCTCAACAAGAAGGGCACCACCGACGACACTGGCGGCAGACATCCTGTAGGCTTTTGGCTTTTGAAAGCAAAATTGTTTACGCTTGATTTTTAGCCAAAAGTTCAAGTGGCATCGAAATACGATCGACAAATCGATCGACGAAATTTCAAAGAGCGCCGCGCCATGTTCGAGCATGTGAGTAACAAGCAACAAAGCAAGAGAAAAGAGAAAATCATTTCTGGAACGTTCTGGAACGCACAGCACGAAATGAGCTTAAAATTTCGGCATTTAAACGAGTCTCTCACTTTTTTTCAATTCAAAGCTCAGAAATCAACAATTGAATTTTTCCATTTTTTTGAAAAACACTTTTCAACGATTTTCAAGTCACTCAAAATCCCCTGTGACATCCAGATTGTTGATTTCTGTCAAAAGTTTCAAGCTAATTCTTTTAAAATCTCCGAAAATTTGAATCGTTTCAGAAAAACGCATACCCATGCTTCCCGGGAGTGCCACCGCCGCCAGCACTTCTCGAGAAAGTGATCAAGAAGTTGCAATACGAGATCGAGAAAGAGGAAGAGGAAGCCGAGCAAGCAGCGGCCGACGCCGAGGACGAGGAAGAGGAAGAGGAAGAGGTGAGAGGCGCTAGAATCTAATTCAAGTCTGTCAATCTGTCAATTGAGTCAATTCAAATTCAAGAAAGAAAAAAACAAACCCGTGTCTATTTGCAGGAGTAAATGGTTTCTTTTGAAGTCTCGTCGATCTCCTCAAATCTTTTCGCTTTCTTTGATGGAATTTTTTATTTTCTCTTATCACAAAAACAAAAACCCTTTCACTTTCAAAGAAAAAATGAAAATTGCTCCGAATAAATCGTTCACATTCGTCACAAATTTATAAAACCAAAAAACAAAACTCACTTTCGGAAGAATTTCTTTTTCCAAAAGAAACGGGTTGAACTTTCTTTTCAAAATTAAGCTGAACTTTCTTTGCATGAAGATCATAAAGATCATAAAGATCAAAGAAAAGAATCGGCGATTCTCCTTTGCTCAACCGTTGTCTTTCGATCTTAGTGGTTTCGCGCGTTTGAAAAGAGGTGCGCGGTGATTTCTCAAAGGGGAAAAGAGGTGCGCGGTGATTTCTCAAAGGGGAAAAGGGGTGCGCGGTGATTTCTCAAAGGGGAAAAGAGGTGCGCGGTGATTTCTCAAAGGGGAAAAGAGGTGCGCGGTGATTTCTCAAAGGGGAAAAGAGGTGCGCGGTGATTTCTCAAAGGGAAAAGGGTTGCGCGGTGACTTCTCAAAAGGGAAAAGAGGTGCGCGGTGACTTCTCAAAAGGGAAAAAGCTGTGATTTCTCAAAAACAAAGCCATCCTTTCTCAAAGCCAGCCATTTCTCAAAAACAAAGCCATCAATTCTTCACAAATTTTTTGAATAAACTCTATTTCAATTTTTGACAAAAAAAAGAATCAGAGTAGGCTTTACTTTAAATAAAAAAAAACAAAAAAAAAATAAAATAAAAAAAGATATTTCTTGAGCTGAAATGACTTGATCACTTTTTTAAAGTGTGCTTAGATTTTCGAAAAGTTTTAAATCTTATTAATTTATAGGCTGTATTCATTTAAAACGTCGAATGAAGTACTTTAAAATCGAGAAAATTAGTGATTAAGTCAAAAAAAAGTCAAATTCTTTTCTAATGTTTTCACTTTTTAGAATCATTTATTTAAAAAAAAAAAAAAAAATTTTCATTGCCAAAAAAAAAGCAATTATTTTTTGAAATAGAGCTTTTTTGTAAAAAAAATTTTTTCGGTGGCTTAAAATAGAGATTAACAGAGAGTATTTGTTTATGCTACCGTAAATACTGTAATTGTACCCCACCCCCCGTCGTACAGTCGACAGTCGCGTAGTCGCAAAAGTTTTTTAGTATTTCATTTTTTTCAAAGCGCCCATACTTTCAAAAAATGCGTTTTCAAGAAAAACTCGTTCAAAGCTAGACTACGAAACACTCCGCACCGTCATTATGGGGGCTGGGGTACTATTACAGTACTTATGCTAGCTCTATCTAATAAGAAATCACTTTTAAGTCTCGTGCAAAAAGTAAGCTGTGATTTAAAGGTCGAAAATAATCATTTTTTGAAAAATCTTCAAAATTTTAAGGGAAAGCTGCACTCATTTTTTTTACGATTAATTTCTCGGAGTCGACTTGTAAATAATAGAATGAAATGTTCTTGAATTGGTGGATTCGTTTTTAAGAAGAAATTCCACTCAAACTTTCTTTCCAACCTAATACGTTAAACTTAAAGTTAGTAGTTTTATCATTTCTAATTCCATTACTAGAAAGTCGATGTGCGAGGCGATATTTTGATCTAAAAATAACAAGAATTCGCAGTTTTTAAAGTCCCTAGGCCCATTGACAGGTCAAGTAGGCAGAGTATTTCTTTCGTACACAAAGTCAAAGTCATCTGAAGAATTATTGCATCAATTGTAGCTCTACACTTCCCAAATTTCAAGCCCAAGATATGAAACTTTATAAAATAATGAAAGACAAATATGTGTATGAAATCTGGGCCACCGAGATATTCGCAAGCATTCAATAGCATAAAATGCGCGAAAACTATCAAATACAAAAATATGAGACCAATTTAAGGGGAAAAACCATTAGCACTAAGTACAAAAAAATCAATGAGAATACAGGTAAAAACCACAAATAATAAATGCATAACACGAAAAATGGATGAATATATCTAGCATATATTTAGCATAACACTCAAATAGCATACACATAAAGTCCATTCGATGCATTCAATTCACCATCTATTGCTGTCGGTTGGCTGCCGTCGAGGTCGACGATGCTCCCGAGAAATGGCGTTGGTGCGTCGGTCGGGAAGCTAAAGGAGAATCGTGAATAGATTTTTGAGTTTGCTATAACATCTTACAGGTTAATCCAGTTAAGAGGGCACTAAATTATAATCTTTAAAGTTTCCCACAAAACACCCACCACTTCCGGTTTGATACAGCAGCTCCAATCCTCGCAAATTCTCGATCGCCTCGTCACCCCGTTGCACCGCATCAGCCACCGCTTCGTCGTTCTAAACATTTGCGTATCAGTCAATTTTCAAAGTCCCAAGAAGGTTATGAATCTTGCTTTAAAGAACACAATCTATTCCTTAAGCACTCCTCAAAAAATTTGCCCACCCTCTTCGCCTCGGCGACAAATCGTTGCACCGTGCTCCTGTAGCGCGCCGAGACGTCGGTGAATTTGTCAGTGAGCTCCGGATTACCCTAAAAAAGTTCATAAACGTTTGTGTACTCACATCAAACCTGTTCCACTACCAGCCGATTGCACTCCTCGATCTTCGCCACCATCTTGTTTGTGTTGCTCTGAACGGGACATTGTTAAGTTAATCTGAAAAATTCGCACTCACCAGCAGCTTGGCGTGATTGTTCTTGACAACGTCGTACCTGGCACGCACGTCGAAGTAGCATTTCTCGAGCGCCTTCGCCGATTTGACGTTGGTGGCCTAAAGCAAACATCATATAGACTTGATCAATCAAATACCGTACCTTGTCCAAGTCATGAAGGTTCCGCACTTGGTTCATCTCTTCCTCGAGAGCCCTCACCCGATAGCGCGTCTCGTTCTGAAAGTTAACAAATTGGTTCTGCTTGAAATATACCACTACGTCTGAATTATTATTTCCAAAATGTATCATTTAAAGCCAAACTTCTTTGTTCTCGCGCTGCAAATCCACTTTCAGACGTCGCACCTCGCGTTCGAATTGGTTCCTTTCGAGAATCAGATATTGCTCTCGTTGTTGGGCCGTTTCGAGGCTCAGCTGAGTCGCCTTGATCCTAAAAATTAGTGGTAAAGTTCGTCACTTCACTTAAAGTGTAAATCAAGTACCACTCACTCTTTTCGCAGCACTCCATTTTCATCTTCCATGCTCGATATCTCCCTATTCAGCTCGACCACCCGCCTATCACACTCCTCCAGCTCTTCGACGGCCTCCTGAAAACAGTTTGAAAAAACCCACAACATTCCAACAAACCTTGAGCGCACCGGCGGTTCTCTCAAAATCTGCCCTCTTCTGTGCAAGCGCCGAGTGCAATTCATCCATTTGCGCCAACCGATGCTCCTGTTCAATATCCGCCTTACGCTGCTCGTCGCTTTGCGCTGCCCTAAAAACAATAAAGACCTATTAATCTAAAAAGTCACCCAATTACCTCATTTTCTGCATTCTCTCCTCGAGGTCCTGTTGCTTCGCGCGAGCGTTGCGCACAAAGCGATTTTCCTCGCTCAAGCGCTCCTGGGCGACCGTCAATTCACGTCTAAAATAGAATCTTGAGAAGAGCTCAAATTTTATCTCATTCTTCGAGCTAGATTAGTCTAAAACTTCCATCCGAATGGCTTAAAGTTTCAATAAATTAGAGATTTGTAAACAAATTCCACCCAAAGTACCGTTTCGCCTCCAATTCGGCGTTGCTCTTTTCCAATTCCGCGCCCAGTTTGTCCCTGTCGTTCTCGGCTTCGCCCACTTTCTCGCCCAACTTTTCCATATCAGCCGCATACGAGAGGAGGATCGCATCGAAGAATTTGTTTAACTAAAAACACCATCTTAATCAACAAGTGCTCAATCTAAACGCACTGAGTCAACCAAAGCCTCGTCATCCACTGCCTCTTGCGCTCGAATCTCCTGCAGAAGTGTTGCGATTGCCGTCTTGACATCGAGCACGAAATCGTCCGCCTTTTTCTAGAACATAAAAGATAAATCAAAGTTTGAAGGGACAACTCGACTAGTCAACAACTAAACTCCGTTTCACTCACCGGCGGAAATCGCTCCAACAACTCGAGAAGTCTCTCCAGAATTCTTTGTCCAATTTGAGCGCTCTCCAAAGGTTCATCGTTGACCAGAGTGGGCTCCTCGTTGTCCGGGTCCTCATTCTAAAATCGAATAAATTCAATAAGTACACGAATTAGAACATACGTGTAACTGATTCGGCGGCATTCCTGGTTGTAGACGATCCAACGAGACCTCGCCATTCTCATCTAAACGCTTGATTTGCATTTGATCGACCCACAGATATGAAAAAAACTGTGCGCTATCGTGCTTCTCAAATCAACTGCGACAGACCAAAATTTGGATACTACATTGGATAAAATACAATTAAGGTAAGACCTTGCATACGCTAAGGCAAGGAAGCCTCTTTCATCCAATCTAATTCAAATCCTTACCCGTAATAACCTCATATTGGGCCAAGCGATGACACAAGAGTTGAATCGTTTCCTCGCGTTCTTGCAGCAGTTGCGTGAGTCGTCCCTTCACCTCGTTACACATTTCGACCGCGGCCAAATGGGAGATCCGTTCCTCGTCGTGTTTCACTTTCCACTTCTCGATGTCGGACTCCTAAATATTAGGTTGATGCATAAGTCTTTTTGTTCCTTTTCGTCTGCCGTTTCAAGCCAACAAATGCACCAATTAAACTACGGCTGATTTCATTAGAAAAACCAATTATTTTTCTGCAAAATAACATTAAAACGGGTTTAAAAATATTTTATGCCTGGATTTTCTTGAGAGTATGAAGTCGGGTAGTCAAAAAGGGCTAACTCGATGATGCGGTTTAGACACCTTAGCTAAAGAAAACCTATCTTCGTGTCAATAGATAAAAGATAGAGAAAAAAAAGTTTGATATTTCGCCAAAATTTCAGCGAAATTCATTCAGCCAATTTTTCCGTAGAGTTTTTTATAGATTTTTACGAAAAAGGCGTTTTTCGCTCTCGAATTTGCTTGAAAGTGAACCGAAATTGATTTAAAAAGATGGAAATTGTACAAAAAAACACTTTTTTTATAGAGCAAACTATAGATTAATTGGTGAATTTGTTACTTTTTAACAGAAGTACGAAAAAAACGAAAAGACTTATGCATCAACCTATTAGAATGGGCTAAATAGGAATGCCCTGATAAACTCAACAATGCCTCAAAAGTGCCAAACAGGCTATTCTACATTCTCAAGCTTTTAAACTTACCACTTTGGCAATGTCCTTCATTTTCTTGTCCAGTTCTCCTTTAGTCACTTCAAGTTGCGCCTCGCACTCGGCCGCTTTTCTCACAACAGCGATGTGATCGGCCTAAAGTCACCTTAGAATTGCACCAAAACCATCAAACTTGCCAAATTCTCCTCAGCCTTTGCCACTCTCTTATTCGCTTCATCCAAATGTCCCTTAAGTGTTTCCATCTGGGCGGCGAGTTCTTGTACATCAATTGGCTCGGGTGTGGAAGCGATTTTCTGAAAATAACATTGGTTTAGTAAAGATTTAGAAAAATCTTACGTGTCTTAAGTAGTCGAGCTCAGTTAAATTGCGCTGATTCTCTCGCCGCAGCTGATCCCGTTCCAAAGTGATGGTCGTTAGCTAAAGAAAACTATGATTTCTACATCAACTACAGCAAAAATCAACCTGTACAAGTTTTTCAGTGGTCTCTTGTAGATGTTTCTTTGTCGATTTTGCATCTTTCTCGAAATCGATGATCTAAATGATAAACTTTATATTTTATACAACACTGCAAGGCACTTGCAAACTATTTTAAATCAAAATGTTCACCTTTATGCAAAACTTCAACCTTTAAGGATACTGATTCAAGAGAAAGTACATTTATTAATCTTTCTGAGTCAGAAATTCTATTCAAACCCACCCGTCTCTTGAAATCCTCGATATTGTTTCGTAGATGTTTCATTTCGTTCTCGGCCTGTTCCACCCGTCGTTGCTCGGCACCGATGTCCTCGACGAGTCGCTTGTTCTTCACCAGTTCTTCCTTAAAAGAAAAACGTTAGTATTTTGTCAATAAAACTTTATCCCTTTTAATGATAGTTGCAAACGTGAAGCAAATGTTTTCTTGCATTTAAAAGCAAGTTACGAAGCACTGGACTTACTTAATGCTACCAATTCAACAGTTTGAAACGGATAATCATTTGACTGTCATGATCAGATAGCATTGAGTGATGGTACCGCTAAGGAATTAGTGCCGTTACGGGCCAACACCAAAGTAATCATCAAGCACAAATCATAATCATTGCCAAATCATCTCTTTCATCCTCTTGCCAACCTCCAGTTGATCCTCAAGTTCATCGCTGCGTTTCGTCGCAAAGCCCAGTTCATCAGTGAGTGTTGTCAAAGCTTTCACCATATCTTCACTTGGATTCATCTAAAAAAGTCTCTATCAGCTGAATCTCCAAATTTTCCTACTTTGTCCTCAAATCTCAGAGAGTTGAGGCGACTCATCGCAGCTTCTGGGTGCGTGAAAGTTTCCATGGAGGGAAATTGCCCAAAGTTAGCCTGAAAATAAAAAGTTTGCGTCGTTAAGTCAGAAATTTTGTCCGCCTCTGGCATACTGTAAGCGAGCTAGTTTCATTGACCCAAACACACCTTTCCATTCTCGACACGTTGAACCGCCGAGTGAAGCGGGCGAACGAAGATGTCATCCTCGGAGAGGCATTTCGTAATCCGGTGTTTTGACGTGAGCAACTAAAAAAAGAAGATATCTACCTACTATATATAAAGCAGAGGAGACGTCTGTCCGTCGGTGCGCAGCCATTGGCAAAAAGGGGCGGGACTTAGATTACGTGGAAAACATGGGCATCCCAGTAGAAAACGCGAATTTTAGTGAGCGTTTTCGGCTGGTTCTTGATAACATGAATTGCTTGAAGATTAATATCTAACTGAAAATCATTAACACTTGTTGGCATTTGAACTGGGATGTACCAGGTCGTATACGTTCTTCGAGAATTTTATAGTTAGCATTTAAAAAGTTGAGCAATTGAAACGGATCAGGTACACGTTTTTAGAATTAAATTTTAGTTTTAGAACATAGACATTTGATACTGGAGAGTCCAAAGTCCCTAGGTTCGACTTGATTTAAACAAAACAGTGAGCCAAGATTGACTCATCCAGAGTGTCTCTTGAGCAAGTGCTTGATCAAATCAAAAAACGGGCTTGGCTGAAAACTAGAAGACAACTTTCGTAAAATGAAACGATCATCGTGATCATCGTGACAAGCTCCTTCAGTTCAGTTAAAGTTCAGTTAAAGCTTCGTTCATTCCAATCCATTTTCCCGCTCACCCTGTTCATCTCATCCATATCCACGGGTGCATGCAGTGGTGTGGCTTGGACTCCAGTGTCGACACTCTAAACAGCGAATATCGTCAAGATTTCCCCTTTCAACCCAAACCTCCGTCCTCATCCCTTCACTTTCACTAAAACGTCGCTCCAACTGGATGTCGTCATTACTCTAAAGTTGAGTCATTAAATGAAAAACAATTCGAACAAACCCTCCTGTATTGCTGGCTTTCGTTTAGATGTGATGTCAATTCAAAGACTTCATGCCTAAAAGATTGATTTAATGATTGATTGATTGATGAATCAACATCAGTGCTAAAGCCAGAAAAGGGATAACTTTGATTTGACCAAGAAAATCCACAAACTTTTGTATTTCTTAGGGTAATCGAACGTGTAAAACCGATTTATGATGCAAGTCTGTAGGCTAAAATTCAATCTAGAAGTGTATCAGCGTTGTAAAAGATGCCTAGATTTGGATAGCTTCTTCAACAACCTTTGACAAATGTCTTGCAAGCAGTAATAATCGATTCAAGCATCATGATTCACAAAGAAACGCTCATGGACAGCAAAAAAAGCCAAAATGTCCCCAAATTTCCCTCAGACTTTTTCATCTTCACAACAAACCTCAGAGTTTCATTGTCCCTCTCCAAATCCTCGTTGTTTCTCTCCAAATCCTCGTTTTGTCGTTGCACTCGCTCGAGCTCTTTCGCCTGATTCAGCACGAGGCTAACAGTGGCTAAAAAGAGATATTAGAACAGCTAAAGCAACAAAGCACTTACTCAATGCTTCCTTGAAGCGGCTACTTCCGTTGGAGTCCCTTGATGGTGGCCTCGAATGTTGGCGTCGAGCACCTAAAAGAATACATTGCTATGTTAAAATTATATTTTCCAAAGTTATATACAATATTCCAAATGATCTACCACATATTTTACATGTTAATGCTAACTATTATTCAAATCTAAGCTTTAATGGTCAAAGAGAACCGACCGGCATTCAGATCACTGAGACTAGAAGAGGCCGATGCAAAATGGGAGGCACTTGAGATGGATGATATGGTGGAATCTATAGAAAAATGTCATTTAAGTTATAAAATAAGTCATAAGTTAAACGGTTGAGGGATGGATTTAGTTGGTAAAAAGTTTTGCTTTGAGAAAAGTGATTATTTCTTTGATGAGAGAAAGGTTTCCTTTTAAAAAGGATCATCCTAGTGCCGCTTTTGGTGTTACGAGAGTTAGTGGGAATCGAATTTTGCACAAAAAGCAGTATAGTAAGCACAAATGATGTTGTATTTGGTGAACTGGCTTTTAAAATCCTTGTTTAGCTTTCAATAAGGCTATTCAAGCCATTTCAACAAGCCAATAAGACTTCAATAAGGCTTTGGCCAAAAACTTCCTCATTTTTGACTAGTATGCAACTTTTTTTTGTGCTAAACGACGAGCTTGATGACACTGGAACAGAGCTAAAGGTTAATACTTGATTCAACAACAGCTATGTAAAGTTCTAGATGTCATAAAGCAAAATTTCACCAGAACGGGACCATTAGGTCACTCAAATGCACTTTCAATCATTTTATTATAGCTAAAGTTTTACGTGACAACAATGGCTATCCAACAAAGCTATCCAGCTATCCAGCTATCCAGCTATCTAGCTATCTAGCTATCCAGCCTCATCAAAATTTCGCCAAAAAAAACAGCATTGTTAAGACGCTCAAGTAATGCAATTGCAATCAAGGGCCTATTGTTCAATAAGTGTTAGCGTTTCTGTACTGTTCATGCTTTCAAAAAGGTCAAAAAGATTAAAAACAGGCCACGAAACCTTTTGCTCAGCACGAAGCTGAGCAAAACTGTGATTAGTTTTTCTAAGCCTAAGCCTAAGCTAGAAAAATTGAAACTCACAAAAAATGGTTAGACTTAGCTTAGCTTCACTTGTAATCTCGATAACATTCTGCCTTTTCATCTTTACAAATATCATGGCCTGCTTAAAAGCTGATAACCCAGGGTAATTAATTAAAAACACTTACGAGCCAATGATGGCGTTGGTGGGATTTCTTCAAGAGTTTCTTGAGAATGTGCTGGCGGTGGATCTCTCGGCGTTGGCTCTCCGCTCACAAATCCGTCGTCGTTTTCATTCATGCTTTCTGGAATTAAAAAAAATTAGACATGTTTAATGTTTAAAAGAGAATCCAAAAGAAAGGCAACGGTAGTTTTACTGTTTTTTCGTTAAACCAAGAAATAAATACAATAGTTTTGATAGTTTCCCTTCAATAATTTGCCTCAATCATTTATTATAGCTAAAGTTTTACGTGACAACAATGGCTATCCAACGAAGCTATCCAGCCTCATCAAACTTTCACCATACAATAGTTTTGATAGTTTCCCTTCAATAATTTGCCTCAAACTTCATTTTTAGGGCTTATATATAGAAATAATCCAAAAATAAAGATTTGGAGGACTTTTTTTTTGGGTTAATTAAGAATTCTGAACATAAATTCAGTAAAAACAAAGGGGAAAGTAGAGGAAAGTAAAAGTTTTCGCTAAATTTGCTAACAAAAACGTTTCTTTTCAAAGCGATTGCCATTTGCATTGCCTAAGCGCTGTTTGAAATGGTCTTTGTTCGCGCCAAGAACAAAAAAAAACGGGAAAGAGCGGGCAAAACGAAGAGACGAATGATAGATTTTTAATCAACTGAAGCAATTGTCTGATAAACCCGGCAATTGCTGTTGATCGTTTAGAGATTGTTGCAACTTATTGCTATAATTTACAGCAATCAAACACCATAAAGACTCTAATAGAAGACTCTATAGAAGTGTCACGTAGTCTAAGTTTACTCTCAAAGAAACGCTCACATCTCGACACTTGCACGTTTGTTTCTGCTCGTTTAGGTATCAAATTAAAGTAGAAAGAATAGGTGTTTTTTAACATATAAAACATATACTTCTAGCTTTAAACAACACTTAAAAATGAAAAATGAAAAATCCGCTTTTTTTGCCACTTTTGCCACAAAATGATGAAAAATTCGCTCTTTTTTGTCACTTTTCAATCATTTTTTCTAAGCATTGGTTAATGTTAAGAACAAGTTTTATATCTTAAAAAAACAGCCATTCTTTCTACTTTAATTTGATACCTAAACGAGTAGAAACAAACGTACTAGTGTCGAGATTTGAGCGTTTCTTTGAGAGTAAACTTCGACTGCGCGACACTTCTATAGAAAGCTTCTATTAGTGTTTATGATAGTTGGGTAGACTTCAAACGATCAAACGAGTAGGCGAGCGAGCCAAGCGATTCGAATTTCAGTTGTAGAACAAGTGTTTCAGTTGCCAAGTCGAACAATTGTTTATCATCATCTAAAACTTTGATAATAAAACGGATTAGATAAAAAAAAAACAATGAAAGGAGAGAACAAAAACCAATGTAAAATGATTTGAGATTACTTTACAGACTAAAAATTTGGACGAAACAGCGTTAAATGGGGGTATTAATCGCGGCCGGGTGACGATAAAAAATTTTTTACGGCAACCACCTGTTTTTTATTTTAATATCGCTGATTTTATTATAAAAAGAATAAAAATCACCCGGCTAGAGTGATTTGATGGGTTTACAAATTTTTGGAGACGCTGCAAGGCTTGGAAAAAAAACAAGATCCTCACTCATCAGACACCTCAGCTAAAAGGCACCTATTTGAGAAAACTAAAACCACAAGCGACCACAAATGGAAAGAAGATCTAATTGTGTCAATCAAAGCGCTGAAGACGTCCTACGGTGGAGGAGATCCAGTCACTTCTGGTGAAGATGCGCTGGAAATTGATAAGATAGGAAGCCGATTTGAGCCGAACTGCTGTACTTGAGCGAAGATGAAAGTGAGCAAGAGGAAGAATTATAGATTAACAGTTTATTTTTATTGTTTTTTGTGCTTTTTATTTTGTTTTTAAATTTATCTGCAATTAAAACTCAATCGATCTAGACTGTGCTGAGGTGTCTGATGAGTGACGATCTTGTTTTTTCTCCAAGCCTTGCAGTGTCTCCAAAAATTTGTAAACCCATCAAATCACTCTAGCCGGGTGATTTTTATTCTTTTTATAATAAAATCAGCGATATTAAAATAAAAAAACAGGTGGTTGCCGTAAAAAATTTTTTATCGTCACCCGGCCGCGATTAATACCCCCCTTTAAGGAAATCTCCGGTAGGCTAAGGTAGGCTAATTTCCGCAACTCGCCATAACTTTCTTCTAAGTCGGTCAATCTTTATGATTTTTGTTTCATTTTGTAGATCTCTAAGTGCAACAAAATGACATAAAAATCATAAAGATTGGCCAACTTAGAAGAAAGTTATGGCGATTTGCGCAAATGATCCTGTTGCGGAAAAAAAATTGAACTAGCCTAGGGAGTGGGACAAATGCGACCTTTTTTTGCGCACCTGGACATTTGCGCACCTTTTTTTTGCTAGAAAAGGCCTTAGGAAAGGTCGTAGAGCTTCAAAAAAGTTTTCATAGAAGGGAATCGTATGCGTAGATTCCGAATTTCGACAAATCAGATTTCGCTGACACGTCAAATTTGGACTAAAAGGCAAAAACTACGCAACTTAACGCTTTTCCGCAGTTTTTGCCCTTTAGCCCAAATTTGACGTGTCAGCGAGGTCTGATTTGTCGAAATTCGGAATCTACGCATACGATTCCCTTATATGGAAGTATTTTCGAAATATTTTCGAAGCTCTACGGCCTTGCCTAAGGCCTTTTCCAGCAAAAAAAAGGTGCGCAAATGTCCAGGTGCGCAAAAAAAAGGTCGCATTTGTCCCACCCCCTAGCCTACCCAAAGAAATGAACTGCTTTACGATTTACAATACTGCTTTTATAAAACGCATAACTGAATAACTTTTTACTTATTGAAATGCTTGTTTACGGTATTCAGAATTACAAAGACAACCACGATTTGTGAAAATTGCTAAGAATTCTATAAACTAAATAGCATAATGGAACTTTTTGGCGTCATCGATCAAACGAATGGTTGTTTTTCATATTTACACCATTAAAACAAAGATCACGATCAAGAATGTAGCAATAGGAGAAAGGAAAGAAAAGAGAAAGTTCAAGGAAAGAAAAGAGACAGACTCCCTTGCGCTCCTCCACCCCACCCAACTCAGTCTCTTAAATCAAATGCTTCCCCCCGAGTTTCTCAGTGATTTCTCTCGTCGTGAGTTCCAGATTGTCGATCCCCCTCAAAAAAAACCCTTGCCCCACCTTATCTGATCGCTTTTGGGAAGTACGAGAGTTCCCCTGTCGTCATGCGATTCTCAAAGTTGCCAAAATGTCTTATTTTGTTTCCCCAAATCGCTTATATGCCTTCCAGATTGCAGTAAATCATCACGATTTTCGATCGTTTTCTTTCATTAAGTCGAGATTTTTGCGAGTGCGTGTTTCGCTGATCGACTAGTGCAAAATTATCACTTTTCTAACTGCTTTCTGAATAATTTTTTGGTTTTTCATGTGATCGCTGGCTTCTAAATGGTTTTAATCACGTAAATATGTAAATTTATATATAAAAATTTAATTTTAAAGATATTCAGCTGTTTAACTGAGTATCTAAAGATAGAGTTTTTGTAAATTTAAAAAGTTTTCCTTTAGAAATTTTTCGCTTAAAAATTTCTAAATTTCTAATTTCTTTATTCATTTAAAGATATTCAGCTGTTTAACTGAATATCTAAAAATAGAGTAATTTTTTTAAATAAAAATTTTTTATTTAAAAAAATCATTTTCATTTTTCATTTTCATTTTCATTTTCATTTCAATTTTTCATTTTCATTTTCATTTTTCATTTTCCAAATTTCTTCATTTCTACAACTCGAATGACATCCAGCTTGCGCGAAAAAATCAAAATTTTAACGTTTTCTTGAAATTTTACTCAATCTTTTGCGTCATTCTCAATTCAATCCGTTTCTCGATCGATTTCTTCAATTTTTCTTTTTTCTCTCACCGATTTTTCATCTTTTTCACTTTTTACAATGCTTTTTTTTGCTCTAAAAGAAAATCGAGCAATAATGCACAGGTTTTGTTGTAGAGTGCTGGCACAGCTCTTCTCTTCCCTGCGTTCGACTCTTCGGTGAACAGCCTCTACCCCTTTTCCCCCCGATTTATCACATCAACGCCACCGGCTTTCCCCTTCGTGCGCTCCAGCATTAAGATTTTAGTGAATAACTTTTTTAAAACTTGCTTCCACACTTTAAAATCGGCTTGTTCTCGTTTGTCGAATTGGTCTGATCGAAAAGCCGATTTTCTGCAATAACCTAATACTCTTTTTGTTTTTATCTTGCCATGTGCGTTCCAGTTTTCAGATTTATAAGCTCAAATTTGTGATTCCTTTGTTAAAAGGCATCTAAACTGGCACCATCTCTTTCTCAACATTTTCCCGATCGAATTTCTGAATATTAATTGTGCTTCAATGGGTCAGATTTCAAATTCGATTCCAGAAAATAGATTTTTGTGATCGAATTTCAGCGAATTCATTTTGGATACGGGTTTTATCGATGAGATTTTTTTAATGCTCTCTACAAATTTGGTTCCTTATCTCTAGGAATTTATTAGGTGTGTGAAAAAGTAATCCACGTTTTTTATTTTTATCTGATCACCAAGTAAGACGCTGTCTTCTCGAAAACCCTCGTTCAACCTCTTCAGAAATAGGCCTTACATTAAATTGTGATGGGTCAACCGTAAGGAAACGCTTGAATGCCATTAATTTTAGCAAAAAGTTGGACAGCAAATGGATACCGCACGAACGATAACGCGCGACCATATGTCTCTTTACAGACTCGGCAAAAAATCCAGAGTGTTGGATGGGAGGGTTTTACCACATCCACCTTATAGTCCAGACATTTCTCCATCTGATTATTATTTATTTTTGTCTCTGTCTAACTTTTTGGCCAATTTGGCCAATTTGGAATTTGGCCAAACGGTTCAATTCCGAAAAAGATGTCAAAATCGAGGTTGATCTTTTCTTCGCTTCTAAGGACCAAGATTTTTATTATCGTGGAATGTCTTTACTTATAGAACGTTGGCAAAAGGTTCTCCTTTCGAATGGTGATTACTTCGTTGAATAAAAATTATTTTAACGAAACTTATGGTCCTTTATATTTAAACGTTAAAAACGTGGATTACTTTTTCACACACCTAATAGTTCCTTTTCTCTCTAAATTTGGTTCCTTATCCTAAAAAATGAGAGCAGAGCCTCGGCAGGATGCCAAGCCACGCCCCCGCACGTCAAAACCTATATAACTGCATTTGATTCCTTATCTCTCTACATTTGGTTCCTTATCCTAAAAAATGAGAGCAGAGCCTCACCAGGATGCCAAGCCACGCCCCCTCACGTCAAAACCTATATAACTGAATTTGGTTCCTTATCTCTCTAAATTTGATTCCTTATCCTAAAAAATGAGAGCAGAGCCTCGCCAGGATGCCAAGCCACGCCCCCTCACGTCAAAACCTATATAACTGAATTTGGTTCCTTATCTCTCTAAATTTGGTTCCTTTTCTCAGAGTCATCGACTAGTTCTCGATTGTTCGATGCTTTAAAAACTCAACTTCTAACCATTCTAATCCAATTTCTTTTCTTTAAATATCTCTAATCTCGAAGGCTCTCAATCAAATTTTGACAATTTTAAAACATTTTGACAATTTTAACAATTTTTATCGTTCATTGATAATGATTTTATATTCTGATGACGTCACTATTAAGATCGTGCCGATTGCTCAAAGAATTCACGAGAATTCCCCGATTTTTCGATCTTTTCTTTAAATTATGGATATCATATGAGAAATTGAATATGACAAAAAATTCGATAATTACTTTTAAAATCAACCACCAGACTTGAGTCGAGTTGGGTAACTAAACCGACCCGAAAAATCAAATTTACATTAAAAGACAATTTTTATTGTAAATTCTGGATGTCACTTAAGAAATTGGATCAATAATATGTTTCAGTTCTTGCTTTTTTTTGATTTGACCTTGTTTACTTGAGTTGGGCAACTAAACAGACCAGAACTCGATTTTCAGCTTCCTCGCTCTCCTAAATGAGCAGTGCAAATGTTCGAACGGATTGTTTCTTCAATTTAAGCACTGAGGAGCGAATTGATTTGTTTAAGGTTTTGCTTGATCGCTTGATGACAATGCTTTTTCTCTAGAGGAGACGCTCGCTGCTGCTTGAAACGGTCTACCGGCTCTACTATGGGAAATTGATGCTCCCAATGGCAATGCTGGGTGTCATCCTGACTACTCTATACCTTGGTTTGTCAAAAATCGACATACAAAAACATCGACATATTAGGGTTACTGTAGCAGGAGCACAATTTATCAGATTACAATAATCTGCGATTTTTATTAGCACATAGTCTGCTGTGCGTTCCAGAAAAAGCTTAGATAAAGTTTCTAGACAATAACTAGAGCTAAGTTAAGCTAAAACCCCTAGGATACAGTATCGAGTTCATAAGTTCATCTTGGGATTACGGTAATGATCCATTTTTATTACCACTCTTTCTTCTGTGCATTCCAGAATACTCATTTAAAAAGTTTTCAACTTAACAATTCGCATTCTTCGCGTAAAACATGCAGTCTTTAGCCTCCTCCTACAAAGCGATTTGCTCGCGACGAGTTTCTCGTAAATGCTACGTTCTGCTATTCAATCGAGCGATTGGCGATATTTTGTCGTGTCTCGTCGCGCTGGCTACTGTAGTCTATGTGCTGTTCGCGCACGAAGTCAAGTGAGTGAGAGGGGTAAAGAGTACTGTATCAAAGAAGATCTACAGTAGCTACAGATCTACTATAGCTACAGTATCTAGAGATCATTAGTACCAAAATCCTATAGCACCAGTAGTTTTGTAGCTGGCTTCAGTAGTTTAGAGTATTGTAGCCATAGCAGGGTTCGTCGTCTAGAGAGCACTGTAGCCAAAGCCCGGCAGTCTGGAGTACTGTAGTTGGGATCCCATAGACTATAGCGACGGGTTAGTAGGCTAGAGACGAGAGTACGGTAGAGTTCAGTGGTATTAGAGAATACTGTAGCCACAGCAGAGTCCAATAGTGATTAGAAAGTAGTGTAAGTACAGTAGGAAAGACGAGTTTAATAGTTAGGACCTAGTAGTACTCAAGAGTTCTAGAGTGCTGTAGCCATGAGTGTTAGAGTACTGTAGCTATAAGTCCTTGAGTACTGTGTGCGCACTATTGCACTATAGCTACAGTTGTTCGGCTCTCATACTACATATTGTACTGTAGCCATAGTCGACCTACTGTAGCTTTCCCTAAACAAACACAAACCCCACAAATTTCCCTAACCATTCTCCATCGTGATATCCAGGATGACATCTTGCACCAAAAGCCACTCAAATTTTCCAGTCGTGATGTCGTTTTCCTCTTCGAGTCTTTCTTCATCGGCTCCTTTTGGTCAGCAATGGTCTCCTACACGTGTTTATCGATGCTGAAAGTTTTTTTTTTCTTATCAAAGCTCCATAACCAACCATTCTTTCAGTTGTACGCTGTCTGGAAACCGCTCGACTATCGTCGGATGATCACGATGAAGCGATGCATTTACGTCATCGTTTTCAGGTGTAATATGGAATTTTTTTTGTCAAAATTTAACTTTTTTTGGCCAATTTGGAATGCAGAACATTGATTTACGTCAAAAAATTCTGAGCTTAGATCAGAAATAAATTTTTCTCCCGGTTCATGGCTACATACAATAAATGAATCGCTTGTTGCATGCTCTAAAAAAGTAAAAACCCAAAAATGCAATTTCCGGTTGCAACGCCAAAATTACATTTAAATCTTTGCCCAGTAACATCAGCATTTATATCAGTTATATAGATTTTGACGTGAGGGGGCGTGGCTTGGCATCCTGGCGAGGCTCTGCCATCCTGGCTTGGCATCCTGGCGAGGCTCTGCTCTCATTTTTTTCAATTCAAGAATTTTTATAGATCCAAATTTGCAATTTAAACTAAAATTCGAATTCGTTTTCTATTTTAGAATTCAAATTCGTTTGCATATCAAGATTTCAGCTGGCTAATGTTTATGGCGATTTGTGTGATCACGCTTGGGGTGACCGCTCTTGTCAAAGTGCCAACATTGAACGACTGGAGTGGGTGAGTGAAATCTAGGAAAAACAAAGCCGAAATTCAGCTCAACACCCCAAATGCCCTCCAGAACGCCGATTTTTGCCAAAAATAACAACGTTTATCGGAATTTACTCAACATTTCGACCCATTCTCAAACTAGCTGCTAATCTTTCCCAATCGCGCGTAAAACTGGCGTGCGCTCCAGAAACACCGTTTAACTTAAAAAATATTGAACTTTGTCGTAAGATACTCGAAATTTCAATCCATTCTCAAACTCACCGCTTACCCCTTTTTGCTAATCTTTCCCAATCGTGCGCAAAACTCGCCAAAAGCTGGCGTGCGTTCCAGAATCACCATTCAACCTAAAAAATATTGAACTTTGTCGTAAGATACTCGAAATTTCAATCCATTCTCAAACTCACCGCTTACCCCTTTTCGTCAATCTTCCGCAATCGTCCTCAAAACTCGCCAACCACTAAAGTGATCTCCAGAATCACCGCTTAAATTAAAAAATATTGAACTTTGTCATAAGATACTCGAAATTTCAATCCATTCTCAAACTCACCGCTTACCGCATTTCCCCAATCTTCCCCAATCATACTCGAAACTCACCACCCACTAGCGTGACCTCCAGAAGCGCCATTTTTTATTTTCAATTTCAAATCTGAATAGCATTGCGCGAGGCACTAGCTTGGTCCGAAATTTTCAATTTCACTCAAACTTTAGCTGCAAAATGGAAACGTGTCTACGGACGATGTACCGAACACGGAATTTCGCGACCGTTTGCATCTACTTGTGGACGATTTTCGTCTTTATCATCACAGGTAGAGCTGTAATAGTTGAAAAAATTTTGAAAAAAAAGTTTTTCAAAATCTCCGCATAACTTTCATTTTCAATTTTCAATTTTTAACGTTATAGAAAGTAGACTTCGGAAAACAAAACTTAACCAAAACCAAAACCAAAACCAAACCAAAACTAACCAAAACTAACCAAAGCTAACCAAAACTCGCCAATATCTCGTGATTGGGAGGAGCTAGCGAAAATCTGTTTGCAGATTTGAAATCAGCGTCCAAAAATCTATCCAATAGGCTATTTTTTGTTTCGAAATTTCGAGGTCGTGTTTTGGTCCTTTTTTCGGCCGCCAGATTTTGGGGAGTGAGAAAAAGTGAAAGGCAAATTTGCATTTTACATTAATATTTGCACTTTACAATTTTAAAATTTACATGTTAATTTATATGCAAATTGGGTTTTGGTTTGTTTTGGTTTTGGTTTTGGTCTGTTTTGGTTTCGGTTTTGTTTGCCGAAACTCTAATAGAAAGGTTTAATCGGCTCCAAATTTCATTTCCATTTCATTTCCATTTCAGTGCTTCTCATAAAACGAGCCGAGGCATTCAGCAATTCGTTTAAAACCCGAGATTATTCCACGTCATCACAAGAAACGACAATGACAATGAAAACGATAAAACAACAAAGAAACGGCATGCCGAGGGCACGGTTTGTTTATTTATTCTACAGAAAGCTTCTACAGAAAGCTAGAAACATTACGCTAAAAACTACAATCCTACTTGAGACAAGATTACGGTAGTTTTCGGGAAAAAAGACACACTTTATTTGTTCATCGTCTGAAAAGCTACAGTAAGATTAAAGTCGCTTAAACGCCACAAATTCACTTTTGTTTACTTGTGTGACTTCCAGAAAAGCGATTGGCTTCAATTTTACCGTATCCATGGCCACTACAGCCTCTATAAACGGCCGAACTAGGTTTATCAGAGCACTGTAGACACCTGGTTTACCAGAGACACCAGCTCATCCAAGCCATAGTACCCTGTGGCTAAAGCTACAGTACCCTTGTTAAATCCTACAGTAACCCATCCCTTACTGTAACTAGACACTGTGCATTAGGGTGCTTTCTAAAAAGTGCCTTTTTGCTGAATTTGGGTAGAATTTTGGTGGTTTTAAATCGCTGAAATGGCTAGCTTGGCAATAATTTTTAATTCAAAGCTCAATCTGGATGTCACAGCACTGATCTAACATAGAATTACTCGAATATTCGATTTTTGGAATTCCAGTAGAATTCTGGTGGAGTTCTGGCGGTTTTGAGCCGCTGAAATGGCTAGCTTGACAATAATTTTCAATTCAAAGCTCATTCTGGATGTCACAGCACTGTTTTAACTCAAAATTAATCGAATATTCTCAATTTAAGAAAATTCGCCGAATTCCAGTAGAATTCTGGTGGAGTAGAGCCGCTGAAATGGCTAGCTTGACAATAATTTTCAATTCAAAGCTCAATCTGGATGTCACAGCACTGATCTAACACAAAATTACGCGAATATTCGATTTTTGGAATTCCAGTAGAATTCTGGTGGAGTTCTGGCGGTTTTGAGCCACGGAGATTGCTAGCTTGACAATAATTTCTAATCCAAAGCTCAATCTGGATGTCACAGCACTGATTTAAATAGGAATTTTTGGGGAAATTGAAATTTTCGAGAAATTGGGATTTTATTTATTTTCCCATTTATTTTCAGATTTCCCCTTTGGAAACTCGGCCTTCACATTCTCACATTTGCCGGTTTAAACGTTTTCTACGTGGTTTGGTGAGTTTTCCATGGCTAGCTATTCTAAAACTATCGTTTTACAATTGTAAAGTAGGCAAATCTCCGTTCCAGGTGCGTCGGTCTCGTTCTCAACACGGACCAGTGCTATTTCCAGCGAAATTACGCCGAAATGATGCGAATTTTGGGTTGTGTGAGGTGAATTGGAAAGGACATTGACGAATTTTCGCATATGCAAATTGTTCAGGTTAACCCTCGTCTTGCGCATCTGTCTCGACCCATTGCTCTCGTTTCTCACCGATTTTCAGGTAAACACACAATCATTTCCAACGTTATCCTGCATCCTGGAAGGCACTAGAAAGTTTGCACTAAAAATCCCGACTCTAGCGGTCAAATGGAAAAGTGGTCAAAACGCGAGTTTTTCTTTTTGATGAAAGACGCAAAATTTCGACAAGAATAGCTCATGTGCGTTCCAGATCGACCAATTTTGGAAAAATAAATGCGAAAAATTCCAGTTACGGCGTTGTTTCCTGCAGATGCTCGGTATTAAACACAAGATCTCTTTCACCTCTCCATCAGGGATTCTCAAAAGGGAAGCGTTTACGAATGAGGAATCGACTGATGGTCAACAACATAAAAATCATCATGATCGAGGTGAGTGTGATTTAAAGCTAAATGAATCTCGAAAGGGATAAAATCGAGACAAGATTACGGTGGTTTTCGTCAAAAAAGGGCAAAAATGCGTTTTTTTATAGGATTTTTACGTTTAAATCGCCATTTGACGCAGAAAAATTTGCTGAATTCAATGATGAAAAAATTACCAAAATCCGTCTTGTAGATTTTTATCAAAAAAATCGGTATTTTATATTTTACAAACGGCCAAACTCACCTGCATTTGGCCCTTCACTAGTCGATGATAACAAAAAATTAGAAAAGGCCAGGTAGTAGACTTTGTCAAAATGTTTTCTGCGGTCATTTTGAGACCAAAATCGTATTAATTGGTCAACTCAAAAAAGAGTTATGACATTTTGAAGAAAAAAATGACGTTTGACGACTTTCTGCGCGCTAAAACGTGGATAATACCGTAACCCTTCCCATGGCGAAAAACAAAACTACTTTTAAAGAGCGCTTGGAGAGAATTTTTTTTTTTCAGTTTGTTTTTCTTCTTTTTACGAGTTTACTTTAATCATTTTCATGTCATAATAATTGTTTCTTTTTTTCAGATATCCAAAAATGAGTCGGCCAAAGAAACGCAGCCAAATAGGAAAGCAAACGATCGAAAACAAAAGAGAGAAGCAGTGGATGAAGGTTTTAAGCCAACTTACGATGGAAAGGAGATTAGGAGAGCAAGCAAAAAGGAGATTAGTAGAATCGAAAAACGCAAACGCGTTTAAATGTTCTGTTCGATGACCGGATCAATCAGCACAAGCATAAATAGGGATTTCACGAGGTTATCTTTTTTTTTCTGTGGTTGTGATTTAAGGGTGAAAGTTTAGTTTTTCTTCGATATCAGAAACCGAACGGATTTCAAGGACTGTTTAGATCAAAAGTGTGTAAAGATATATTTATATATTTATTTTAAAATTATGAAAACAAATGCATCAAAAGATACAAGTAACAGTTAAAAAAATTGAATTAAGAGAGCAGTAAATCTTTGTCAAAAAGTAGAACGCGTTTTGAGTATTTTCTTGCCGCATGTGGATAAATTTCGAGATCATCCGCGCGTTTAATCCTCTTACATAGGTGATTGACGACAGAAGGAAGACATTCGAGACCTTCTTCTGACATAGATCCCAGTGCTTTATGTGTTGATGGAAAAAGGGGAACGTGTGCATTTGCTATGCGGGCTTTGACAGTTTTTAGTCCAATACTGTTTAGTTTCATAGCGTTAAGTAAGTTGTCCGTAGCCGAAAGGATTGCTTGGATTTCCTTGTCCGATAGAACGCTCTTTGTAGATCCAATTGCTCGCGAGAATTCCATAAAAAGCTCCAGACAATCGCATAACTTTTTGTAGGCAAGTGAACTGACAATCGGTCGAAATGCGTTTTGTATTTGCACATAATTTCTTCAACCTTGGTCCGTTCAAATCATCGGATTTGTAAGATTTACTCTTTTCTCTGTTAAGACCCAGGGTTTCAGTCAATTGTAAAAATGCCGCTCCTTCTTTTGAATGGTTTGCACGAGCGTCGGTTTCCATAGCTTTAAAAAATGCAATTACCAAAACCAAGTTTAAAGTGTAGCACAGGAGGAATACAGAACGATGGATGTATCGGCCAAATATATCGACGAAAGCCGCCCAACTTCTCTTCAGGTTTGGCAGATTTTCTTTGCAGAATGTCATCAAAGTGTTTGATTGTTCGAACAGAATATTGAGGTCTATCGAAATTCGTGATAACTCTTGTTGAATTTAGGGCTTTGTCCACTTTGTATATACACCAAATGCCAGGGGAAGTTGACGCCTTGGACAAACCAAATGAAGATGCAAGAAAGTTGAGCCTCCCAAAAATATTTGTCTATTGAATGGTGCGAGCTTGTCGACAATATTACTGTATTTTAGTTTTGATGGTCTTCGCCTCCTTTCCAAACGGTCGTCCCTCCTTTCCAAAGAATCAAGTGGTTATAGCACGATTGAGGATTGTGTTTCTTGTCTGATAGCATAAGTGTTAACTTTGTACTATCAAGTCCCTTATCGTCCATTATAATCAACCGTTTCATTTCAGAATCGTTCAGCTGACTCAATCGATGTTTTACTGCTGCAAATAGATCTTTCAATACAATAGCGTTTTCTGATATCTCATAATCAATGCTGAAGCTTTCCGGATCCTGTCCATTTGATACTCGCTGACAAAAAGAGATATCGCACGGCTATACATTCTGTGAGCATCACGAGTAATTTTAGATTTTGACATCAAAGCCAATGTTTCAAGGGGGGAAAGAAGAGATCCACAACCAATTGAACGCTTGCGTTTTTTTTCACATAGCGACGATAAATGTTTCGGGCTAAACGAAGCTTCTGCAACATTTAAACGCGTTTGCGTTTTTCGATTCTACTAATCTCCTTTTTGCTTGCTCTCCTAATCTCCTTTCCATCTTAAGTTGGCTCAAAACCTTCATCCACTGCTTCTCTCTTTTGTTTTCGATCGTTTGCTTTCCTATTTGGCTGCGTTTCTTTGGCCGACTCATTTTTGGATATCTGAAAAAAAGAAACAATTATTATGACATGAAAATGATTAGAGTAAGCTCGTAAAAAGAAGAAAAACAAACTGAAAAAAAAATTCTTTCCAAGCGCTCTTTAAAAGTAGTTTTGTTTTTCGCCATGGGAAGGGTTACGGTATTATCCACGTTTTAGCGCGCAGACAAGTCGTCAAACGTCATTTTAAGCAAGTTTTAAAAAACGCCATCAGATCCAATTCAATTCCAACATTTCAGTGGACTGCGTCTCCTCATTCGGCACTCAAAGTACCTCGCTTTCGCCGTCTCATTGCGAGATCGCGAAAAGTGGGTCGACGAGGACGACATTTTGAGGAAAAATTACAAAACCTAGGAAAATTTCTTACAAAACACACCAAATAGCATAATTTCATATGCAAATTTTCTCGTCAGCATTCCGCATTCAAAATTCCATTTTTTCCCCATTGCTCAACCATTTCCTTTGTCATCATCCTCAAAACAAAGCTCAGCTCTAAAATATGGGTATCATTTTGTTCGTTTTGTCTTTTTTTCATAGATTTATCATAGTAACATAGAAATCAATTTTCCTTTAATCAACAACAAAAAAAAATCGCTAACAATAAAAAAAGCGGGATGAAACATTGGACCCGTGTGAAAGAGGAATTTCTTAAATCGTTTTTTTAAAGGATGCCCTCTAGGGAAAAAGCTACCATAATCCCCAATTTGCATCATAACGGTCAAGTTTTAAAGTTACTTAGCCAAATTTATATAAAATCTAAATTTTTAGAGTCAAGCCAGCCCGGGGAATCGACTTTTAAGAATCCCTGGGGAGTACTGATAGCTTTCCTCTAAAGGGTACCTTTTAGAAAGCCTTAGAAAAGCTACCATAACTCAATCATTTTGTCGAAAAACAAGAAATGATTGTTTTTAAGCAAAAAAAGTTTTAGTCAAAGAAGATTTAATTTTTGAAAAAGACAACTGAGAGTACAGTAGGTTTCCCCTAAAGAAGTGGAAAATACATAGTAGTTTGGCATAAAAAAAAAAGAAATACGTTATATCTCATGTCGTCGCTTTGTCCTTTGTCCATTCAGCTGTGTCTGGATCGTTTCCTCTCGCGTTCCCCATCATTCCTTTCATCGCTTCTCTCATCGTCTCGTCCATTCCTTTCCCCATCATCCCCTCTCCTTTCTTCATCTCCGTCATCGTCGCTTTCGTCTCGGCGATGATGATGATCTTTCGGGTCATCACTTGCACTAAAATAAACAAATTTCATTTGGTTTAAAGTCGACAGCCGTTTATTCACGTTCAGAGTACTTCTTGAACTTTTTATTACAATTTGAAAGGGAATTAGCTACGCTAGACGTGATTTAAACAACCAAGCTCTATCAAATCTAAATCTAGATGACTCAAAACCAGCTTAAACAAAATTTAACCTGAACCAGTGGTTATCAAACTTTTCTAAACCTAGCAATTCTTAAAGCAAAAATAAACCATTGCCATCGACTCTTTACCAAATTCTCTTTAAAACGCTAACAAAAATTGGCCTAGTAGTTTTTAATCTTTTTTGGGGGATTTTTTAGGTCAAGTTGATTGTGAACATATTCAGTTATTAACCTTTAAATATATAAAACCATTTTAGCAAGAGAATAGCCAATATGAGTTGAAATTTTCTTGTTTTCGACCTATTTGAGCTCCCTTTGGATGCGGGTTCTTAGTTGAAACAGAAAGTACACTACTCCACAAAATGAGATGGGCACTTACTTTTTTACCAATTTTATGCTCTTAAGAAACGATAGTGAAAAAAGTTGTTTTACTACACGAAAAACAAAGTGTCCATATAATTATGTGGAAAGCGCCAAAGGTGATTTTTTACAAAATTCGATTTTTAAACATTCATATTCCAAACTATGGTAGTATATCTAACGTGCTTCAATAGCAAATCTAATAAGGAAAATACTATAAAACAACTTTTTTCACTATCGTTTCTTAAGAGCATAAAATTGGTAAAAAAGTAAGTGTCCATATCATTTTGTGGAGCAGTGTATTTATCCGATGGAAATTCAAAGCAGGAAAAGGACTTAAAACACAATATTCCTGATTAGAACGGCCCCGTTGTGTCCGCGTAGTCTACAAAAGTGTTTCTAGTTTTTCTCGCGAATCCGCGCACCGTTTTTATTTTGGTTTTTTTTCGAAAAGATGGGGAAAAGATTGGTTGATCTTTTGAAACGAAACCGCACAAAATCAGTAAACCAAAACTTCTTTTCATAGACTACGCATCTCGGCGCTGCAACGACGAGTTCAGCGCAACCGCAACCACTTGAATTTCTGACTTTCTTGCCACATTGAACCCACTTGCTCCACGTGTCCTCGCTGTCCGAGCTATTCTCCGCGTAGATCTCGACCAGCTCGGATTTCATCATTGAATCGCTCATATAAACACCGCCGTTCAAGTAGCGACTCTCGCGAAGTTCCTGAAGAAAATAAAACGTTGATCACAAAAAAAATAGTTTGCTCACCCGATGCAATCGATCATCACAGCCAAGAAAAAGCTCGTTCCACTCGTTCACCGACGGGCTTGGATCTGAAAAAGATTCAGTTTAGCAAATCTTCGAGTTTATTCACCGTGAAGCAAAGTAAAAATTAAAAGTGATCAATTTTGATCAATTTTATGCCATTTGCATCTAAATTCGTGGCAAATTGCACTGATTCTGCCAATAAACGACAATAAAAGAGTTGCAAAAGAGGTTTAAGCCAATAAACAAAAAAAAAAATGGGCCTACAAAATTTCCAACAGCTTACTGTAGATGATTGCCTCATAGAGTGGTCTCTCGTTCGCTGTCGGCAGCGGTATCCCTTGGAAGCCGATCTTTGCACGTTGTGTCGCCTCTTTCCGCGACTGTTTCTCCATTCTTGACTGCAACTTTTTCTCGAGATCCGCTTTCCGACGCGAGTCCTCGAGTTGTTTGATCTAAACTCAATGAATAAAAGTCGATTTTTAAGCGAAACCTGTTGTTGTACATGTTCGACAAAAGTGTCCCCCTCCGAGTTGCCCTCCATTTGTCTCGGGAGCTTGATTTTCGCCTCAGTTGCCGTCGTTTGGAGTGTGTGACCGCGAATTTCCATTCCATTGAATTCATCCTGAAATGATTAAAGAATAAAAAACAGCTAAATAAAGCGCTAAGCCACTGGTTCGCTAACTATTGGGTTGATGGAAAAGTCCTTTCCGATTTTTTGGGGAGAGTATCTTAAATTTGTCCAATTTTGACGTTTTATAGCTCATCCTAAAGCTGACTTCAAGATGGATCGATTGGCAAAAACCGTTTTAAGATATCTCTTTTCCAAAAAGTTTTTTACAGCTATTTTAGTAAAGGGCAGCAGAGCCAAAAAATGGCTGTTTTCACGTTTCGTTAGTTTTCCGTGCAGAAACCTTGAATTCAGCTTTAGGATGAGCTATAAAACGTCAAAATTCGACAAATTTAAGGTACTCTCCCCAAAAAATCGGAAAGGACTTTTCCATCAATCCAATAAATCAATGAATCTTGATATGCCCGCTTGTTTTTGATTAATGATTACAAAAAAAGCTTACTACTTGAGTTATTAGTAGCTTAATAGTACCAATAATTGACCTAATATTGACCTAATATCAGTCCTAGTAGACCATAAGTTTATACAAGAGTAAAGAGTAAGTTTATACAAGGTCAGACTATCTAAAGTCCAGGTTTTAAACGCGTTTCATCTTCAACCAGCCTAGAGGCTGTAGTTGAACATGAAACAATGTCACATCGTGTCAGTAGAGGGACTAGAGTCCCTCTAGTGACACGATGTGACATTGGAACTCGATTTTCACTAGACAACATTATCCATTGTCACTAAATCCTTCAGCTATCGATGCAACTTTGGACTTTTCTTTTTCTCTCTCCAACCTTTGCCTGTTGTTGCTCGTAGTAATCCGCGAATCTCACAGTGCCTTGGCCTCGATTTCGTCCATCTGGCGTTTGCAAGATGCGCACCGATCGACACGACGGGTAACGCGAGAGGAACATCTAAATCAAAAAATTTAACGTCATTCTCTCATTCAATTTGATAAATGTCAATAAATTTCATCGATTAATGCTATTTTTGACGTTCACCAAACAGTGTTTAACTCAAAACAAAGTCATAAAAATGTGCCAAAAGCTTTCTTGAGCCCTATTCTAGCCCGTATCCTATTCTTTACCTTAAAAAGCTCTGCATCATCCGTATCCTTGGGCAAATTCGAGATCAACAGCACAAAATCGACCTCACTAAAGCAAAAAAAAAATTCGAGAAAACTTTTTGCACAAAACTCACGGCAAATGCGGATTCCTTGCAAAAGCAATCGAGAATTTCTTTATCGGATTCGTGTAGGGAACTTTCTGGCCATAAACGCGCAACATTGCATGAATGCATTCGCCTGGAGTCGAGAAGTCGATGAAACAGTAGCCGGATGGCTGAAAAATTAAAAAAATTAAAGATCAATTTTAAAAAGTTGATTTTTTTAAAAAAGTTCACTTTAGTTATTTAGTAGTTATTTAGTAGCTTAGTAGTTAGGTTTAGTTTAGTAGTCATTTAGTAGTTAAAGGGTAATTTTATGGCTTATGCAAAAGTGTTTCCACAAGCTTTTTTTCGTGAAATTTGCGGAAAATCATCGAAACTTTGAATTGACGTGTTGCTGAAAGGAAAAAATAGTGAAAATTGCGTAAAATAGTGAAAATTTGATGAGTTTAAGCAAAAGTTCGTCAAAAATAGTCGATTTTGATGATTTATTGAGTTGAGAGAAAAGTCTGGGGTTTTTTTTGATAGGCAAATTTTGTTCAAAGCACTTATTTTGCCTAGTTGACATGCTTTCGAGCTTGTTCACGGTTAAAAATATTCAAAATTTATCCCGCATATGCTTATTTTCTACAAAAAAACCCCTCAAAAACAAGAGTTTCCTTTAGAATTTTAAACGCTTAAACGATTTCCCGATCGAATGCACGAAATTTCGTCAAAACACACCTTTCCCGTGTGTTTCTCGTTAATGAAACGGATGTTTAGTGGCTTTAGATCGTAGTAGTTGTACACTTTCAGCAGCATATCCGGCGTGTAGTATTCCTAAAGTTAAACAATTAGCTTGAAACCCAATTGAAACCTTATACAACTTGTTTAATGATGAAATCAAAGCTCCTTAAGCTAAACAATTAGCTTGAAACCCATTGAAACCTTATACAACCTGTTTAGTGATAAATCAAAGCTCCTAAAGTTAAACAATTAGCTTGAAACGCAATTGAAACCTTATATAACCTGTTTAGTGATAAATCAAAGCTCCTTAAGCTAAACAATTAGCTCAAAACCCAATTGAAACCTTATACAGCATGCTTAGTGATAAAATCAAAGCTCCTTACGCTAAACAATGAGCTTGAAACCCATTGAAACCTTATACAACTTGTTTAATGATGAAATCAAAGCTCCTTAAGCTAAAAAATTAGCTTGAAAACCAATTGAAACCTTATACAACATGTTTAGTGATAAAATAAAAGCTCCTAAAGTTAAAACAATTGGCTTGAAACTCATTGAAACCTTATACCTTATATCTTACAACCTTACAACTTGTTTCATGATAAAATCAAAGCTTTAAAAAGCTTCAGGCCAAGCTTTTAGTGTTTTAAAATAATGTATAGATCAAAAATTTGCACTAGATGCGTTCTTGCGAGCAAAAATCGTTTGACATGAAGAATTTTGCGCTAATCATGTCATCAATCGCTTTTAAAGCCAATTTAAGCCATTCAGAAACAAGTTTTCTATGTTGTTTAGTATTTTTGTTCAAAAGTTCCCATCATTTACCTCGGTGAACATCCAGAGACTGCGTGGATCCTCCTGAAAACAAAAAAATGAAGCATTTCATGTTGGGAGCCTTTTTTTTCGAAAACACTTTTTCTGGACAAGCTCTATATCGGCTAATCGAGAGTTGAAATGCTCGTCCGATAAAGACAATAACTCGTAAAGCTTCATGAAGGTTGAATTTTGCAAGCGCGAGATGCTGGTCTTTCAATCTGTTGCCCCATGTTGATCTGACCACTTCCAACTCTGGTTTTTCAGCGACTGATTCTCGAGGGATCATTTGCTTTGGAAGGCGAATCTATTTCAGTTTTTAAAGAGTTTTAAAGGGTTTTTCTCTCAACATCTTCATTAAAGTGCATTTCTAATCACAAAAATACGCGTGAAACGCTAGATTTGACCAAAAAAAAACACGATTTTTGAAGTTTTAAAAGTACGTGGTTTAAAATAAAGTTTCTAAGGGTGCTATTCGTAATTCTAAATGTGCTATTATTAATTCTAAATGTGCTATTCGTAATCAGCATAAAAAAACTGGTCCAGAAAAAGTGTTTTTGAAAGAAAAAAGGCTCTCCAACATTAAATGCTCCCAAAAATTAGCTTTTTCTTGATTTAACAATAGCAAAGATATTTTCTCGTTGAATTTTTCACAGCTTTTGATTCATTTTCAATTCTCTAATCAATTTTAAGTCATTCCATCTAAAGCAAAACAAAAAAATGAACCAAAAATGAACCAAAAATGAGTTCAAAAGAGAGAAACACCAAATTTTCTGGGGAAAGTACCGAATAAACTCCCAAAAACTGCAACAAACCTGATTGAAAAGACGCATCCGCGTGCCGGCAAGCGTCACCGACGGGGGAACGATCGACATTTCGTACTTTCACTCACCTGAAAGTAAAAGAATTAAGAATTAAAAGATTTGCTAAAGAAAATGGAAAAGCAACAAAAACACCAGAAAAATACTAGTTGCCAAGGGATTTAAATGAACTAAACAGCGCTCATTATGACCGGTATCGGTTTTTCGTGGCAGGACCTAGCCAAACAATACTTTTAGACTCAAATTTTAACTAGAAGTACTAGAATGAGCAGCATTTTAGTCCAAAAATACAAAAAATTAAAAAACAAAAAAATTTCAGAAAAATTGCCAACTTAAGTACTTTCAAAACATTTTTATTATAAAGGTAAAGATATTCAGTTATCCAATTGAATATCCAAAAATATGAAATTTCTTAAAAAATATTTGTGATAAACGTAAAGATATTCAGTTATCAAATTGAATATTCAAAAATATGAAATTTCTTAAAAGTTTCAAGGAAAAGTAAAGATATTCAGTTAAAGTAAAGATATTCAGTTATCCGATTGAATATCTTTTCACTCTAATATATTCTTAAATGCAAATTCAAAAAATTTGAGTTTATTTGATAAATTTACATTTAATTTTTCTCGAGGTAACTTTTAAAAAACTTAAAAAAAAAACTTTTTCAAACTTTAAAACTAGAACTTTAAAATTTAAAATTTCTATCCTGTGACTTCCAGAATGGCAGGAAAAAAGATCAGAAAGGTTTAATTATCAAAGAAATCAGCTTAATTCGGCTTAAACATTAATCGAGTCGAAAGTCTGAAGTACTTCAGTAAAAACAATTTATTGGCAACAAAGAAAAGAAGAAGAAAACTTTTATTTCGAGACTTTCGTTTCGGATTCGGACAAACGGCGAAGGGTTTCCTGGCGTTTTGTGTTGATTCGATCCTCTCTCCGTTTACGAGCCTCTTTGTTTCGATCACGACGAGCTTGAGCTTGCTCACTGAAAAAACGTTTATAGTAGTTTATAGTAGCTTTGCGGAAATGCGAGAATTTCAATATTTTAATATTTTAATTGATTAACTGACTGCCATAATTAACAAAAAAATAATTAAAACCAGCTTTTTTTTCAGAAATTTCAGGGTCAAACTGGTTTTTCCTTTAAAAAAAAATTTCTATTGAAAGATTACGGTAGCTTTAGGTTGGATTACGGTAACTACAGTCTTTTCCTTATTTATCCACTCTTTAGAGATTACGGGAACTTCTCTAGCTCTAGCTCTAGCTTCCCATTTTCTCCCAAAAAAAAAACGTACGCCAGTTGTTTCGATCTCTTGTTCTCGACCTTTCTCTTGTGAATGAACTCGATGAGATTTCTCTTGTTCTTGAAAGCGTTACCCTTTGCTTTCAAGTACAAATCGTGGTAGAGATGCTTGTCCAACTTCTTTGCCTCCCTGAAAAACAACAGTTCCCATTTCAAGGCAATAAAATCAAAACTAGCTTTCCTAGGTCGAAAAAAATCAAAATTTTACCCATTCTGGAAGTCACGACTCATTTCTAGTCAATAAAAAATGACGGCAGACGGATTCGCGCAACCCCACCCAACTCGTTTGGACTTTAAGCTAATAAAATGAAAATCCGATGTCTCAGCTGGATAATCGTTTTGTTTTTACCCATTCTGGAAGTCACGACTCATTTCTAAGCAGCTAAATAAGACAGCAGACGGATTTCCGCAACCCCACCAAACTCGTCGAACTTTAAACCAATAAAATCAAAATCCGCGCCACTCCAGCCAAATCTAAGCCCGATTTTTGACCGTCCTGGCTCGCACCCAACTCACCGGTATCGTCGGAGGAGATTTCTGAGCACTCGCATCCGTCTCATCCACAACACTTTCTCGGGCATACGCGCATTGCGGGTACCCTTGCGTTTACCGGCACCAGTGTGACGTCCCTGCAATTTTCATTTAATCAATTCCATTCAAAATCTAGCATGACATCCTTGAGAAAGCTTTGAGAAATTTTAAGCGAAAATTTCAATTTTCTCAATTTCTCAATTTTCTCAATCATGAAATGAGAAGATTTTGTAAAATTAAAAATTTCGTTTTCTAAATCCGTCAGAAACTTGTGTGACATCCAGCTTAGAGAATTTCTTTTGAAAAACACAATTTTCACCTTTCTGCGAGCCTCGGCGTAGACGCGAGCACGGAAACGGGAGTGCACAGCCTCGGGCTTCTTGATGATCAAACCGTCTTTCAACAGGCGACGAATGTTTTGTCGGCTGTTCGCGTTCGAGATCTCGTGAGTCTCGTTTGGATCAAGCCACACCTAGAAATTAGCATTTAAGATTGCACAAATTACGATTTAATCAAAAGGAAAAATTAGCATTTAAGATTTTCAAATTACCATTTAAATTTGAAAAATTAGCATTTAAGATTTTCAAATTATCATTTTTTAAAAAATTAGCATTTAAAAGAAAAATTAACATTTAAAAGCCCGACAATGTCGAAAATTTACATGCAAATTCAATGCAAATTTTTCAAATTTTCACTTAAAATTGAAAAATTAGCATTTAAAAACCCGACAATTTCTCAAGCTTTAAATGCAAATTTTCCAATTTTTATTTAATTCTTAATTTTTCTAAAATTCAACCAATCATAAAAATTTTTTCTCTAAAATCTCTAATGACTTCCAGATCGTGGAAAAATTCACAAAAATCGCCTTCTCCCCTTCAAAAACAAACCTTATTTTTGCCGCATCCGAGCACCACGGCGGCAAGGCGCTTCTGAAGGCGCAAATTACTAAAAAAAAGCGATGAAATGACTCTAGATTACCGTAGCTTACAGCAAAGCTTAGCAAGTCTTTCCTAAAACATGGATCTTTTTATTTCTAAAAATTTAAGCTCAAAATCGAATCGATTTTCTTTTCTACCGTACCTCGACATTACCGTAGTAGCTTTTTGATGAGAATATTCAGTGAAAGACGATTTTTGGTTCACTCAAATGACACCCAGCTTGCGCTTTCGCTTTCAAAAATTTCCCCCTATTGTGCAATATTGGGTCGAATTCGTCAACAAACTCCAAAAATTCAAGTTTCTGTTTTCCCCAAAAAATTCCCCGATCAAAAGTGAAAAATTTCGTTAAAATCGGTCAAGCTGGATGTCACCCTACTTGAAAATTCAAAAATGAATGAAAATCTAAGCACTTTTGCGAAATAAAATTTTCCTACGCAATAAATTTGCATAGAAAAGTCAATTTTATGGGCAAAAAGATATTGAGTTGATAAAAATGATTGAATTTTTGATAAATCCCAAAAGCTGACCTCATTTGCGCGGCGTATTCGGCTCAAAAATGGCGAAAATCAAAGCCACAAATATAGGCGAAAGCGAAAAAGGAAAAAACGGCGGGCTACGGTAGTTGGCCGGGGTGGCTGAGAAGTGAAATCGTGCCGGGACCCCGAAATGCTCAGAAAGTCTTATCGGAGGCACCGGGGTTCCAGGATGCACAAAAATCTAAATTTTAGACAGGAATGCTATAATTTGATCAGAGTTAAACACTCTGAATTCTCATAATCATGCGAATGTTGTTTCGCCTACTTTCATAAGTCATTATGCACTCCAGGATGCACAAAAATCGCAACTTCGATCAAAAAGTTCATAAGAATCGTCTACAACCAATCTGAGTCTCAAAGGTCCAAAATTTTTAACTTTCCCAAACGACTCCGTTTTCGCCAAATTTCCCCTTCAATCTCTTAAATGCCCTCCATCTTTATTAAAAATAATCAAAATTCGCGCATTAACCTCGAAAAATTATCGCAAAATGCGCGAAACGAGACAAAAATTGTCAATTCGGATCGGTAAAACAACTAGGAAAGCATTCAAAAAAGAGATGAAATCTTCAAAAACAAACAATGGATTCCTTTTCATTTCTTTGTTTCCGAGCATTGTGTCGAATTAGATTGGGTGCGATCAGTGACGAGAGATGAGGCTGAGGAGGATGGCGGTGGCTTTGAAGAGGCTGATGCTGAAGTGTTGTCCGTCTGAAAAGAAAAACTATGTATAACAGAAAAACGACAATTTTATGCTAGTGCAATAATAGCTTAGCTTTTTACATCAATCGATTTGATCAATTTTTAAAACAGTTAGATCAACCAATTGGAGGCAAGGTTGTTTGAAGAACTTTTCCTAGAGCAGGCTAGAGCAGGCTAGAGCAGACTAGAGCAGACTAGACTAGACTCAGGCTTATCAGTACTTGCCCAAATAGTAAAGCCAAGCCAGCCAGCAGCCGGCCTAGGTTTAGATTTTGTAATAGACTATGTGACTTGTGACCAGGCTAAAGCAGGATCGATTTGATCGATCGAAAACCAGATCTAAACCATTCTAGATTTTCCAAACTGGCGCTAGGTTCAATAAAATATAAGCGGATACCTTGAAATTGTCGCTTTCCTTTTTCTCGCGCGCGCCTCGATGCCACATTCCGCCGTAATGCTGCTTGTAGAACTAAAAAACAAAGATATTCGATTCCCCTCAAAATCCACTCACCCTTTGCATCTCCAAATCCCGTTCATTCGCAAAGAGATACTCAAAAAAGCTGAGTTGTCGTCCCACCTCGTTATTGTGCACCTTTTGTGGATCTAAACAAGAAAAGTTAACAATTAGGCTGAATGCTGATCCTTAATAGTTTTAGTGAAAAGGTATTTCAATCAAAATGCAATTTTCGACCAAATTTGAATCGTCTACAGATTTGGATTCATTAAATAAATTCATTGCCAGCATTTTTTAGGCTTAATAACTTTTTAAACAAAGGCTTCTTAATCAAAAGGTTGGTTAAGAGCTAAAAATGGAGCTTAGCTTTTGGAGGCGATCGGATCAAAAGAGGTGAGCGCGGCTGAGATTTGTGTGCACTTGAGCAACGCTCGATCAACTTCTTGCGTTAAATTTGGATTAAATTAATCTTAAGCCTAAGCCTGAGCCTAAGCCTAGCAGTCCTAGCACGGATCATAACCATTTAATCCTTGATTTATGATTTGCTTTGAGTCGGGCGATCCGCATGATCCCGATTAAGAGTTGCATGGCGCCAAAAAAACAACCGCAATCCCAACATACCTGCCGGCGTATCACACTCGATGATGGCTCCTTTCGGCGGCAACGCGTCCGTGTTCATCAAAATGCTCGTCTCATCGAAGTAGAGATGCTAAAATTCAAAAACATTGATTCATCGAGGCAAAACTTCGAGCAAACGAAACGTTTTAAAACCAAGTGTCGCCTAGAATCGCTAGTTTTCTTGTAAATCTATATACTTCTTTCCTCGTCAAATGCCCTCCATGAAGCCGGGCCCACGTGTAGATCATTAGCAACATATAGAAAGCGATTGTGCCTAAAGAAAAAAAAATTTGAACCAGTTTTAAAGACAAAAACGAACCAGCAACGTTGCCAGGCAGAAAAGAGAGTCCAACAGCGATCAATCCGAAGCATGACAATGAGAGAAGTGAGGCGGTGAATAGTGGATCGACGTAACTAAAATAGAAAATTAATAGAAAGCTACAAAGGCTCTTAATTTGACAATAGAGCTATCGATGCTATCGATGGAAGTCACGTGGAGCACTTAACAAACTTTAAAAACAAAATCAATACCTGTACGTGAAGTTCTCATTCGATGCTGTGCCATCGTGTGAATCACGTTTGAGAATCGCCTCCTGTAGAGTCTCGCAAAACGGGCTCTCACCTAAAAAATGCTATTTGAAAAGTAGTAGCTTGTTAAGTGCTCCACGTGACTTCCATCGATAAAGCTATTGTCAAATTAAGAGCCTTTGTGGCGATCTATTCATTTTCATAATAAACTAGACATGCGAAAATTCCAACCGAAACCTAATTCCACCTTCGTTTTCTTGGCCGATTGCTCTGAAATTTTGTCTACAAATAGAAATCGACACTTTCAGCTTGTAGACAAAATTTCAGAGCAAACGGCGAAGAAAACGAAGACCGAGAAAACGAGAATTAGGTTTCGGTTAAAATTTTCCCATGTCTAAACTAGACTAACTCTAGGAAAGTTTAAGCATAAATAGAATCGATTAATAATATTGGTCAGATAAAAATGAGAGCCAGATAATAAATATCAGAGTGTGCTTGAAAAGTTAGAAATAGCGCTGGCATATTTGTTGTTATCAAACGGAGATTTTTGTCAAACAAGGTTTCTAATTCATTACAAACGTTCGTGCAAAAGAATCACCCGAATTGCTGGCGGCTTTTCGTGCGCTCGACAAGCTCGATGTGCCACGCGTCGACTTTTTACCACTTCCGGCATCACAGTTTTCCTGGAAAGAGAATTTATATAAGAACTAGAGTAGAATAATGAAAAAGCTAATGAAAAAAAGCTAATGAGAAGCTAATGATAAAAGGCTAATGATAAAAGCTAACGAAAACAAGCTAATGATAAAAAGGTAATGATAAAAGGCTAATGAGAAGCTAATGAGAAGCTAATGAGAAGCTAATGAGAAGCTAATGATAAAAGCTAATGGTAAAAGCTAATGATAAAAGCTAATGAGAACAAGCTAATGATAAAAAACGAATGATAAAAGCTAATGGTAAAAAGCTAATGATAAAAAGGTAATGATAAAACCTGATGAGAACAAGCTAATGATAAAAGCTAATGGTAAAAGCTAATGATAAAAGCTAATGATAAAAGCTAATGGTAAAAGCTAATGGTAAAAGCTAATGGTAAAAGCTAATGGTAAAAGCTAATGATAAAAGCTAATGATAAAAGCTAATGAGAACAAGCTAATGATAAAAGCTAATGATAAAAAGGTAATGATAAAAAGGTAATGATAAAAAGGTAATGATAAAAAGCTAATGATAAAAGGCTAATGATAAAACCTGATGAGAACAAGCTAATGATAAAAGCTAACGAAAACAAGCTAATGATTAAAAGCTAATGATAAAAGCTAACGATAAAAGCTAACGATAAAAGCTAACGATAAAAGCTAATGATAAAAGCTAATGAGAACAAGCTAATGATAAAAGCTAATGAAAAAGCTAACGAAAACAAGCTAATGATAAAAGCTAATGATAAAAGCTAACGATAAAAGCTAACGATAAAAGCTAACGATAAAAGCTAATGATAAAAAGCTAATAATAAAAACAAGCTTTTGAATTGTTTTAGCCGAATCTTAGCTTTTGAGTAATTTTGTGGACATGTTTCTTAGCTTTGGATTGATAATTGTGCTGAATTAAGCTTTGTTCGGCAAAGTTATGGTCAGATTAGGCTAGACAAATCAAAGACTATTACAAATCGCAATCATCGTCGCTGATTACCCTAAAACACCACAAAATTCGTTAGAAAAGCTCATCAAAAACGTAGAAACTAACGAAGAAAACTGAAAAGTGATCAAAGTATCGAAAAAATTCAAAAAACTTAACCATTTTCTAGAAACAACAAATAGAAGCGATGAAAAATGATTAATTTTTGCGAGAAATTTTTTTTTCGCTAGTCTTTTATATGCAAATTCCAGACAATTTTCCGACTAATATGCAAATTTTTACAATTCCAGACAATTCCCCGACACATATGCAAATTTGTAATTTCAATTTCAAAAACCAATGAAAAATTCGATATTTTGTAATTTCTACTCGAAATTCGATCTTGATCAACTTTCTAGCCTCTGTGCCTGCCAGATCGACGAGCTAGACTATTTTCTGTTCAATACGATCATCGCTACTCTATATTTCAATCCAGTCCTCATTCTAGTCTAAATATGGTAACCCTTAAAAAGCCATTGATGATTTCAGATCTTGACTCATTCTCTTCTGTGTGCTCCAGATCGATGATCCATAATCAAAAAAATCCCTTCTACCGTCCCAATTTCCCAATTTTACCCTGCCATTGATCGGTGGGTGAAAAATGAGAAAAAATTTCGCAAAAATCGACAAAATCGACACGAAATCTGATTATTGACCGTCTCGTCGTCGAATTCGCTCAAAAAACGGTGGAGAAAGAGAGAAAATGGCGCTGCTAATTGCACAGTAGAGATAGAGGGGGAGGAGGTGTAAGCTGAAAAGTACATAGAGTCACCCCTGTACCCCACTCATTTCTAAACGGTCTTCCCCCGTAAATTTTGGTTGTCTCGTCTGCTCAAGTGACCTCCAGCTAAACCAATGAGCATCTAATCGATTGATTTTTTTTTTGTAATTTTGATGATTTTTTAAAGTGAAGTCGATCCTACCGTAACCCGCTAAGATTAAAGTTACTCAAACGCCACAAATTCACTTTTGTTTACTCGTGTGACTTCCAGAAAAGCTATTGGGTTTAATTAATCGTCTTTAGGCTGACTATAGCCTGAGAAAAACGGCAGTGGACTGCGGCTAACGGTACAACGCTCAATTTCTCACTCTCCATTGTCGGCATTTGTCAAAAACGAGAAAAATGATGCCGCAAAGGGCTTCCCTTTTTTAAGGGAAGCCCTTTGCGGCACTTTTCTGTCACTAATGCTTGTCGGCAAGCCCATTTCAGGGAACACTTGTTACCCACCGAGTTTATTACCCGTCGCCTCTTTCTTTTTTTTTTCTTTCCGCACTTTCACTATTTCTTTTTTTCACTCATCATTTCGATGCCATCCATCTACTCGAAAGCCTTCGCCGAAACCGGAAAATCTTCACGCGATCACACGAAAAAGTGTCCAGTCCTAAAACTCGACTTTTTACAACTTTTTTTAAATTTTGACTTTTTACTGATTTTAATGATTCTAAATCTTGAATGACTTCCAGAACTATGGAAAATTGATTTTATTTTATTTTTCAATCCATCTAAACAGATATTTGACTCAGATCTCGAATCGTTATCAATCTCTTTTTTCAAACGTTGTAAAACACTTTCTTTTACAGTTTTTTGGTTATAGTTAGAGTTAGATTGATATCTAAAATAACATCTTTGTCATTCTGATTTTCCAAAAATAAAATAAGATTTGTTAAATGTTTTAAAATTGCTTTCAAATTTATCTCTCATCAACCAGCTTAGATAATTTTCGATTTTTCTTTTTATTGCTTTTTTTTTGATTTGATTTTTTTTTCAATCTCTTTCCTGACATCCAGCTTGCACTAATTGCTGGTTAATTGTGGGAAATTGTAAATCGGAAAAGAGGATTTTCAGGGGAAGGCGCAGCGATCTCCCCTCGACCCCAAAAACCCCCAGCGGCTGCTTGCTGCTCCCTCCGTCTTTCGGCCATTAATCACCGTTCCCCACACGATGCGATGTTGCGACTTTTCCGGCGCTTTTCAACCATTCTATTGAACCCAATTTATTCGTCTTACTAAATTGCACTAACTTCTACAGTAACCCTTTTGATAGAATTGTAAATTTGAATTGTAAAATTTAGAATTTCTATTATTCTCAGAGTTCAAAGTGACTTCCAGAATGTGCTTTTCAACTCTCACTTTGTCAATTTCTTCAATGTTTTCATTTCAAAACGTTTCAAACTTGTTTCAGACTTTTTTTTCAGACTTTTTCAGACTTTTTTTTCTATTAGCCGTTGATCACCGTACTTAAAAGCAGGCCGCTTTCTTTCTTTTCTCCTTTTTTCCTCAAGATTTTCTCCAATTCTCTAGATCTATTGGATTGATCAATTGGATTGAGTCGATCTCGAAGAGAAAGAAGAAAGAGACGGAGATAAATGGCCAAACGGCAACCGATTGAATCGACGACGCCAAATCGACTCTCACTCTGCTCAACTCTCCGATTTCGTAACACCAAATCAACAAACTCGAACGCAAAACACCCAACGAGATCAACAAAATTGAGTACTGAAAGAAATTTCAAAAATTGCTGAGTTTAGAATCGAATTTTTTTTTCAATTCATCCATTCTGGAAGTCACGTAATCTAAAAACGCAAAAAAATATCGAAATTTTCACAAATCGAACAACTCGTCATTCAACATTCGACCAATAGGGAAATCCCCGTGGGGCGGAGTTTAGATCCAAAATTTTCAATCAATTCATGCATCCTGGAGGTCACAGCAAAGGAAAAGAGGCTTTCCTGGGCCAGAAATATTGGTCTGGTCGGGCAGGGGCACGTGTCGTGGTCCACCTCTCCCTCCACTCCTCCACTCCACCACCTCTCCTCCCCGATCTTCCCCGAGCTTCCCCGACGTTCCCCCTGCCCTCCTTCCTCTTGATCTCAATGAATTACCCTCAAAAGTCACACGAGAGTCGTTCTCTCTTTTCCCAATTCGTTTTCTCGATCGATTTTTTGGCTGTTTTGGCTTTGGCTCTTCGGCAAAACCTCTAAAAATATTTTTGCTTTTTTTTTGTTTTTAACACTAGGAATACCTAGTGTGCCTTCCAGAACACATAAAAAATCGTTTCATTTCCAGAAATTTCCTCTCCATCTTGCCCAAATCGCTTTGATCTCGTTTCTTCAAGAATTTCTCATTCTTCACAAACATTCATTCACTGTTTTTTTCAATTTTCTCTCAATCTGGAACACACAAATTATGAATTCAATGTAAAAAAAGCCTAGTTTCTCTAATGAATCATTTCACTTCCTTCTCCCATTTTCTTCTTCATTTATATGCAAATTTCTTGTTGCCCACCAGCCTCAAATATTCGTAATTTGAAAAGTTTCGGACTCTCAATCAAAGATCCGATTTTCGCAGTCGAAGCTGGCTTCAGCTTGGCGTCAGCCTAAGCTGGCTAAGTCTAAGCTTAAGCTGAAGCCCAAGCTGAAGCCTAAGCCTAACCCTTCCGCAAGCTTGACTTACTATTAGCTATAAGCCATGCCCTCTTAGGGACCCTTGCTTACAAACCCTGAACTCTTGAAGTATCATGAGCCTCTTAGAGCCTGAACCTGTTAAAAAACAAAGCTGGCTGGCAAACCTAGCCTCAACCAAGCCTGGCTTAAGCTAGTGAACTTCAGCTAGCTCAACCAAACCTCGTAGACTCCACTTCTAGCTAGATGTTAGTCCTTGCTTTCTTCCCTTTCTTGTCTGGAACATCCTAAAGCCTGTAATCTCGTACAAGGCCTTCAGAAAGCTAGCTTCAGAAAGTTAGCTTAGCTCAATGTACGGGACACTGCTACTAGTAACCGAAGGCAATCCTAGACCTCGCTTGAATCAGCCTCAGCTACATCCTCAGCTACAGCCACATCCTAGGTTCAGAAATTTTCAAATACGATTCCTTGATTTCAAAATGATCTTAACCTTTCTAGTGGACTCCAATTTGACGTTTCCATTCATGAAAACTTGTTTTCATTCTCCTATTCCTCAATTTCTTCATCAACTCCACTCGACCATAAGATATGCTAAAGAAAACAAAAACTAAACCAAAAATCTTCCCGTGTGCCCTCCAGAAAGCACGTTCACGTGTTCGGCGTTTTGATTTCTGAAAGAAAAAGTACGAAATTTGAGCCAGTCCCCTTCCCCTTTCCCCCCTCTTCTTTACGTCATCGCCCATTTTCAGCCATTCATCGTTTTGATTGCGCGAACATTTAAACTGCCTCCCAGCTTGGCCCTGACGCCATTTCGTTTGTCGAAAAAATCCCTGCAATACCCCTAAAATTCATCATTCTCATTCTCATCCTCTCTTCAAAGCCGTCGCATCATTTCCCATTAGCCTCCAATCTTTTTTTATCTTTTATTTCCCCCAACTATTCAGCTATTTAACTGGCTGCTCATTGGCCTTTTCAGCGTCGGCTTTTCAGCTAGTTTTATAGAAAAAATCTGGTCCTAACCCTAGAGGCCCTAGAGCGTCCAGGCCAAACCCTAGAGGCCCTAGAGCGTCCAGGCCAAACCCTAGAGGCCCTAGAGCGTCCAGGCCAAACCCTAGAGGCCCTAGAGCGTCCAGGCCAAACCCTAGAGGCCCTAGAGCGTCCAGGCCAAACCCTGCCAAACCCTGTACAGCGTTCAAGCCTCTGTACACTGTACTTTAACGTACTTTTGAATAATTCCCCACTAAACCTTAATCCTGGACATGACACAACAAAATCCAACTCTTATTTCTAGAATTTGTTTAACTTTCGTCTCTAGGTTTCTGCGCGATAGGGTTCTAGCCTCTGTACACTGTACTATTACGTAATTTTGAAAAACTTTCAACTTAATCTCAATCCTGGACATCACACAACACAATGCAATCACTATTTTTCTCATTTTCGCGAAACTCAAAATTTCGATTTTGCAAAATTCTATTTTCCAAAATTTCTATATCCAAAATTTCTTGAATTTGTCGATCTTCTTAGTTTCCATGCGCTCCAGCTCGAGCCATGGTGACATTGAAATTACCGTATCCAGTCCGTAACAGGAAAAAGAAAAACAGGCGGCGCCATCGAGTCGCGCATCGTCAATTCAATGGCTCTCTCTTTTTCGGTTTCCTTTTCGAAAAATTTTCGATCCTTTTCCCGATTCCATCTGGATTTCCGGGGACATTTTCAAGAAAG